GATGTGCAACTTGCCAAGGGTAGGAGAACATTTATTCTAAAATAGACCACATCGTTTTAGAGATTGAGAAATGCTTATATATTTGGGATAAGAAAAGTTTCATAGTAGCATCACCAATAAGTGATAGGATACGAAAAGTAACTTTAAAAAATTATTTCCCCACACAAGCAGACTTGAGTTTCAAAAGGCTCTTGTAGATAGACACACATTTTTCAGGAAAAAGATAGATAAAACACATACAGTGAATGCAAGTGAAACCTTTCCAACAGATAAACTTAAAACAATCCCTCCTGGTAACTTAAGGCTGTTCTTGAGCATACACAGAGAGAAAGAGGAAAACAAACAAACAAACAAACACAACTTTTTTCTTCACTCTGTTTGTTGGCCAGACAAACAGAGTGAGGTATTTCCTTTTTGTGGCTTATTTTAAGCAGAATTTCTAGCAGAATTTAAAATTCTTTTTCCTTTGGATTTGAAACAGTTAACAGTCACATTTACCTCTCACGCACAGACTTTGACAAACATATATACACAAAGACAAGAGAACAGAAGTCTTAGTTTTACACATCCTAGTCATTCCCACCATAAATTTCAGATAACTCAAGTTAGGGAAGGCACACATTTTAAACATACCACATGGTTGCATAGAGAAGAGAGAGAGAGATAGAGATAGAGAGAGAGAGAATCACTATTTCTTATTTTCCCTTTTAAGTACCTTTATTTAGACAAATTGGTTTTCCAGCAAAGCCCTAAGCAAAGTCTGTATTTTTTTTTCTTTTCCCCCATATAGTTTCTTTACCTACCTCTTTTCCATTCCGGCCTGGACAGGTAACTGGTTCCTGTCCCAGGCCCCGAGCAAGCTCTCAATCAGGAAACCTACTTCCGCCCTTGAATTAGAACTTCCCATGTTTCTATAATGGGATTTCTCTACCACTAAAGGGCACGATCCGTCAGAAGTCTCCTTGTGAGACTTCTTCCTACTATCACGATTTTGTGAGTCCAAAAAAAAGGGGACTCACGGAGCTTCTCTGGATCCCTCTCAGAGTTCGTGGGCTCCTCCAAGGGATCCTCCACGTTTTCAGACCAAAAAAGGGTCTGCAGAGACCTTCCAGTTTCCCTCAGAAGCTACGGGCTACTCTTCCACCGGCCGGCTTTACCCCACCGTTTACGGACGCCTCTAATGTCCATGGGCACCTCCACTTGCTCTCGGAGGTAGGTGGTCGCTCCCTTCCTGAGACTTAATTTCCTAACTTTGCTTTGCTTACAGGGCCTTACCAGCTAGTTGCCCAAATCCAATTCTTTCATTCACTCATTCCATTTCATTTTCACACAGCCTCTCCCTTTTCCCTAACAAAAGGTTCTGTGCTCTGACCAACCCCCATGCTTTCCAGGTTCTGCCAATTAAACAGATCCTTTCTGCGGCTAGGAAAGACCAGAAGCAGCAAAATCCAACTGTGATTGGGAAAAAAAAGTCTTCTCACTCACACAAACAGAAATACACAAATTTTCTTTGTTCCCCTGGGCTTTAAAGTTAAAATTTAGAGGTACTCACCATCTTCTTTCCAAAGCAGCCCTTGAGCTCAAACTCTCAAAACTCCCTTTACTACCCTAGCTCCACATGGGCAAGGCCTGGGAAACCCATCCACAGACACAAGGGGGTCTGCTGCCGGCAAGATGGGGCTTACCAGTCTCAGTCCATTGGAGAGGTTAGCTTGGAGTCCCATCTCTGGGTGCCAAATTGTTAGAAGTAAAGTCTTCATCCTGGTTCATCCAAGCCGGGAATAAATAAGCAAACATGGTGACTGCTTTGGGAAGAAGGTTACAGTTTATTGCAGAAAGATGGTTCTTCAGGAAAGTGCAGAGGAGAGAGAAGAGAGAGCACAGAGAGAGATTGAGCACATGGGCAGTAGGTTTTATACCCCCCCTAGCCTTTTGTTTGGAATAGTTTCCTGTTCCTGTGGCATGAACCTTGAGGCTGTTTCTGAGTGTTTGTCTAGGCCTTGATATCTGTGGTTTAATTCTGTTATCATATCCTGCTTCCCAGGTGATGGGGCTGACTCCTAGAGTTTGGGTGGGGTATGCAGATCTTCTCTTTTGTCTTCTTGATTGCTCTGGCTTCAACTTTCTGATGGTTTTACATCTGCATTTGTACAGGGCTAAAGTCTTGCTTGGGGCAGAGAGATAGATTTGGGGCCAAGTTTGGTTTTAAAAAGTCCTTTTGAGGAAAAATATATTTTTCTGCCCTTTTTAATATTTCCTTCTGGGCTAACTTTCATCACTGGGAAGGAGCAGGGTGGTTTGGAAAACATTGCTAGTTATTAGGGAAATGGATAGCTAGCTCCCTGATTCATCATTTGTTAACAAGAGAATGAAAAAAGCTCTGAGATTAATTCAGTCCTAAAAATGAAATTCTGAATCAGATCAGAGAATCTCTGAAAATCTTACTTGGCAATATTGAACTTGACATTTGTTTTCTGCAGGATATCCAGTTGCAGAAAGTTGACCTAAACTAGAGGATTTATTTCTTGACTTCAGAGCTAGGAGTGAAGCTCCTCATCTATTTGTGGACTTAGTGGGAGAATCTAGAAAAATGTTAATTATATCTTTTGGTCAGCTTCCAGTATATTGGACAAATAGTACTTAAAATAGTATCTGAAAAACTTTTAAGAAGTTGAACTAATTAGAGTGAGTTTTGAGGGAGGAAAACTTTTCCTTCCTTTCCTTCTTTGCGTATAACTTGCAGAAATGGGTCTTGTAGCCTGAATCTGAACAAAAGCTAAAATAAGTTTGCCATTGTTTACAGATGTGATAACACCCTTCATTTAATTGTCCTTTTACATTAGTATATAAAACACACTTCTAGTAATAACTATAAACATCAATTTAATTAGAAAAATCAGATTTCAATAATCTGGACAGAAATACTGTATGAATAATAATTATCCAGTGGTTTGGTTTTGACTTTTAAAAGACACTGTGAACTTACCCTTATATTTTTCACTGTATATTTTATTATATGTACAATATAAATGTTGCTATTTTAGTTAATTGTTGAAATATAATGAATGGAATATTTTATTTGTGTTTGTCACGTGTGTTTTAAGCTAGTATAGATAGTATTGCCTGGCTCAAAACAGTCTGGATTTCGTTATATTAGCAAGGAATTCTGGAAATTGGAGTGTAATATATTTGGAAGGCTTAGTAGCACAACTATATCTGCAGTGCTGTCTAAACCAGCAATTCCCAACCTTTCCAGCTGTATGGACACCCCCATCCCCACTGGTCTACAGAGCCAGAAAGTTGGGGACCCCCTAGTCTAAACTAATTGTATCTTCTTTTTTAGCAAATTGTAATTCTAAACTTTGCATCAGTGAAAATCTGAAGAGATTTTTAAAAACAGTTACACTTTGTAGTATTACATTTTGCCCATATTAAAAAAATCAAGTTTTCAGGCATTAATAATTAGAATGAAAACAGAACAATAATATAAAAGCTTATCAGCAAGGTAGAGCATTAATTCTGGGTTCTGTATCGAAAGTAATTAATCATAGGTCTAAAACATTGGAAGTATTCTTGAAACATTGGATGATAAATAATGCATCTTTTCTAGATATACATAAAAGTGTTAAAACTGATACATAATTTCAAGATCTTAATGCTACTTTACTAGCAGTGTACTTTTTTTGATTTCCTCATAGGTAATGACAACCTATATTACAAGAAGCTCAAGTAGATATTATTCCATTGATGATATAATAAATATGATGGGTATGACAGAACAATAACATGGAATATGCTTTGTGTTGGCTCTAAAAGTGGAAATATCGATAGCTGCCAGGTAAAATAGAAATTTTACTATTTTAAAATCGGTTGCCAAAAATAATTTTCATGCAATTGCTTGAAGAGACTGAATCAACATTAGTTCTTCATATGTAGGTATTTCATTGCTTGGAAACAGAGTAAGTCCAGCAGAAATTGCTTTACATAAATAGCTAACTTGCTACAAGTTTAAATTAAAAAATTATTTTGCCAGTGTTCAGACCATATCTAAAGTAATTTTGCAGTGTTTGAACTACAATCACATATGAAAGTTTGATCTTAATAATTATTTTGCTTGTTCAGCTTCCTTTTTAGCAATATAATTATGTATAACGTCTTCATTAGAACAAAATAAAATGTTTATGTACAAAGAATATATAAAACAGTCACATCTTAAATTCATTAATACGTATTGTTTTTGATTAATATCCAGAATGATAACAAGAAACATGTCCCAATACCTGAAATCATTATGCTGGTAATCATAATCTTCTGTGATTATACTAGTCTGCAGTTCTTCAGATTATCACACATTAATTTTATCTAGCGTTCTTTCAGTCTTGATGACTCTGAGGATATATAGACCATATTCTTAGCAGCATAAGGACAAAATGAAGAATGGGTAAGAGGCTGAAGGGAGTAAATTTTGGAAAAAGTAAATTAATTCTCTTTCAACTAGAGAAAATTTCATGAAAACCTGGACTTGATCTAATAAAACTGCTTATTCACAGGGGTTACATTCCATTCATGTAAAGTGGAAATACTTTGAAAAGGTTTACTATTTAGGTAAATGAAGTTAAAATATACACAGATAATATAACACAGAACCCAAGAAATACTTCTTTGGGTCTAGGACAGTGGTGGCGAACCTATGGCACAGGTGCCAGAGGCAGCACTCAGAGCCCTCTCTGTGGGCACGCACACCATCACCCCAGTCCTAAGCCTTCAGCTGGGCTTTATAAAACCTTTTTGCTTTAGGCCTCCACCGCCATGTGCACAAAAAAAAAAAAGTTCAATCAGTCAATTTCAACTGGCAGGAAAAAAAAGATCTTGAAAAGTTGTGATTGATTGATTGAACTTTTTAGTCCTATCCAGTCTGCTTTAACACTGTGGCCACGCCTAGCTAATGGGCCACACCCAGCCAATAGGCCACACCCACTCGGCACTCCACAATGCATAAGTGGGTTTTGGGTTGCAGTTTGGGCATTCAGTCTCTAAAAGATTCGCCATCACTGGTCTAGGATATATTCAGTAATCTCCAGAATACATGTGGAAGCTGTTCCCACCACAGACCATAACGGATCTCACAGGGGCAGCCTCAAAAATGCCTGAAGATGTAAGGCTGCGGCCCCCATTACTTTGAAAGGTAACCAGCTGGAGTCTGCCAGTCAGAATCAGAATAGCCAAGGGGTCCATTATGGTAGTGAAGAGGGCCTTCACACACCGCCACCCCACCCCACCCCGATTCAGCCAGCGGTTATTTCAATCGGGCGGTTCGGTGGCCGGTTGAAGGCAAGACGTCGCCTTCCCCCTCGATTTGCACCAGGGGACCGCCTTGGCTAGGGACGCCCCGCGAGGCTAACGAGAAAAACCGTCGCTCGCGCGCCCTGTCACCTGACCCTCGCCTGAGGGAGAAGGCGCGCTAAGTCGGTTGCCATTTTGCTTCGTGGACGGACGATGAACCGCAAGATTGCCGCCGCCTTTTCCTTTTGGGCTTTCCTTGTGCTGTTCAGGGAAGCCGCGCCCAAAGCCCTGTCCTCCCTGAATCTTACCGACGGTGAGCTTGGCCTCGCTCCGTCCTCGCAGGGCGTCGAGCTCGGTACATGATCGCCAACGTGCTGCTTCGGACGGGGTAGCCTACCAGATCGAGCTTGAGGGGAAAAGCCGTCAGCGGAGCGCGCGGGAATTCTTCGCTGAGGGAACGCGAGGGCCGAGGCCGTCGTCGGAAACGTTTCCTCCCGAAAAGGAGGCGTCCGCCGAGCTACCCTGCTGCCATTTATGCAACAGTGGTGGCTGTCGAAAGGCCCATCACGATTGCATAAATGGGGGCGCCGCTGGCGTTTGCTCTCGGGACGAAAAATAATTGCGGACTACTACAATTTTGTCTGTGCAAAGTTGTGTTCTGACAGTACGAGGGTTTCGTTCCCTACAGCAACTAAATTGTGGGCGTGTGATTCTCTCTCTCTCTTCTTTACTTTTGAAATGAGCGAAGGAAATACAGTTTATCCCGGGCGTGGCTGCTGCCGTTTTCTGGACTCCCCGTAACCCCTGAATTTCTGTGCTGGGATCTATTCGAAAATAAAGTTATATTTTACCTGTTCCCAGCTCTTGGGGAAATGTCTATAATTACCACCGCAATTGGAATGGGACGCACAGAAGTTACGATATAAAGGAATTAAAGTTTCGGGACCAATGGGTAGTAACAGAAGAAAGAAAGCTGAGGCCAAGCTTATTTGTAATTTACATACTAAATTGTGCCTGACGTGTTATCAGATCTTAAAATAAGGAGTCTTTAAATCATTGGTCACAACTGAATGTATTTTGGGGTCATTATTTAGATTTTAGATTTTACTTGTGTATTGGAACACTGGTAAAGATCCTATACCTGATGGAACTAAGTTTGAATATCTGCGTGCTATGTAATTAGTTTGTTTTCATCTAGATCTCATCATTCACCGTGTTAGTTCTGGTGTATTTTTTCTTGCACAACACACTGAACCATAAATTAGCTACAGAGACTGACTTTGTACAGGTAGGCTAAGGTAAAATTAACAAATATATGGTTTAGTCATACAACGTAAACAGGAGTGATTCGGTTCCTCAAATCTTACACTCTTGTTTCATCTTTCTTGTAGAATTGGTTTGTAAAATAACTGCTTGAAATATATGTTGCTAAATGAATGCTATTTCTTAGATGGCTTACCTATTTTTCTTTGATTTCTAGTCTGTGGAACAAGGCCTCTTATGAAAACTACAGCAACAGGAACTCGAATTGTAGGTGGACATGATGCTATGCTAGGAGCATGGCCTTGGCAAATTAGTCTTCAGGTTTATGCAATTGGTGTAGGATATGTCCATGTATGTGGTGGATCTTTAATTAATACAATCAAAGTGTTGACAGCAGCCCACTGCATTAAAATATCAGAGTATGTACCTTTTCATTCTAATACTTTTTCTTCAATTGGGTGTAATAAATCTACTGACCAAAGAAATACTGATCAAATATATAATTATATATCAAAAATTGAGATTTAACATGCCTTTCCTAATTTATACAGAATTGAGTTTTGAAGCAGGTGTAGCTTCATACTACTTGTCAAGGATCTAATAAAGGAGAATATTTGTTAAGGATCACACAGAGATAGAATGTAGGGAGGAATTTTTGGTGCTTTCAACAGATTTGTTTAATTATTTGCCTGAAGCTTTTTCATATTCAATCCTAGAGTAATAAAAGACTCATATTCAGAACTATCAGGACAAACTTAATTATTTTAATGATAAATAGTTGTGTAGAAGGATAACACAAGAGAAAAATATTTTAAGCATCATAAGCCATTTTCACTTATTTCACTTATCTCGGCTTTACCATATATTATTATATTCAATTTTTTAAAATTTCTCTTTCCTCCAAATAACTCCTTTCCTATCATATGATTTAACCAATCAGTTTTAGATGGCTAATCCAATTTCTTTATTTAAAACATCTGGCTTTCACTTCCTCTAGCAAAGTGGTTCTCAACCTTTTTAATGCTGCGACCCCAACCGGTCGTAAGTCGAGGACTACCCAACCGGTTGTAAGTCGAGGACTTTCCCTGCCCGGGGGCGACAAACATGCGTGGTGCCGCCTCCTGCGCCGGCCGAGGCTTTGCTGGCAAGCGGCAGAGGTGGCGCAGGCCGACCACCGGCTGGGCCATCAGCTGGCCCAGCCCAAGGAAGGTAAAGCACCCGCTGGGCCCCATGTGCTCCAGCAACCCTCCCTGCGCCCGCCAGCCTCCCACCTCCCACCCCTGGCTCTCTTTTATTTACATTTTTAGTAGTTGCTCAGCAGGGAGGAGTGGAAACTTCCAGACAGCTTGCCTTCGCTGCAGACAACTTGCAGCACCGTTTGCAGAATGGGACTTTTGGCGGGCTCAGCAGAGCAGAGACAGCCTGGACAATTCCTATTGGCTTTTGAAAGCCAATAGAATTAGACTCTATTCAAGAGAGTCTATTCTATTGGCTTTCAAAAGCCAATAGAATAAAAGGGAGTAGCACAGCTAAGGAAAAGGGGAAAAAATGGCAGACTGCGTTGTTTGGCGACCCCCGTGAAATGGTCGTTCGACCCCAAATGGGGTCCCAACCCACAGGTTGAGAACCACTGCTCTAGCAACTCTGCTGGACAGCAAAAGGAAGAAATCTGCTTGCTCAGGCCATGAGGTCATCAAGCAAACATTTTTGTTACATAGAAGCCAAATATGCCTTTAGGAAGCTGAATCACTAATGTTCCTCCTTCACTGTCACAAGTCAGAGATAGTAAATATGTACTAAGATTAGTAGCCTTTGTTAGTTTGATTCCTTTTGAATTTGTCCATTCTCTTTTTTAAATAATCTAAATCAGTGACTGTCACCTTCTGTTAAGTGATCATCTCCTCACAAGGAGGTACATGTATATGTCCCAACAGCTTGTACACCTACTCCAAGCCGTCTCTTCTTGCCTTCCCACCCTCTTGTATCTTCTATAGCAGCCACAACTCTACTAGCCTTTGATTGTTGAAAATTAACAGGAAGTTGTCAGCAGGTGCTCACTTAACAACCCAGAATATTCACCTCACAATGGCATTGGGGACTGTAGGTATTTCTGTCCAATGCAGTCACATTATGTTACAGTTTATGATCTCATCACTTAACAATGGAAATTCTAGTTCCAATTTCCATTGTAATTTGAGTACTACTTGTATTATATTTCTGCTATTGTGTGGCTTACCATTCTTACAAAACAAACCAACAGTGAAATCTCAGGTATTCTATCAACACATTTGTGATTATATTCTTAAAAATATTTTTGTCTAGCTATCCTTTTGTGCCTCCTATACCCTTTGCCCCAGACTACCTCAGTTTTCTTTTCCATTTATTCTCTCTAGCCTCACCTTTCCAATCTGTTTAGACTACACATGAACTGAGTTCATAGAGAATTAATTACCCTGCCAACAAGTCTACTCTAGGAGGTGCTACACTGAGCTCCAGCTCCTCCCTTTGCTGCTAAATTTCTCCTTCTGTCTAAATAATACTTTGCTGCTCTGTGTGTTTTGTCTTATTTCCCAACACGTTCAAACAACATCCAACATTTATGTTACAATTAGCTACCATCGTACGAGTCCCAAATGTTAAAGGATCTCATTGTATTCTCATAAAGAGTATCAGTTCTTTAAACATTACAGATGGTTCTCTATTAATTCTTCATGAAATATTTATGGTTATTATTTAATTTGTTTATCTTTGAGAGCCTAGAAACAATTTATGTTCCTTGTTGAAATATTTGAGAGGAGCCCCCCCTTTATAACCTATTCCTCTTTTTAATAATGGCAGGGATAGTATCTTGAAATATAATACTTGATTTCCATTTTAGTTTATCTTTCTTAGTCCATGAGTTTTTTGCTGAATTTTCTTTTTCCACCTGATTTTTTTTACAAATATATTATCTCTTGGCTTTTGCAGTTGTTTGAACTTAAGAGAAGAGTGTCTATTGACACATTGCATATTAAAGATTTAAATCTGATCATTTAAGTTTTAAATATCAGGTTAAATTCGCCCTTTCTGCATTTCCCGATTCCTATTAATTCTCAGAAAACATCATCTGTTATAATTCTTTATGAGCCAAATCTAGTTTAGTGTCAGTAACATTTTCTGGACTTTTCCAATAACTAAACTCATTTTCCATAATGACAACCTATAGTTTGCTAGGTATTTGGGAGTTTTCAAAACTTGAGAAGACAAATCTTTATTAATTTTTTCAAACATACTTTGCAAATCCTTTCAAATCTAAATGTTTCATTATCCATTTTCATTTAAGTTGCTTAATTGTATTTCCTGTTAAATCATCCTCAAGGTTTCTTGAGCATCACTCAGCCTTCAGACAATTGGCAGGGATTTTTCATTCTTTGTCATCTCTGTTTTACTGCCATAGTGGGATGTCGTCTGAGTCTCCTTAATAATCTATGTAAGACTTAATTCTTTGCCATTTCAGGGGTTACCTTTCTTAGACATCTTTTTACTGTTAATATGGCCAAAGCCAGATATTAATAAAACATAAATGAAAAAAATTATCAATAAAACATAAATGAAAAAAATTATCAAGAAAGCTGGGCTATGAGAAAAGCAATAGGCTCGCCATGCTGTCTTCTCCACTCACTTCCCCGCCATTGTTTTCCAAATTGGATGGGTGGATTGATTTATGCCTACATAAGTACATTATTTTTCAACTAGCTGACGGATGCAAGGATAACACTGTTTCAGCACTGGAGAATCGTAGAACTGGAAGGACTGGGGGTCACCTAAACCAAGCCCCCACTGAATGCAAAAGCCACTACAGACCATCTTTGGTGGATAATCATCTGGCTTCTGTTTGGAGATCTCTTAAAAAAGAGATCTTTTCCCTGCTAACCTCAGCTTATCTTTCTTCTGGGTACCCAACCATCTTTCAAACTGCATTTTGGTGCAGCCAACTTTATTAAAATAGACTTCAAAGATACTTTTGATCTTAAAAATGTATTACAGGTTGTTCTTTATTTTGCAACATATCAGCCTATAATTAAACATTTAAAATATCAGAAAGGACACTATTTTGGGAACTAGCTTTACTTGTAAAATACCTGTGACACTTAACAGAAACTATTTAATTCTGGTCTAGGGCTGTATTAATGATTTGATTAGTTTCGATACAGAAACTGAACAAAATTGAAACTTTACTATAGTAAAATACAGATCATTTTAAGAAGTTTGTAAGAGTATATCGGTTTCTTACCACCACCTGGCTTGTTCCGCGGCCTCATGGCAGCGGCATTGCACAGGAGGCAGGAAACAGCTGGTTTCGGTGTGGCGCAGCTATTTGCCGCCTCGCATATTGCACCCAGTGCCGCTGAAATGGGGCTCAACTGCAAGCGGCTGTGGAACAAGTGGGATAGGTTCCCCCCTCACCGGCCCATTTAGCTACAGTTTTGCTCTGTAGGCAGAGCTGCGAAGTTCTCTTCTCTGACAGAGAACTTCACATCTCTGCTTACAGAGCCACCACAGCAGCAGGTGGCTGTTCACCGGAGGCTCAGGGAGGGAGGATGCTGAAGTGGGCGGTCGGGCCATTGGCAAGAGCAATGCGAGTGAGAGGAAAGCGGCCTCAGAACAAGTGGGGCAGGTAAGGAAAGAAAGGAGTTACCTAACTCCCAGCCCTGTGTTTTTTTGCAATCTGCCGCTGCCGCTTGCAAGGACAAAGGAAGTTTTTGGGGGGAGGGGAAGGTTAATCAATCAATTTCAACTTTTTATTTTATTTTATTTTAATTAATTTTTTAAAAAAGTTTTACAATAAAAACCCCTTCCCCAATCCCTCCCAACCCACCCCTAAACCCTCCCCCGTTCTTCCCAGAGCTGAATACAGGCTTAACTAGATCTTAAAAGAAAAAAAGTTTTAAACCCAAATAAACCTTAAGCAAATGTAATTACACTCAATAAACAAATTGTAAAATACTTTAACTCCATTATATATAAAAAACAAAAAAGGAAAAAAAGAGAAAATAAAAAAATAAAAAATTAAAGAATAATAACAATTACACTTCTAAATAATACCTTAAACTTATATAAATTATTCAAAAGCTAGATAATATTTTCTTATATCATACTTATATTGCATAAAATTTATCCATCTTTTCCACACCAAAAGATACTTCTCTTGCGATTGATCTTTCAAGAAAGCCGAAATTTTTGCCATTTCCGCTAAGTAAGAAACTTTAAAAAACCATTCTTGCAAAGTAGGCAAAAATTCCTTCTTCCAATATTGCCCTATTAACAACCTAGCCGCAGTAATTAAATTTAACATTAAAATAATCTCTTTATCATCACAATCAGAAACAATACCCAACAAAAACAATTGTGGAGTAAATTTTATCCTTCTTTTAAAAATTCTTTGAATATTCCACCATATCTTAATCCAAAAAGCTTTAATACTTTTACATGACCACCAGATATGATAATAAGTAGCATCCGAGCAACCACATCTCCAACATTTAGGCTGCAGGTTTGGATACATACGAGACATTTTTTGTGGATCAAGGTGCCATCTATAAAACATTTTATAAAAGTTTTCCCGTAAGTTTTGGGCTTGGGTGAATTTAACATTCCTCACCCAAATAATCTCCCATGTATCTAATAAAATCGGTTCATCAAAATTTTGTGCCCACTTAACCATACAATCTTTAACTAGCTCTGCTTCTGAATCCAATTCCACCAAGACATCATAAATTCTTTTAATGTGGGTTCGACTTTGATCTCTAATTTGTTTTAACAAATTCTCATCCTTTCTAAGCAAGCCCACCTTATAATCTATCTTCCACATTTCCAATAATTGTCTATACTGAAACCATGAATAAATAATATTTTCTTGTGCTAATTCATCCATAGATTTTAATTGCCAATTTTTACCATCCCACTTAAGTAATTGTGTATAAGAAATATTATCCATCTTAACTCCTCTCCTTATTCCTTCTATTGCATGCCATGGAATAGCCCATAATGGAATTCTTGAATCACTTCTATAGTATTTCTTCCAAACCCGAAGTAAAGAAATTCTTAAAATATGAGATCTAAAGACCCTATCAACCTTTTTATTATAAATTAAATAGGCATGCCATCCAAAAAGTAAATCCCATCCCTCCAAAAGGAGTATATCTACATTTGTTAGATTAACCCAATCACTAATTAATGTTAAGACCACTGCATCGTAATACAATTTCAAATTCGGTACCTTAAGTCCACCTCTCTCTCGTATATCTTGTAAAATTTTAAGTTTTACTCTTGGTTTTTTCCCTGCCCAGATAAATTTATTGATACCTTTCTGCCACTCATCTAAATAATCAATTTCAACTTCTTGTGAAAGATTGCGAAGTTGGAATTGATTGACCTTTCCCCCCCCAAAAAAAACTGTTTCCTTGCACACTTCAGCACCCTTGCTCCCTGAGCCTCTGGTGCTCCACCTGCTGCCAGCCCCCACCTTAATGCCCTGCCCACCACCGCCTAGCATGGCTGCCTGGGGCTGCAGGGGCTGGCCTGGCATAGGAAGGGCATGCGCCCCACCCTCCTGCCACCATGCAGGGTAAGGTTGCTGCACCCGCACCCGCCCAGATGCCCTCACCTCCCCCAATCATTTTTTTACTAACCTACCTCAGCTGCATTCTGTTTCTCCGTTCGCTTCTCAGCCTTTGCTTGAGAGGTTAGAAAGTCTGATGAAACTTTTTTTTACCGATAGTCCCACAAACACGTGGCGAAGGCTGAGAAGCGAACAGAGAAACGGAATGCAGCTGAAAGGCAAGTTAGTAAAAAAAAAAAAAAAAGCTTGAGGGAGGCGAAGGCATCTGGGCGGGGGGGGGCGGGCCCGGTAGCCTTACCCTGCGTGGCTTCGGCAGGTATCTGGCAGGGAGGGAAGCAACTGGTATACCACCATGCTAGCGCCGTTGCGTTGCTTCTCTACCCCGTGCACAGGCCCCGCCCCACCCAGCTTAAAAAGCCACTTGCCTGGGGAGATTTTGATGCACGTTGCTCATGGATGGGACTTAAGGCCTTGGACTGGGGCGATGGCACATGTGCCCACAGATAGGGCTTTGCATGTCACCTGTGACACGTGCCATAGGTTCGCCACCACGGCACTAGAAGTTGGATCCATGGCTCAACCCCATCTATTGGAGAGTTGCTCTGACACACCCATGAACAGCAAATTAACTTCATACCTATGTAGGAAATTCTTTTGAATTTTTGGGAAATAAGGTAAAAGGAAAAGAAAAGAGAGAAAAGAAGATGGAGATTTGCCAAGATTGAGGAAGTTTCTAGTGGAGCCGGCAAACTCCAGAATAAGACAGAATAAGAAACTGTAGAATTTTTTCCCGTTCTTCCTCCAGAGCTAATGGGTGAGATATCCACTGTAGAATGCTTTTAAGCAATAAGAGAAGGAACTTAATGGTTGATTTTAGATAAATATAAAAATGGCCATGCAGGACAAAATCAAAGCAATCCATATTAACACTAGTTATATTAGAGCAGCATTATAAAGTATCACAAACGAATACAAGCAATTTATTGGGCAAAATATTAGAGGAGGGAAGGGAAGGGAAGGGAGGGAAGGAAGGAAAGGAAGGCTGAAAAAATCCTAAATTAATAAATTCTGCATAGTGTTTCAAAATAATGTGCATGAAGACTATCGACTCTCAAATTATATTCTGAAATAGCATCCAAGATCTGTTTTAATGCTGATTGCAGTGTGTTTTATGACTACTTATAAATATTACACTTTATTAGTATTTGTGTTTTGATTTCTAGAATGTGGAACAAGGCCTGCTATGGATGAGACAGCATCAGGCAATCGGATTGTAGGGGGACATGATGCTCTACCTGGAGCATGGCCATGGCAAGTTAGTCTTCAGGTTTACCGCTTTGGTATAGGATACCATCATATTTGTGGTGGAGTAGTAATTACTAACAACTCATTGCTGACAGCAGCACACTGCATTAGAAAATGGAAGTATGTATCTTTTAATTTTAAACCATTTTCAGTTAATTTTAGATTAAAGAAAAGTGAGATAAAAATTATTTGATTTGAAAATATTTGTACATTTTTATGAATCTATTTTTCCTCCTGAATTGATTTATGAAGCAAGAAAACTCTATGAAGCAAGAAAACTCTATGAAGCAAGAAAACTATTAGAAATGTACATTTTTATTTGGGATAAGATGAAGTATTCCACCTAGTAAACTATACTAAATTAACAACATAACAGGATTGGCTGTGCAGAAAACAACAAAGAAGCTGTATAAATAGGCAACTTTGACTTTATAGCTTAAAAAGGCAGTTTATTTTCTCACAGAACATATTTATTTAGGGTCATGGAATTCTATGCTAATCAAATCAGACTTTTAGGTATGCCCCATAACATAGGTCAGTACCGTACACAAGATTTATATAAATTAAACTTCACATGTTAACTGAAAATATGTATTGTATAAAATGATTATTGTATAATTTTGTTAAAATAATTTTGTTAAAAATTGTAATTAAAATTAAAAATAATGCAACTGAAAAAATAGAAGATTAAAAAGAAAGCATAGAAAATAAAAAATAGAAAGTCATATAGAAAACAAAGAAAAAATAATATTGTGAAGAAAAAGAAAAGAAATATATGAAGAAGTGATTCACCTTTCTCATAATTATAATTTTTTCTAATAACTTAGCATCTTCTCTTAAAATACAATAAATGATACCTTCTTCCCATATCCCTGCTCTTAAATAATCCTTAAAACCTTGTCATTTGAGTCCTAATTTTAGCAAAAGACCATCAAGGGTTACCAGAAATAAGAACATATATATTTTAAGCTTGGTCAAATAAACCAACTTTCTTTTACTTCTTCCCTTTTACTTCTAAAAATCTTAATTTTTAGTCCCTCCAACTAATGTAGAACTTGATTTCTTTTCATTTCTTCTTTTTTAATTGAAAATTTTTAAATTTTACAAAAACAAATCCCCTTCCCATACCCCCCCCAACCCTACCTCACCCCCCTCCTCCCCAACCTCCCCAACCCTCCCCTAGACTTCCCAGAGCTGAGTACAGGCTTAATTGAGAAAAAAAACTTAAAACACTTTTAAAACCTAAACAAATTTAAATACAATCATCATTCTATATAAACTCCCTCCAAAAACGCAAATTTAAACATTACTTTCTTTGAATATCTATACCTATAATGTAAAATCTAATTTCTCCCTCTTTCTTTATCCTAATACAAAAAAATAAATATATAAACCTTTGTTATACCATCAAAACTAAATACTCTTAGAAAACTTAAAGTAAATACATATTTCCTTCAATCTTCATAATCTTCTCACCTATCCAAAAAAAAATTTAAAAATCCTAAACAAATCTAGACACATTTAGTTAAACAAATTATTTTCTCTTAAAGATATTAATAATATTTAAAAACTTGAAACACTTTTGAATCCTAAACAAATCTAAATACAATCATCATTCTATATAAACTTCCTCCAAAAACACAGATTTAAGCATTACTTTCTTTCCTAAACAAATCTAGACATTTAATTAAACAAATTATTTTCTCTTAGAAATATTAATAATAATATTTAAAAACCAAATTTAAGCATTACTTGAAACTTAAACAAGTTATACTCCCTTCGAAACACAAATTTATTAGAATACCCTCACTGAAATAAACAAATTATAATCCCTTCAAAACACAAGTTTAAACAATATTATCATTAAAGGTTTAAAACTTAAAGCTGAAATATATTATTATCCCAAAACACATATTTAGACATTACATAAGACATTTTCCAAAAACTATGTAAGTTTTACTTCTCCCACAATCTCAATAGTAAACTTCTTGTCTAAAGTTCTCATTCAATGTCCATAATTTTCTGTCCGATAACCAGTTGCACCCACTATAAACACAAACTTCTTATCTAAAATTTTCATTCAATATCCATAATCTCTTTTCATTTCTTCTTTGTCCTTTCTCATTAAATTCTTCAAATCTTCGATAAGCCTCTTTTGTAAATCCCATATAGGAAATTATTTAGGTCGCTCTGTTTGTTTTTTGTAAATATCCCTTTTAATTATTAATATACCGTACAAGCCAGCTTCTTTTGTATATCCAGTATAAAATCTTTTTCTGTGTCATTCTTATAGCCTGTCATTTTTAAATCCATTTTCACATCAGTCTCAATCATGTCAAATAATACTTGTTCCTCTTCAGTAGGATCTTTTTATCTACCTATAGAGGTAGATACACTTAAAATTAACTTTCCATTGATCAAAATATCTTTCAATATGTCCAATTTTGCCTCATTGTAAATCAAAATTGAATGTTCTTCTCCTTTAATTATAATGTTTAGTTCCCTTCAGAGTTTCCAATTTTTAAACCTTATTTTTTAAAAAAAATCAAAACAAAGGCATTTTCCCATGGAAAGAATTATTTAAAATTCTTTAAAATTAATTCCAAAATCTTATTTCAAATTTATCTGGTCCCTTAGTCCAATTGTATCTTTTTAAAATTAAAGTTTTGATCACCCTTTTGCTGTTTATTGGGAAAAAAATTAAATTCTTAAACTTGTTAAAACTTCTTTTGTTAAGGATTGAATAAAACTCTCCCACGACTGGAAAACCAATCAGTATTCCTAATAGCTGAATAGCTACTAACAAGAATTTCTGAAAGTGAATAGAAAAGAAAATATGCAAACTTAGTGTCATTTCAAAGGTGCCAACCATGGTTTGAACAAGATTGTTATTCACTGGTCTCCCAGAGCTCTAAACCCACTAGAGCAGGGGTGTCAGACTCGCAACATCATGTGACGTGTCATGACATATCGTGACTTTTTTTCCATTGCCGGCAATGGGATGGACGTGGTTTCGGCATGACGCATTTGGCCCTCAGGCCGGCAGTTTGACACTCCTGCACTAGAGACTGCTATCTTGTATTCATCTTGCAAGGAGCAGCTGACTGGAGCACTTACGGTGATCTCCTTGTCCAGAGAGGAATTATTTCAGTCTACTTGCGGAATTTTCATTCCTTTGCATTTATCAGTTCTACTTTTTGCAAAGTTGCCTCTAATATCATTTTTTCCCCCTGGAAGTCCCATAAAATGATCAAATCTTAATAGTTGCCATGTCTTTCACTGAATCATGCTATTAAGGTTGTCGTAACAAAAGAAACCATGCAATTAGCAAACTAATAGCAGAAATGCCACTGAGTGCTCAGTAGGCTCTAGATATTAGGATACACAGTATTGCTGTGTATAATAGTTAATAAAGCAGATATTGGGGCAGATTTTTAATTTGGAATTGGCAGCATCTATAAAACCTTGGAAAAAGAAATTTGGCAACCAAATGACAAAACCTGGTAGTATTTTTCCAAATTCATCAAAACCTTTCAACAAAAATGTTTAATTAATTATAATTACTAGTAGAGACATTACTATGTACCAATCTGAGGATACCTCATATACACTTTAGACAAGCTTGCTTAATATAATGCAAATTTAAGAATGTAGCACTATTAATTATTAAAGTCAGGTTCCGATGAATTGCCAACATAGATTTAAAGAAAATTTTATACTGTCAAGTGTTTTGAATAGACCCACTAAATTCCAAATCCAAGATCTCTTCTGATAATTTTTAAACATTTTCAGAAAAAAGTATTTTAATGTAATTGTTTTATATTGGGGATACTAGGTCAACACTGCAGAAATTCAGACAAGCATTAAATGACAGCAAATATAAAGGTATTCTAGAATAATCTCTGATTAGATTTGCACAGCCCAGATCTGATAGTTTAGCCCTACGCATCATGACCTGGTTGCACTTGTCTTATTTCAAACCAGATTGCACTTATGACTAACTCTTCTGTAAGATATATTCATATAGGCAGGTTTCCTTCAATAATCAAATTTCTGATTCTATATAGGATTACTGATTCTGATTTTGGTAAGAAGCTTATTTATTTTGCCTAGAACAGTTGCCATGACAATTCTTAAATAGTACTGAAGTTATAATTCCATAATAAACATTACCTACAGTATATCATTTTCCCCCTCTCCTAGGAATCCAGAGTTTTGGAGAGCTGTATTTGGCTTACATCATCTTTATCATCATCAATATTACACTAAAGAGAGTCAAATCAAAGCAATTATAATCCATTCTCATTTCAAGAAGGAAACGTATGAAAATGATATTGCATTATTTAAATTACAAAATCCTATCACATTTAATGATTATATTCAGCCTATCTGCTTACTTCCAAGTCATCTTTTTCTAGGTAATGATACTCCATGTTATATAACAGGATGGGGAAGTGCACATGAGGAAGGTAAATTTTTTAATTTCCTTGTAAATTAATTTATTGTTGAGTGCAATTTCACTGAGGGGTCTTTGGTGCTCTCTGAGCTTGCTTATTTTCTTGCAAACGTTTCATTACCCTAATTAGCACTGATGTCACCTAGGTAGGGTACAGTATATGAAACATTTGCAAGAAAACAAGCAAGCTCAGAGAGCACCAAGGACCCCTCATTTCAACCCTGAGCTACAATATTCTCCTTCATTGGTAATTTCACTGAACTCGTAAAATCTTTTTTGTTAATTCCATTTATCCCATTAAGTGGGAAAAAAGCCTGTGGTGACCTTTATGATACACAAGCAATTAGTTGTGTGAGTGTGTGTGTGTTTGCATTCAATAGTTTATGCTTATATTGCTTTTGTTCCATCAATTACCAAGCATTATATGCAGCTATCTCTTCAGTTTCTACAATTTCACTAAGCACTGTTTTCATGACAATAAGTAATAAACAAGGCTGATTCTTGTTAAAAAATGAAAGTGGATATCTTTGTGAATTACAGTATATATATAAATATTTACTCTTAGAGTATTTCGACTGAGGAATTGTACTTCAGTATTTTCATGTATCAGATAATAGCGTGAATCAAGAAATAATGATTAATGGAAAGGGAGAATCAGTTCAAAGATCAAGAACAATGAGTTGGTATAATTGCATCTATACTGTATAGATACAATTGTTTGCCATTGTTATGTAAGTTCGTGTAACACAGGACAAACAATCGTGTTTACTATCACTTGCTTTCAGTTAAAATATTCCACTCCCCATGAATCCTGTTTCATGAACTTTTCCAACCTTGCTAGACACGTATTGACATTCTACCAATCACTCAGGAAACTTGATACTGCTATTCTAAACTCTGCTATGTAAATAATATGCATATTCTTTCATACTGAACTAGTAAGAGTAAAGTAGTACTTTGCTTCAGAAATTCATTCATGAAAAATTTAATTAACTCTCTTGCATAGGATTATTAAAGTAAGTCAACAGGTTTATTGTGAGTGCAGGTCATAATAATGCATATTAGCAGGGTACCATATATTTACTTCACACCAATCATGTAGGACTCATCAAAATAAAAACTCTTACTAATCTCTATTAATGACATATAAAAATATATGGTTCCTTCCCAAATATATATAGATCATTGTGGACAATGGATTCATTTTTGTCTTTAAAAACATGGCTGCTATTCAGAAAGTAAATAGCTGTCAGTAGGCAGCAATTTTCCTTATTGAGTTATACCAGTACTTTAAAAAAAAATAGAAGCATAAGTATACTTGTAGCATTACTTTTTGTTTTTTCATTAAAGGTGAAAAAATATATATATTACAAGAAGCACAGGTTGATATTATTCCACAAAATATCTGTAATAGATACGATTGGTATGGTGGAGCAATAACAATGAATATGTTTTGTGCTGGCTCTGAAGGTGGAGCTGTAGATAGCTGTCAGGTAAAACTGAAATAATTTCATTTTTATTTTTTTGTCATAAAATCCTGATTGGTACCAGTCAAGCAAATAAATTTACAAATCTACAAAATAAAATTAGTTGACACTTTTTGCAGGAAAACAGGCATCACAATTTAGTTCAACTAATATTTTTTACTTTGCTCAGAATATTTCAACTACTTTGTGTCCATACAAAATAATTTTGAAATAGAGGTTGAAAGTGGTTCATTTCAACATTACATATATAGTAATTATAAAACTTAACAGAGGATGAATATTCTTATGTATTTTTAGTCTGTATCTTGACTTTCAGAGTAAGCATATTTATACTGGAACTGGAATGCCCAAAATATCAATGAAGAAATTTAGTAACGTTAGTAGTTTAAATTTAGTAATTTAGCAATCTTGCACCACTTATCCAAAAGGAAGCCCCATTGAATTAAGTGGGTTGCTTGCTAAGTGCACTTTGTAGCACTGCTCTCTAAATGAGACACAAGATTGCCTAATTCAAACTTTCCATATTTTCTTAGAAAAAATATTTTAACAATTCATGTCAAAATAGGCCTTCCGCATTTTAAAATGTAAGTATATTCTAAGCAAATTAATTCCTTCATTTTTTAGGGAGACAGCGGCGGACCATTGATGTGTTATATCCGAGATGTCACACATTATTATCTGGTAGGAATAACCAGCTTTGGTCGTGGCTGTGGCCGACCAAACAATCCAGGCATCTATGTACGTCTAGTGAATTACAGAAATTGGTTGAAAACTCTTTTACAAAGCAGAACTACTACTATGAACATTCCTAATGTTCTAATTTTGTTGATAATAAGATGGATAGCGTTCCATATGTCTCTATGAAAAATTGACATGATATCAGATGGTCTTTAAATATTATTTCCTTTTATAAACAAGTATAAAACAATATTTAATAATATGAATATATTATGTTTAGCATACATTTTGTAATATTTCACCTACATAGCCTAAATAAATTGAAAAACATGTATTTAAACTGTTTTTAAAAAGGAAAAAGCTTGAATCATAGACAGACAGATAGATATATTGACTATAAAATGGATGAAAATATAAGACTATTTTACTATATCAATAAGACTGGTCTCTCGTGAAAACACTTTTCCCTCCTGAATGGGACTAATAATTTGTAAAATTATCTTATTCCATATAAATTCAAAAGAAATGCATATGACAAATGCCTAATGTTGCCATGTATGCCATATATTCACTGTCATTAAAAAAACTGCAGTTGAATACAGATTGTATGCTTGTAATTTCAGTCTACTATTTTACTTTCTCAGACCGATATCATTACTAAATGTGGATTATAAATTATTACTTCAATAATAGCATACAAAATTCCAAACAATGTCACAAATAAAAACTGCTATGTAATATTTTCATGTTTCAGGGAAACAGCAGTATACCTTTGATGTGCTGTTTATAAAATAACACCAGGTTATATCCTATTGGAATTACCTACTTTGGATATGAGTGTGGTCCACCAAAATATCCAGGTGTTTATGTAAAAAAAAGTTTAATTATATAAGTTGGATAAATTTATTAGCTAAAATGAGAAATCTGAAATGTCAGTTTTTCTTTACCTTTTTCACTGTGGTACGGATTAACCCTATGAACAGGAAAATAGTTATTCTACTAGATTGCAATAATCTTGGAATAGTTCTTCATGTCAGTATTTCTCTGCTTGGAAACACAGCAACTCCAGCAGAAATTGCTTTACATAAATAGCTAACTTGCTACAAGTTTAAATTAAAAAATTATTTTGCCAGAATTTAAAATAAAACCTGCCAGGTTACTATATATCAGGTAATGCCAATTTTAGCTTCTAAAGTTAAAGTGTTCAGACCATATCTAAAGTAATTTTTTGAACTACAATCATATATGAAAGTTTGAGCTTAATAATTATTTTGCTTGTTCCACTTCCTTTTTAGCAATATAATTATGTATAACATCTTCATTAGAACAAAATAAAATGTTTATGTACAAAGAATATATAAAACAGTCACATCTTAAATTCATTAATACATATTGTTTTTGATTAATATCCAGAATGATAACAAGAAACATGTCCCAATACCTGAAATCATTATGCTGGTAATCATAATCTTCTGTGATTATACTAGTCTGCAGTTCTTCAGATTATCACACATTAATTTTATCTAGCGTTCTTTCAGTCTTGATGACTCTGAGGATATATAGACCATATTCTTAGCAGCATAAGGACAAAATGAAGAATGGGTAAGAGGCTGAAGGGAGTAAATTTTGGAAAAAGTAAATTAATTCTCTTTCAACTAGAGAAAATTTCATGAAAACCTGGACTTGATCTAATAAAACTGCTTATTCACAGGGGTTACATTCCATTCATGTAAAGTGGAAATACTTTGAAAAGGTTTACTATTTAGGTAAATGAAGTTAAAATATACACAGATAATATAACACAGAACCCAAGAAATACTTCTTTGGGTCTAGGACAGTGGTGGCGAACCTATGGCACAGGTGCCAGAGGCAGCACTCAGAGCCCTCTCTGTGGACACGCACACCATCACCCCAGTCCTAAGCCTTCAGCTGGGCTTTAGAAAACCTTTTGCTTTAGGCCTCCACCGCCATGTGCACAAAAAAAAAAAAAGTTCAATCAGTCAATTTCAACTGGCAGGAAAAAAAAGATCTTGCAAAGTTGTGATTGATTGATTGAACTTTTTAGTCCCATCCAGTCTGCTTTAACACTGTGGCCACGCCTAGCTAATGGGCCACACCCAGCCAATAGGCCACACCCACTTGGCACTCCACAATGCATAAGTGGGTTTTGGGTTGCAGTTTGGGCATTCAGTCTCTAAAAGATTCGCCATCACTGGTCTAGGATATATTCAGTAATCTCCAGAATACATGTGGAAGCTGTTCCCACCACAGACCATAACGGATCTCACAGGGGCAGCCTCAAAAATGCCTGAAGATGTAAGGCTGCGGCCCCCATTACTTTGAAAGGTAACCAGCTGGAGTCTGCCAGTCAGAATCAGAATAGCCAAGGGGTCCATTATGGTAGTGAAGAGGGCCTTCACACACCGCCACCCCACCCCACCCCGATTCAGCCAGCGGTTATTTCAATCGGGCGGTTCGGTGGCCGGTTGAAGGCAAGACGTCGCCTTCCCCCTCGATTTGCACCAGGGGACCGCCTTGGCTAGGGACGCCCCGCGAGGCTAACGAGAAAAACCGTCGCTCGCGCGCCCTGTCACCTGACCCTCGCCTGAGGGAGAAGGCGCGCTAAGTCGGTTGCCATTTTGCTTCGTGGACGGACGATGAACCGCAAGATTGCCGCCGCCTTTTCCTTTTGGGCTTTCCTTGTGCTGTTCAGGGAAGCCGCGCCCAAAGCCCTGTCCTCCCTGAATCTTACCGACGGTGAGCTTGGCCTCGCTCCGTCCTCGCAGGGCGTCGAGCTCGGTACATGATCGCCAACGTGCTGCTTCGGACGGGGTAGCCTACCAGATCGAGCTTGAGGGGAAAAGCCGTCAGCGGAGCGCGCGGGAATTCTTCGCTGAGGGAACGCGAGGGCCGAGGCCGTCGTCGGAAACGTTTCCTCCCGAAAAGGAGGCGTCCGCCGAGCTACCCTGCTGCCATTTATGCAACAGTGGTGGCTGTCGAAAGGCCCATCACGATTGCATAAATGGGGGCGCCGCTGGCGTTTGCTCTCGGGACGAAAAATAATTGCGGACTACTACAATTTTGTCTGTGCAAAGTTGTGTTCTGACAGTACGAGGGTTTCGTTCCCTACAGCAACTAAATTGTGGGCGTGTGATTCTCTCTCTCTCTCTTCTTTACTTTTGAAATGAGCGAAGGAAATACAGTTTATCCCGGGCGTGGCTGCTGCCGTTTTCTGGACTCCCCGTAACCCCTGAATTTCTGTGCTGGGATCTATTCGAAAATAAAGTTATATTTTACCTGTTCCCAGCTCTTGGGGAAATGTCTATAATTACCACCGCAATTGGAATGGGACGCACAGAAGTTACGATATAAAGGAATTAAAGTTTCGGGACCAATGGGTAGTAACAGAAGAAAGAAAGCTGAGGCCAAGCTTATTTGTAATTTACATACTAAATTGTGCCTGACGTGTTATCAGATCTTAAAATAAGGAGTCTTTAAATCATTGGTCACAACTGAATGTATTTTGGGGTCATTATTTAGATTTTAGATTTTACTTGTGTATTGGAACACTGGTAAAGATCCTATACCTGATGGAACTAAGTTTGAATATCTGCGTGCTATGTAATTAGTTTGTTTTCATCTAGATCTCATCATTCACCGTGTTAGTTCTGGTGTATTTTTTCTTGCACAACACACTGAACCATAAATTAGCTACAGAGACTGACTTTGTACAGGTAGGCTAAGGTAAAATTAACAAATATATGGTTTAGTCATACAACGTAAACAGGAGTGATTCGGTTCCTCAAATCTTACACTCTTGTTTCATCTTTCTTGTAGAATTGGTTTGTAAAATAACTGCTTGAAATATATGTTGCTAAATGAATGCTATTTCTTAGATGGCTTACCTATTTTTCTTTGATTTCTAGTCTGTGGAACAAGGCCTCTTATGAAAACTACAGCAACAGGAACTCGAATTGTAGGTGGACATGATGCTATGCTAGGAGCATGGCCTTGGCAAATTAGTCTTCAGGTTTATGCAATTGGTGTAGGATATGTCCATGTATGTGGTGGATCTTTAATTAATACAATCAAAGTGTTGACAGCAGCCCACTGCATTAAAATATCAGAGTATGTACCTTTTCATTCTAATACTTTTTCTTCAATTGGGTGTAATAAATCTACTGACCAAAGAAATACTGATCAAATATATAATTATATATCAAAAATTGAGATTTAACATGCCTTTCCTAATTTATACAGAATTGAGTTTTGAAGCAGGTGTAGCTTCATACTACTTGTCAAGGATCTAATAAAGGAGAATATTTGTTAAGGATCACACAGAGATAGAATGTAGGGAGGAATTTTTGGTGCTTTCAACAGATTTGTTTAATTATTTGCCTGAAGCTTTTTCATATTCAATCCTAGAGTAATAAAAGACTCATATTCAGAACTATCAGGACAAACTTAATTATTTTAATGATAAATAGTTGTGTAGAAGGATAACACAAGAGAAAAATATTTTAAGCATCATAAGCCATTTTCACTTATTTCACTTATCTCGGCTTTACCATATATTATTATATTCAATTTTTTAAAATTTCTCTTTCCTCCAAATAACTCCTTTCCTATCATATGATTTAACCAATCAGTTTTAGATGGCTAATCCAATTTCTTTATTTAAAACATCTGGTTTTCACTTCCTCTAGCAACTCTGCTGGACAGCAAAAGTAAGAAATCTGCTTGCTCAGGCCATGAGGTCATCAAGCAAACATCTTTGTTACATAGAAGCCAAATATGCCTTTAGGAAGCTGAATCACTAATGTTCCTCCTTCACTGTCACAAGTTAGAGATAGTAAATATGTACTAAGATTAGTAGCCTTTGTTAATTTGATTCCTTTTGAATTTGTCCATTCTTTTTTAAATAATCTAAATCAGTGACTGTCACCTTCTGTTAAGTGATCACCTCCTCACAAGGAGGTATATGTATATGTCCCAACAGCTTTTACACCCATTCCAAGCCATCTCTTCTTGCCTTTCCACCCTCTTGTATCTTCTATAGCAGCCACAACCCTACTAGCCTTTGATTGTTGAAGATTAACAGGAAGTTGTCAGCAGGTGCTCACTTAACCCAGAATATTCACCTCACAATGGCATTGGGGACTGTAGGTATTTCTGTCCAATGCAGTCACATTATGTTACAGTTTGTGATCTCATCACTTAACAATGGAAATTCTAGTTCCAATTTCCATTGTAATTTGAGTACTACTTGTATTATATTTCTGCTATTGTGTGGCTTACCATTCCTACAAAATAAACCAACAGTGAAATCTCAGGTATCCTATCAACACATTTGTGATTATATTCTTAAAAATATTTTTGTTTAGCTATCCTTGTGTGCCTCCTACACCCTTCGCCCCAGACTACCTCAGTTTTCTTTTCCATTTATTCTCTCTAGCCTCACCCTTCCAATCTGTTTAGACTACACATGAACTGAGTTCATAGAGAATTAATTACCCTGCCAACAAGTCTACTCTAGGAGAGTGCTACACAGCTCCAGCTCCTCCCTTTGCTGCTAAATTTCTCCTTCTGTCTAAATAATACTTTGCTGCTCTGTGTGTTTTGTCTTATTTCCCAACACGTTCAAACAACATCCAACATTTATGTTACAATTAGCTACCATCCTACCAGTCCCAAATGTTAAAGGATCTCATTGTATTCTCACAAAAAGTATCAGTTCTTTAAACATTACAGATGGTTCTCTATTAATTCTTCATGAAATATTTATGGTTATTATTTAATTTGTTCTTTGTTTATCTTTGAGAGCCTAGAAACAATATATGTTCCTTGTTGAAATACTTGAGAGGAACCCCCCTTTTATATCTTATTCCCCTTTTTTTAATAATGACAGGGCTAGTATCTTAAAATACAACACTTGATTTCCATTTCAGTTTATCTTTCTTAGTCCATGAGTTTTTTGCTGAATTTTCTTTTTCCACCTGATTTTTTTACAAATATATTATCTCTTGGCTTTTGCAGTTGACTGAACCTAAGAGAAGAGTCTCTATTGACACATTGCATATGAAAGCTTTAAATCTGATCATTTAAGTTTTAAATATCCAGTTAAATCAGCCCTTTCTGCCTTTCCCCTGATTCTTTGCCATTTCAGGGGTTACCTTTCTTAGACATCTTTTTACTGTTAATATGGCCAAAGTCAGATATTAATAAAACATAAATGAAAAAAATTATCAAGAAAGCTGGACTGTGAGAAAAGCAATATGCTCACCATGCTGTCTTCTCCACTCACTTCCCCGCCATTGTTTTCCAAATCGGATGGATGGATTGACACATGTCTACATACGTACATTATTTTTCAACTAGCTGAAGGATGCAAGGGTAACACTGTTTCAGCACTGGAGAATCATAGAGCTGGAAGGACTTTTGGGATCACCTAAACCAGTGGTTCTCAACCTTTCTAATGCCGTGACCCCATAATATAGTTCCCCATGTTGTGGTGACCCCCAAGTGGGTGTGGCCACCAATAAGAGGGAGTAGGACAGCTAGGGAAAAGGGAAAAAAATGGCGGACAGCGTGGTTTGGCGACCCCCGTGAAATGGTCATTCGACCCCAAATGGGGTCCCGACCCACAGGTTGAGAACCACTGACCTAAACCAAGCCCCCACTGAGTGCAAAAGCCATTACTGTAGACTGTCTTTGGTGGATAATCATCTGGCTTCTGTTTGAAGATCTCTAAAAAAGAGATCTTTTCCCTGCTAACTTAAGCTTATATTTCTTCTGGGTACCTAGGCATCTTGCATTTTGGTGCAGCCAGCTTTATTAAAATAGACTTCAAAGACACTTTTGATCTTAAAAATGTATTACAGGTTGTTCTTTACTTTGCAACATATCAGCCTATAATTAAACATTTAAAATATCAGAAAGATCACTATTTTGGGAACTAGCATTACTTGTAAAATACCTGTGACACTTACAGAAACTGATTAATTCTGGTCTAGTGCTGTATTAATGATTTGATTAGTTTCGATACAGAAACTGAATAAAATTGAAACTTTAGTAAAATACAGAACATTTTAAGAAGTTTGTAAGAGTAATGCACTTACTTGAAGACTTTAAAAAGGGCTTAGATTGGAACATGCTTTCATTGGCTATAAGTAATGCTGAGTATATGCTACCACCAGAGAGACATATATAGATTTCCTATAAGCATCTAAGCATTTATTGTGGGAAGCAGGATACTTAATTGGGTGGAGTGATAGTTGGTAATTCTGTTATTTTCTGCAGTGATCCTTGTTTTAGCCACATAATCCAATTTTAAACAGGATCTATACTTAGTGATTTATTGTTTACTGAGAATGGAATAAAAATGATTTCCATGTCATAGAAGTTATAAAATAGCAATGTAGTAATAATAATCCATATAAAAGTTTTGTTCTGTCCTAGGAACCCAGCCCTTTGGAGGGTTGTAATTGGCTTGCATAATCTTAATGATAATTCTCATACAATAAAACGTCGGATTAAAGCTATCAATATACATCCTAATTATATGGCAGACACATATGACAATGATATTGCCTTGATAACACTAGTCAGATCTATCAGATTCAGTGATTATGCTCGTCCAATCTGCTTACCTGCCACAAATCTTTTGACAAATCGACAGTATCCATGTTATATATCTGGATGGGGTAAAACACAGGAAAAAGGTATTTTTCTATTATTATTTCTGTGGCATTTATATAGAGATTATGTACAAACATCAGATTAAAAATTACTGTGCAACAAAAACAAAACTAACAACTGTCGGGAAAAACTTGTTAAAACAAGACAACACACCATAAACATCTCACTTTAGGATCCAGAGGTTTATTGAAATTTAGAACACATAGCAATTACATACCAAAACCCATTGCAATGAGGACCAAATGCACAAGCTGTCAGTGAGTGATGGATGGTGAGCAATTGGCCTGACTCCTTTTCAGTGCCACTCTTTTATACCTTAAAACCACAAACATTTTACAACAGTAATCAATTATTTTGCAGTAACAGTACTTTCAGTTCTTGTTCCAACCACAGCTTTTCCACATAACTGCTTGTTACACGTGTCATTGCATAAATCACATACTAGTACAAAAACAGTTCCTTAATTCTCAGACATTCAAGTTTCTGTGTTCTAAATATATAAAGAAATATGCAAGTTTGCAAAAGTGCAGTGTTGTGCAAAAAGCCACAGCTCTGATTACAAATATTACTACAGTAGGCAGAAGGCCTCAACTAAATCAATACACTTGATAATATTATTCAAGGAGGCTTTTAGCAGATAACAATAACTTTCAATAAAATTATTTTTCTCACACAACCATACAATAGAAGTAAGCATATGTCACTGTATTCATCATAGTTCTTTTGGTTCTCTTTTAAAGTGTTAAGAATATTATGTTTCTGGCAAACATTTTGCTGTTACCATTCACTATTCATGGCATTTCACATGTTTATAAGAAAACTAGACTTAATTTATACTTAAGGGAATGCTGAAAATCTTGGATAGTGAAATTAGGTTTTTACAAATATAGGGCACAGAAAGGCTATTTTTATTTTGGCACTGGGCCTCTATATCTGAGAAGTCTTGGATCTGGATTTATATGAAAGACGCTAAATATGTAGAAGCAATTCTTTTCATCCTCCCTTCCCCCAAATGTTGAACAAGGTAACCTTCAGTCAGTGGTGGGATTCAAATATGTGAACAACCGGTTCTCTGTGTGGATGCCGCTTCCGGAAGTCCATTCTGGGCTTGAGCAACAAAAAAATTAGCTACCGGTTCTCCCAAAGTGGTGCGAACTGGCTGAATCCTACCACTGCCTTCAGTACAGAGAAAGGGCAGAAAGGAGCTCCATTAACAGCAGATTGCATCTGCCTTTGCCTGAACTAAAAAGTCCCCTTCAATTTAAGTTTTAACTCCTGTGACTTACAATCATGCAGCTTTCTTTGCAGCAGTAGAGCAGTAGTTTGCCATAGGCCAGCACTATATGTACTACTGGTAGTCCTTGGTTAATTTGTTCAGCAACTGGTTGAAGTTGAAGTTAAAATGGCACTGGACAAGTGATAATTACAACTGGTTCTAAAGCTTCCAGCTGTCCCAGCACCCCCATAATCATGTGATTGAAATCTGGATGTTTGGCAACTGGCTTGCACTTAAGAGGGTTGCAACTGTTCACCCATCATTATCTCTTCTACCCAGCAGCAGCCTGTTACTTGTCTGGCAGCTTGCTTGCAAGCTGTTTGGGTCTTGCACCTTCCTGCTAGCTTCCCCACTAACTGGTTGTTGGAAGCCGGCAGGAAATTACAAGGAGTCAAGATTACATATTGACTTAATGATCCATAATCCTGGCTTAACAGCTGCAAGAGGAACTGAAGAGATTGCTGTCTCTAAATGATGTGGTCATGTGCTGTCACACTTTACAACAGGATTGCTTAGTGATGGAAATTCTGGGCTCAATTGCCTTTGTAACTTTAGAACAGTGGTTCTCAACGTTTGTGTGACGGCGACCCCCGTCACACAAACGTTCTGCGCATGCGCGGCGCCGCACGCATGGTGGCGGTGCCCCCATGCGTGGCAGCGCCCCCATGCGTGCCGCTGCCCCCATGCGCGCTGCCGCCCCCATGCGCAGCGCGCATGCGCGCCGCCACCCCCTGGGGGGAGAAAATGGCGGATTGCCTTCTTTGGCGACCCCCGAAAAATGGTCGATCGACCCCAAATGGGGTCGCGACCCATAGGTTGAGAACTGCTGCTTTAGAACTATACTATCTGTATACCAAACTGGCTCTCATTAGGTTAACTAGTGCTGCCATCTACTCTAGTGCTCTATGAATTACAGTTTACCTAATTCAGTGTCTTCTTGTACAGGATTTTGGAATAGATAACATAGTGAGAGCTTCAGCAAATGACAGCATATGGATCACAATTTCTAAGCTCAGAAGCTAAAGAAGATACCCAAATGGGAGATTTTCAAAGACTAGTACTTAGGCTGTAGGCTAGTGTGGGAAATCAAAAGATGTCTTAAGAAGAAGGAAGTAGGAAACCACTTTTGTATTGTTGCCAAGAAAATTGTGTGGATATCAGGAATCAAACTCAACTTAAAGGTTTTACATAGACATGGTGAGGTTAGTTGCATGAGCTTGCATTGAAACTAAATTGATACTCTAATTGTACTCTTAAAATACGTTAAGTTTACTAGACTCTGAGCTCTGAAAGATAGCTCTTCCCTTTCAGTTCATGATTCAGTTCAGTTCAGTAGCAGCTCTTTTTACTGTCACTTTTGGCTGTCCAGATTACATTTAGTTCTGCTCCTGACCTTACTAATTAGCTTCGAGCAACCTGAACAGATTTCTTATCAACAAAGCATTTGCTTTTTTAATCTTACAGACTAAAAGGACTGCCTATTTAGAATGTTGATGAATCTGGCTACTTGTACTTTCCAGCATTTGAAACTAAAAAACAACCATCAAAAGATTTCACTAGGCAGGGTTTAGCTGCTAAAGATTAAACATAAGTATCTTCAGCACCAAGAACAGCACACTTCCTCATCTTTATAATTTGCAGCATTTCTGTTAAAATGACAAGCAAATGTAATATGATGTAGCTAAATTAATGATTCTAAACATTTTATTTCATTACACTCATTCCCCTTAGTTTTCCATTTCATAACTTCTCCCCATCCCATCAGGCATTCATTCTGCAACAAATAAACATACTTGGTCATAATTAGCCTACTTTTGTTAATTCTATCAACCCAACTTAATCTTTCTCAGTATAATTTGTCTGGCTTTTGTAGAGTTTATTGACCCATATGCTGAAAGTTGTTTGGTCCTCAACTTTGAGAGGGCAAATAATACTGAAACTGTAACTTTTAAAAAATCATCACCACACATATAAAACTGCCTCTGAAATTTCAGAAATATTTTAGTAAAAAATGCCAAAATAGTGGAAATAAGAGTTTCATCAATTTAGCAGACTCCAGAGTTTTTAAACTTTATTTTTTAAAATTTTTAAGTTTTTAAAACTTTTTTAAAAATTTAAACTTTAAGGGGCAATCAGTTTGAAGGAATACAAGTATACACTCTTAGTTTGATTCAAATATTTTGATGGCGCTATTACTTTACAATATTCAAAATTTTGGTTTATTTTTCTTCATCTATCAGAAGAAAGAATTACCTTGAGAAATCCTTGAAATTAAAGTGATATTTTCTTCATCAGGATTACATGAAATAAATCCGAGTATAATTTAAGATTCATTGCACATAATAGCTTGTTAATATTGTCTTAATTATCTTACTGATCCATCCTTTAGACAACTGTGCCTATTACTTCCAGATTGAAGCAGACAACTAAAATTACTTGCCAAACTCATTTAAAATATAGAAACTTTTTAGTATATATCACTGTGTTGGGTATGTTCACTACCTTTAATTTTTTGAAAAAAATAATAAAGGCAGGAGACAAATAAATGAATAAACATACTTAATGCCATAATAACTACAAAAATAACATATTTTTAAAATCTAGTTTAAAGCACTTGGGAGTAATTTGGCCCTGATTTTATTGATTCCTGTTTCATCCTTGTTGAACTCAGCCATGCTGACTGTACAAATAAGATTGAACACAAAAATGAATTCATAAAAATAAATCCTACACCATTACAAACTAACCACAAAAGGACAATTAAGTCTTTGAGATGTAACAATTAATGAGAATAGAAATAAAATAATAAAAGGAACAAAAATCTCAACAGCACTTACTGTTCTGTATAATCTTGATTCTAAGTTGGATGCCATACAAAATTAGACACAACTCCAAAATACTAGAATGAATCTTGAAGATTATTTTGATCAGCAGTATACTTTTTGGAGTGTTAAGTATAATGTAAGCTTGGTAGAATATATCAGAAAGGCTTAGTTGTCTTAAGTAATGACTGATTTGTTTCACAATGTCATGATACGTTATATGTTTTTACAGGTGAAAACAACTTAATATTACAAGAAGCTCAAGTAGATATTATTCCACAGAATATGTGTAATAAACCCAGCTGGTATGCTGGAACAATTACATTGAATATGTTCTGTGCTGGCTTTCCAGCTGGAGGTATTGATAGCTGCCAGGTAAAAGAATTTTAGGTTAGATTATGTTAGCAAAGCTTGTTGCGCAGGTGCTTGGACAATATATTTTAATTACTCTTTATTACATATTATTACAATTTACCTATAGCCTATTTCTTTACTGCATATTTCTTTACTATCTACAGTAGGCTCCTGATTTGAAGCAGATTTTCTGACAGTCATTTTCTCAAAGAGTTCAGATCAGTTTCAGAAGGGAAACAGATCTTGCCCTCATGCTAGCAATCTAAAAAAATATACAAACGAAGGGAAGATGAGACCGATGAATTATTCAAAGTGGAAAGACTAGCTCAGGAAGACTATACTTTCGTTTTTGGAGTTCTTCCTTGAATAGTAGTTTGTGATACTTACTCCTTTGGCTAATGGATGGGGCCAAAATTACTTTTGTTGATGAATGGGATCAGAATAAACTGCCATTCTGTTTTTCTGTCCCAGGAAAGAACCACTGAATTCTTTATGCAATAAAGTGGCCAAGCAATTTTCCAGCTCTCATTCTTTTCCTATCTGAGGTAAATATCTAAGTTGGGACCCCCCCCCAACTATAATGGAGACCTATGAACAAAATTATCTGGATACATTCAGAGTACCCACAAAAGAAATGTTTTTCTGGAAGTGCAGTATTCAGCAGAGATATGCTACAGTCAAAGCCTAGTTTTTTTAAAAAAAATAATAATTAGGAATCATAAGCATGGTTATTTTTCTTCCACTTATGCTATATTCTACAGTTCTTACAGTACAGAATTGAAAAATGAGAATAATTTTCCCCTCAGGAAAAATGTAAAGACAATTAACTCAGCCAACTGACTTGCAAAAAAAAATGAAGGCACTGAGAAGTCACTTTCATACTATGCCAAGAAAATACATGGATGTGTCCATGTAAGTCAGGGGTTCCCAACTGGGTGTGCGAGACAATATTCCAGGGAATGCCAAAACTTGGATTTAGAACTTTCAAATACAGTGTATATCCATAATTTGTTATTTAAAACTTTTTTAAGGGGTGCAAGAATATATCAGAAGTGTTCTAGGGTGTGGGAGCCACTGATGTAAGTCATCAGGGGTGGATGAATTAAAAGTGAATTGATATAAGAAGAGGACTATCCTGAAAGATTAGTAAAGTCAAAATGCTATTCAAAACTTCTGAAAAATCCTGAATTTTCTGAGTCTTCTATATTGTTACTATTTCATTTTTTCAGCATTATCAATTATTGAAAAATGAACCTAGAAATTGACTTAATATCTTAACATAACTTGCTTACCTGCCAGGATATAATTTGCTTTTTCAAGATTAATCAAATAAACCCCACCTTTGCACCATGTGAAACAATAGTTATGGTTTGACTTAATTAATTCCTTAAAAATTGCTTTTACAGAATAGTAGCAAACTCTATAGGAAAATTAGAAATTATTTTGTTTCCATTCTGTGTATTTAGACTACTTACCTGTCTCCAAAATAGATAATTTGAAAATAAAGGATAAGGTGATTTGTCTTCATTAGCCATGTATAAAATGCTTTCTTATGATAGCTAAAACTGGATGATACTCTTAGATACCTAGTTTGATTTTTGGGCAAGCCTGTTGAGCAGGTAGCTGATTTTCCAAGAAATTATATCTAATTGGCCTACTTCGTGTATTACCAAACTAGAGTAAGATTGTTTAGGTTTTCCAAATTTATTTTTCCTAGAAATTTTTTTTTTTCCTAGTATTTTCTTTTGACAATTGATATCTGTTGCTTCCTAAAAATTAAAAATATATTAAAACATATTATTGGCTTTTCCTGTTCCAGGGAGACAGCGGTGGTCCTCTGACATGCTACCTTCCAACCACTACCAAGTTTTATTTGATAGGAATTACCAGCTTTGGCTATGGCTGTGGTCGCCCAAGACATCCAGGAGTTTATGTTAGGACAATTAATTATATAAGTTGGATAAACAATTATTTACAGAGTAAAATTGTAACTGTGGAAATTCATTGCCTCTTGGTCTTTTTAATTGTGTGGTGGACAGTCTTCCATATTCTGTAAAATGGCAGTTTCTTTCCATTGTATGCAGTAAATCTCTATTGCTCTTTAAATGTATTTGGTTTTTCTTGGGAACAGTACCATTATCAAAATTTGCTTTTTAAAAATGCCCATACAATTTAAATCTGCCTTCCATCATATTTACATTCAAATAATGGTCTATAAGTTTAATATCTTTCCAAATACACTAAAATATGAAAATGAAGTCAGTTCTTAAATAAACATTATAGCAATCATATACATGATTAGTGAATTTTAAACAAATCTACCCTAAATTTATATTTTTCACTGTGAAGGATAAATTATGTTTATTAAAAGATGTTGTTAATTGCGAAGTCGTGTCCGACCCATCGCGACCCCATGGACAACGTTCCTCCAGGTCTTCCTGTCCTCCACCATCTTCTGGAGTCCATTTAAGTTCACACCTACTGCTTCAGTGACTCCATCCAGCCATCTCATTCTCTGTCATCCCCTTCTTCTATTGCCCTCAATCTTTCCCAACATTAGGCCCTTCTCCAGTGAGTCCTTCCTTCTCATTAGGTGGCCAAAGTATTTGAGTTTCAACTTCAGGATCTGGCCTTCTAAAGAGCAGTCGGGGTTGATCTCTTCTAGGACTGACCGGTTTGAACGCCTTGCAGTCCAAGGGACTCGCAGGAGTCTTCTCCAGCACCATAGTTCAAAGGCCTCAATTCTTTGGCGCTCAGCCTTTCTTATGGTCCAACTTTCACAGCCATACATTGCAACTGGGAAAACCATGGCCTGGACTATACGCACTTTTGTTGGCAGGGTGATGTCTCTGCTTTTTAGTATGCTGTCTAGATTTGCCATAGCTTTCCTCCCCAGGAGCAAGCGTCTTTTAATTTCTTGGCTGCAGTCCCCATCTGAGGTGATCTTTGGAGCCCAGAAAAATAAAATCTGTCACTACCTCCATTTCTTCCCCATCTATTTGCCAGGAATTGAGAGGGCCGGATGCCATGATTTTGGTTTTCTTAATGTTGAGTTTCAAGCCAACTTTTGCACTCTCCTTCTTCACCCGCATCAAGAGGCTCTTTAGTTCCTCTTCACTTTCTGCCATTAGAGTGGTATCATCTGCATATCTTAGATTGTTGATATTTCTCCCGGCAATCTTAATTCCAATTTTTGATTCATCTAGCCCTGCCTTTCTCATGATGTGCTCTGCATATAAGTTAAATAGGTAGGGTGACAGTATACAGCCTTGCCGGACTCCTTTTCCAATTTTGAATCAATCAGTGGTTCCGTGTCCAGTTCTCACTGTTGCTTCTTGACCCGCATATAGGTTTCTCAAGAGATAAATGAGATGGTCTGGTACTCCCATCTCTTTAAGAACTTGCCACAATTTGTTGTGATCCACACAATCAAAGGCTTTTGCATAGTCAATGAAGCAGAAGTAGATGTTTTTCTGGAACTCCCTAGCTTTCTCCATGATCCAGCGTATGTTGGCAATTTGATCTCTAGTTCCTCTGCCTCTTCGAAATCCTGCCTGTACTTCTGGTAGTTCTCGATCCACATACTGCTGGAGTCTAGCTTGTAGGATTTTAAGCATAACTTTACTAGCATGTGAAATGAGTGCAATGGTGCGATAGTTTGAACATTCTTTGGCATTGCCTTTCTTTGGAATTGGAATGTAAACTGACCTTTTCCAATCCTGTGGCCACTGTTGAGTTTTCCAAATTTGCTGGCAAATTGAGTGTAGCACTTTTACTGCATCGTCTTTTAAGATTTTGAATAGCTCAGCTGGAATACTGTCACCTCCACTAGCTTTGTTGTTGCTCAGATTTTCTAAGGCCCATTTCACTTCACATTCTAGGATGTCTGGTTCGAGGTCAGTGACCATCTCATTGTGATTATCTGGGACATTAAGCTCATTCTTGTATAGTTCTTCTGTGTAGTTTTGCCATCTCTTCTTAATCTCTTCTGCCTCTGTTAGGTCCCTGCCATTTTGGTCCTTTATCATGCCCATCTTTGCATGAAACGTTCCCTTCATATCTCCAATTTTCTTGAAGAGATCTCTGGTCCTCCTATTCTGTTGTTTTCTTCTATTTCTTTGCACTGTTCATTTAAGAAGGCATTCTTATCTCTTCTAGCTACTCTCTGGAATTCTGCATTCAATTGGGTGTATCTTTCTCTTTCTCCTTTGCCTTTCGCTTCCCTTCTTTCCTCAGCTTTTTGCAAAGCTTCCTCAGACAGCCATTTTGCTTTCTTGCATTTCTTTTTCTTTGGGATAGTTTTGGTTGCTACCTCTTGTACAATGTTGCGAACTTCCATCCATAGTTCTTCAGGCACTCTGTCTATCAGATCTAATTCCTTAAATCTATTTGTCACCTCTACTGTATATTCATCAGGAATATGATTTAGTTCATACCTGAGTGGCCTAGTGCTTTTCCCTACTTTTTTCAATTTAAGCCTAAATTTTGCAACGAGAAGCTCATGATCTGAGCCACAGTCAGCTCCTGGTCTTGTTTTTACTGACTGTATAGAGCTTCTCCATCTTTGGCTGCAGAGCACATAGTCAATCTGATTTCTATGTTGACCGTCTGGTGATGTCCATGTGTAGAGCCGTCTCTTGGGTTGTTGGAAAAGAGTGTTTGTTATGACCATCGTATTCTCTTGACAAAATTCTATTAGCCTGTGCCCTGCTTCATTTTGTACTCCAAGGCCAAACTTGCCTGTTATTCCGGTTATCTTTTGGCTTCCTACCTTAGCATTCCAATCCCCCATGATGATAAGGACATCATTTTTTGGTGTTAATTCTATAAGGTGCTGTAGGGCTTCATAGAACCGGTCAATTTCATCCTCTTCAGCACCAGTGGTTGGGGCATAGATTTGGACTACTGTGATATTGAATGGTTTGCCTTGGATTCGAATTGAGATCATTCTGTCATTTTGGGGATTGTATCCCAGTATTGCTTTTCCTATTCTTTTATTGACTATGAAGGCTACTCCATTTCTTCTGAGGGATTCTTGCCCACAGTAGTATACCTGATGGTCATCTGAGTTAAATTCACCCATTCCTGTCCATTTTAGTTCGCTGATTCCTAAGATGTCGATGTTCAGTCTTGTCATCTCTTTTTTGATTACGTCTAGCTTGCCTTGATTCATGGATCTTACATTCCAGGTTCCTATGGAGAAAAAATCTTTACAGCATCGGACTTTCCTTTCACCACCAGATATATCCACAGCTGAGCGTCCTTTCGGCTTTGGCCCAGTCGCTTCATTCTTTCTGGCACTACTAGTACTAGCCCTCTGCTCTTCCCCAGTAGCATATTGGACACTTCCGACCTGAGGGGCTCATCTTCCAGCGTCATATCTTTTTGCCTTTTAGTACTGTCCATGGGGTTTTCATGGCAAAGATACTGGAGTGGTTTGCCATTTCCTTCTCCAGTGGATCACATTTTGTCAGAACTCTCTGCTATGATCTGTCAAGAGTATTTTCAAATAAAGTATTTTGAAGTTATTTGGATACTCTATTGGGTTTTTTTTTAAACCCTATAGAGTATTTCTTTGGAAAAAAATCATGAAGATGTAAAAAGTGAATTTTTTTAGACATGAATCTCCCACAAACATATAATGATTTTAGCTTTGGATTTGAAATATGAAAAAGTGTGATCAATAACAACTGCTGGGTCTGTTTATTCCGCAAGATAAACTTTCTATATTTCCTAGCAACTGTATAAATGATTCATATATATGCATTAAAATATAGATGTTTTCTATACAAAAAAATCTCTCTTTTGAGGCAGATAGATGATTTTAAAAAGTGAAATATAAATAATAAATATGCATAAGTGAATAAAATGGGTGCAACTTAGAGTCTTAAATAAACAGTCTCCTTGAGTGCGGCAATTTAATTTAATTTAATTTAAAACAAGCTTGCTGATATTGGAATTATCAATAATTCTCCAAATAATTGAAATGGTACTTGGAGATCACATACCACAGACATCATGGGAAGGGACACAAAGACAGCTCTCTTAAATGTATACCAAGCAAGTTAATGCAGGGTTGTGATCTTAACCTGACATAACATTTTTGATACTCAGTCCCAAAAATGGGACATATATAGGAGAAACATGAATGTATAGGAGAGTAAACAAATGAGAAGACTGAGTAAAGGGAGAAAGAGTGAAAAACTAATAATCCAAAGTGACAGAATGTGAAAATATTTCAATCACACTTTACTAGCACATTTTAAAGCACATGTTGATTTTGTCAAATAATGCATGTTATGTACCTTCTAGCTGGTGGGGTATAGGCAAAAGTATCTTGGCTTGCAGATTAGGTTTTGGACCTCTACTAGCTTGCAAAGAACAATGTGAGCATGCTTGGATAAAATTGGAGTGTCCATGGGCTCAAGCATTCCTTTCCTGTTAATATTAACTGGAAACTCTTACTTAAGGAGGGAAAATAGTGAAACACTGTCCTTTGTCTATCCTTGTAGGTAATTCAAAAGAATATCATAATTGAAAGTAGCTATGGTTAAGAGTAGGCGTCTGTTCACTTTGTTATATATGTATTAAATATGAGAGAAAAATAAGTTGAATGCAGTAAATGTATCACAATGCACTCATAGTCATTACCAATGTGACTATATGCCAAGGTGCACGGAACAGTTAACCTTCCCACTGAAATGGTACCTATTTATCTACTTGCATTTGCATGTTTTCAAGCTTCAAAGTCCAACCATTTTATCTATGCCTAACATCAATAGCTCATTACAGTCAGTTAAATATAAAATCCTTCTGGTCTTTATCAGAGCCTGGCTCAATGTGATCTAAAAACAACTTGCAGGATCTTTCCATTAGAAGAGATTATTCACTATCAATAGCCTGTCAGAGCAATTTCAAATCACAAATCTTAGTCTGCCATTTGTTACCTGGAATGTTAGGGTTCATTATCAATGTTGTAAAATGTGATATTAACATTTTTAACATTGCAGTCCAGGCCTCTTTACTAATTTCAGAAAAACATGTTCCCTTTCTTCTTAGCCAAGGCAGTTTCTTTTGGTGTAGGAGAACTTGTCTTTTCAGCAATAAACAATAGTATATTCTCAAAGTCCTTGAACACACAAGTTTTAAGAAAGTACGCATCCAGTTGAGAAAGAAAGTAATGCAAGCCATATATTTGCCACTAGTGGAATGTAATCTACAATCAATGTTTTATTGTTCAAGTGTCACACATAATTAATGTTTTTCATTGTTTTATTCCTTGCTTTCTGAAATATCACATATACTGAATGTATTATTTCTTCCTGTACCTTATACAAACATTTGACTCTCTTCAATAAATGCTTTTTGTTTTATCTTAATGTTTTTTATTTTTGGGTAGGCGAAGCTCTTTTGCAATAGTAAATGTTTCTAAAAATCAGGGATCAGACCAAAGTCTGAGTGCCAGAATTTTGTAGCAATACATGGTGTAACATTTTTGTGTCATACCATTCAAACAATGAGTAAGTTTCACATCCAAAGGATCGTGATTTGCATGGGAGTTGATCCTTTCAGCCCATGCTTGCTGAGAAATATATTTTGAGCTGGGGGGGGGGGAACGGAACGGAATGAGTTTATCTGCCTCTTATATGTGATTCTAATATATTTTCTCCTGATAATGCATTGGCAATATTTCTTCTTCCTCTCCTATGATAACCGTAACCAATTCAAGTCACTCATTGGTGCACCATGAAGCAACATGTTACTGTTAATCCAACATCGAAGAGCAGCCTGATGGTTTAAAGACAGTGATGGCAAACCTTTTAGAGACCAAGTGCCCAAACTACAACCCAAAACCCACTTATGCATTGTCGGGTGCCAGGTGGGTGTGGCCCATTGGGTGGGCGTGGCTGCAGTGGTAACAGCAGACTGGGTGGGACTAAAAAGTTCAATCAATCAATTCCAACTTTGCAAGATCTTTTTTTTCTCATGAGAAGTTGAAATTGACTGATAAGTGAAAAGGTTTTATAAAACTCAGCTGAAGGCCTAGGACTGGAATGACAGTGTGAGTGCCCACAGAGAGGGCTCTGAGTGCCGCCTCTGGCACCCATGCCATAGGTTCGACACCACTGGTTTAAGATGTTTTTATTTTCTATTTAGTTATTAAATTTGTTTTATTCATATATTAAATTTGTTTGCAGCCCATCTGGCCACAAGGTGGCTCTGCGCCCCCCCATTACTTTGAAAGATTCTGCCAGTCAGAATCAGAATAGCCAAGGGGTCCGTTATGGTAGTGACAAGAACCTTCACACACCGCCACCCCACCCCGATTCAGCCAGCGGTTATTTCAATCGGGCAGTTCGGTGGCCGGTTGAAGGCAAGATGTCGCCTTCCCCCTCGATTTGCACCAGGGGAACCGCCTTGGCGAGGGACGCCCCGCGAGGCTGACAAGAAAAACCGTCGCTCGCGCGCCCTGTCACCTGACCCTCGACGGCCCTCGCCTGAGAAAGAAGGCGCGCTAAGTCGGCTGCCGTTTTGCTTCGTGGACGGACGATGAGCCACAACTTTTCCGCCGCCGCCTTTTCCTTTTGGGCTTTGCTTGTGCTATTCAGAGAAGCCGCGCCCAAAGCCCTGAACTTTACCGACGGTGAGCTTGGCCTCGCTCCGTCCTCGCAGGGCGTTGAGCTCGGCCTTTGATTGCCAACGTGCTGCTTCGGACGAGATAGCCTAACAGATCGAGCTTGAGGGAAAAAACCGTCAACGGAGCGCGCGGGAATCCTTCGCTGAGGGAACGCGAGGGCCCGAAAAGGAGGCGTCCGCCCAGCTACCCCGCTGCCATTTGTGCAACAGTGGTGGCTGTCGAAAGTCCCATCACGATTGCATAAATAGGGGCGAAAGTGGGGGCGCCTCAGGCATTTGCTCTAGGAACGAAAAATAATTGCGGACTACTCGCGAGGTTGTCTGTGCAAAGTTGTGTTCTGACAGTACGGAGGTTTCGTTCCCTAAGATCTTCGTCAATATTGCAGCAACTAGGTTGTGGGCGTGTGATTCTCTCCCTCTTCTTTACTTTTGAAATGAGCGAAGGAAATACAGTTAATCCGGGCGTGGCTGCTGCCATTTTCTCAATTGTCGATACCATTTCATTGAGATCCAGTCCCGAATATATGGGCCGAACAGTTTTCCCAATTATTTTCTGTACCTTTCGGCCCATAAATTTATTGTAGGTACTCCTGTGTAGGGAATTTTGGGAAGCCTCTGGCCGCATTCAATTTGTTAACTCTCAGTTTGAAGGACGCTGATTCATAATTACTTTGGATTTATCTCTTCTGATCATTACAGTTGTGTTTATTATCGAAGGCTAGCGTTGTTGCTAATATTGTAGATTTGACTTTTCACACTAATTAGAGCTGTTGAAAGCAGCATGGGATGTCGGTAGCAATTCTAAATAAAAGCGCTTTTGCCTGTTGTATAATATATAAAGGCAGAATATAAATAAATTAAAATACTCTTATGAGTTTATAAATATTTCAGATTGCAATTCTCTTGGCAAAATTATTCAGAAATGGTTTGCCATTGCCTTATTAGCAGAGAAAAAGTAGTTGGCCAAGGTCATCCAGCTGACACTGTGCTCAAGATCAATTAAAATTCACAATTTCCTAGTTTCTAGCCTGATGGCTCCCATTTCATTGTTGCTGGATACTATTTTGTAAGTCAAAATAAAAATAATAAACCAATATGGTTGAACTGGGAAGATTTGGAATCAAAACTTTTGATTTACCAATTTCACTGGATAACTTTGTGCAAATTTCTTAGCCTAACAAAAATTTTGTAACAATATTACAAGGAAAGGGGGAATTCATATCAATTATTATATTCTGGTCACAGTGTAGGAATTGTATTATGAGATTAAGCTCAGTTACTTTTACAGTTTGTTTTACTAAGGCATCAATTGGAAACTGCCTATGAGTTCAGAATTAGGCATTTAAGCACCTGCACATATTTTGGATTACAACTCCAAATCTCTTTACAGCTGATTGATTGACTGTAGCAGATCAAAGTATTAGCCAAACTTGTCTGTTGAGTTTACTGCTGCTTCAGTTCAAATGACTAAGTTGGACCAGGGGCCCCAGCCCCTGGTCGGTGGACCAGTACCTGGCCGCAGTATGCCAGCAACAAACAAGCAAAGCCCCATCCGTGAGATGCAGGCAGCACACAAAACCACGCATCCTCCAGTCCGTGCAAAAACCTCTCTCCACAGAACCGGTCCTTGGTGCCCAAAAGGTTGGGGGGCCTCTGAGTTGGACAGCTCTTCTAATAATGAAAGGTAGTGGTATTTTAAAATCATTAATCTCCTAACAGTATTTAGTCCAGTAACAGCAAATATTTCTTATCCAGATAAGTTTTAAAAAGGGTCTTTGGTTATTACTTTGTGTATATTGTTGAATGTTGGTGTTGATTTTTAGCTATTTTACGGTAATTGAAAATTAACAATATAACTGCATTTTGATTTCCAGGATGTGGAGCAAGGCCTGCTATAGTTACCGTAACAGCAGAGACTCAAATTGTAGGTGGACATATTGCTCAGCTTGGAGCATGGCCATGGCAAGTTAGTCTTCAGATTTATCGTGTTCCATCAGGTCGATATCGGCATGTATGTGGCGGATCTTTAATTAATAACAACTCGGTATTGACAGTAGCACGTTGCATTAAGAAATGGGTGTATGTATCTTTAATTTCTAAATCTTTTTTGTTCAGTTTGAAGATTTTAAACAAATGATTGAATTTTGAAATATGTGGAAGGAGAGATTCAGAAAAAGTGTTTTGTATACCTTTAGCCTTAACAACACTTGTTCAAATCTTTTTATCAAACTAGATAAAATAAAAAAGACTAGATGGTATAGGGCAGGGGTAGGCAACCTCGGCTCTTTTATGACTCATGGACTTCAACTCCCAGAATTCCTGAGCCAGCTATGCTGGCTCAGGAATTCTTGGAATTGAAGTCCATGAGTCATAAAAGAGCCGAGGTTGCCTACCCCTGGTATAGGGTTTCCAGCTTGAGCGGGGTTTGGACTCAAAGATCTCCAAGGTCCCTTCCAACTCTGTTATCCTGTTAGATTCAGCAGCTTTTAATGCATGTAGAAAATACTTTACAAGAGGACAACAGCTGAAGAATTCCTTTATCTCTTTCCTTGATAATTAAAATGCTGTTCACCAGTTTGTCACTTGACAGAAAAGTAAGCTAGGATGAAATTTCCGTTGTTAGGGTTTGTTAGGGTTAGCTGTTAATTGCTATCCTTCCAAAGATAGGATGCCACCAAATGGTGATGTCTTTATATAATATGAGTTAAATAATGAGTTTGGTGAGGCTTGTGGTAGAACATCTGCCAATCCCCAGCCCTTAAATATGCTGGGACTTGGGTTATTATATCACCATCTTTCAAAATTCACTCAAAGCTTTTCACAGGTTCCAGCCATGGTTAGAATGCGGTATTGCAAGCTCATTCTGCCCATAACCGGGGGTTTGATCCTGACCAGTTCAAGGTTAACTTAGCCTTCCATCCTTGCATGGTCTGTAAAATAAGGAGGCAGATTGTTGGGGGCAATATGCTGACGTAAACAGCTCAGAGAGTGCTGTAAAGCAGGGCTTTTCAACCAGTGTTACGGGTACCACCTGTGGTACATTGGCACTTGGCAGGTGGTACACGACCATCCCAGAAAAGTGGTAGTGGGGGAGGGGAATGAGCTGAACCAGTGACAGCACCGGACAAGCCTGAGCGAGAGATGGCTGGAGCTGCAGGGCTGTCAGGGCTCAGCAGAAGCGCCAGGATCAGCGCTTCTTCGGCACTGCCAGGGCTCATTGGAAGCATCAGGGTCAGCGCCAGGCTCCACCTGGAGCTTGGCGCTGATCCTGGCGCTTCTGCTGAGTCCAGAAGAAGTGCCGATCAGCTGGAATGTTGCAGCATCTCCAGGGTCTTGTGATTTACATTTAGATGCTTGGCAACTGATTCATATTTATGATGGTCACAGTATCCCAGGGTCATGTGAAGTGACCAAAACATGCTGCAACCACCCAGCAGATGGGAGGAATAAAAACCAAACACCCCCCCCCTGCTGCCAATCCTCAACAGAAATGCTCACAACAATGAAAACTTCAGACAGGAGGAAGAGCGCTGCCGGGCGGTCGGGCAGGTGTCTTGCTCGGCTGTGGCTTGGGGGGCACTTTTTTCAGTGCCATTATAACTTCGAATAGTCACTAAGCGAACTGTTGTAAGTCAAGGACTACCTGTACTTCATCACTTTTTTCCTTTTTTTTTTTGGTCATCAAGTTTTTGACACCTTGCTAGGTGACTGGTGGTACTCAGATATTGCCATATCCTAAAAGTGGTACAATGGGTGAAAAGGTTGAAAAGCCCTGCTGTAAAGCACTATAGAGCAGTATAACTGGTATAAGTGATCTAAGTGCTATTGCTTTTAATTAACAGGGGTTAGTAAAGTTGTGGAAAGGGGAATCTCAATTTTGATGGTGCCCAGCTTATAAAGATAGGTAGGGAGGGGTGATAGGTTGAGAATGACAGGTCCCTCCATGGTATGACTTTCCCCATACTTGCTGACTCTTAACTAGTCAATTTAAACATGGATTTAGCTTTCTTCTGAAGGAGCCTTAAACTGGTAATTAAAAGGAGTCTGATAAATAAGCAGGAAAAGAGGCTGTCAGATGGGCATGGGAATCCTCACTCATATGATACCTGTGTGTATCCCTCACTGTGTGTGCTGTCTCTTAATTGGGCTGATCCCATTTTCAGAGCCAGGTTCCCAAAGTAAAACTGTCATGGCTTATTTCCGGAAGTGAGGATGCTTTGAGTCTGCTTCAGATTTGAGTTGGAGATGAGATGAAGGCAAAATCATAAGGGCATGGCAGAAAAACTTCTGTATAAAGTTCATTCTGTGATTAAGTGCAAGTGAGGAAAGTAAATAGGGAATATAGGAGATTGCAAAGATTATTTCTGCTCCTTTAAGGTAGGGACAAATAAAACACATTTTATATCTGGAAATTTGGAATGCTTTGATCTTTATTTCTGACTTCAGTAGAAAAATAGAACTTCTTGGTTGTTTCTAAAGTACTGAAGTAGTTTGAGGTCTTAAATTCTCTAGGAAATTATTTTGCTTTCTTTCCTGTGCCATATTTTTCAACAGCAACTTAAAAGGAAGTGTAAAAAGAGGAAAATTTGTCTTTGGAATTTTTGGCTTTCAAACTATGACAATTAAATCCACATCTTCACATACTTAACAATGTTTCCCTAAGCATTACTTTTTTCCTAATCTATCCCGGGAAGTAAGATGTTTCCAAGCACCATTTACCAATTTTCCACTTACTGGGAGTAAGAGGGATTGTAAGCCACCCAAAATCATTTACTAAGATGGGCAGTTATAAAATCATATAAATAAATAGAAATTAATAGTAATTTCTAACAACTAGTAATAGTAGTAAAGTTGGAAGGGACCTTGGAGGTCATCTAGTCCAACCCCCTGCTCAGGCAGGAAACCCTACACCATTTCGGACAAATGGCTGTCCAGTCTCTTCTTAAAAACTTCCCGTGTTGGAGCATTTACTGCTTCTGGAGGCAAGCTGTTCCACTGATTAATTGTTCTCACTGTCAGGAAGTTTCTCCTTAGTTCTAGGGTGCTTCTCTCCTTGATGAGTTTCCACCCGTTGCTTCTTGTCCTGCCTTCAGGTGCTTTGGAAAATAGCTTAATTCCCTCTTCTTTATGGCAGCCCCTGAGATATTGGAATACTGCTATCATGTCCCCCCTTGTCCTTCTCTTCTTTAAACTAGACATACCCAATTCTCGCAACCGTTCCTTATATTTTTTAGCCTCCAGTCCCCTAATCATCTTTGTTGCTCTTCTCTGTACTCTTTCTAGAGTCTCAACATCTTTTTTACATCGTGGTGACCAAAACTGGATGCAGTATTCCAAGTGTGGCCTTACCAAGGCATTGAAGAGTAGTATTAATACTTCACGTGATCTTGATTCTATCCCTCTGTTAATGCAGCCTAGCACTGTGTTGGCCTTTTGGCAGCTGCAGCACACTGCTGGCTCATATTTAGGTGATTGTCTACTAGGACTACGAGGTCCCTCTCACAGTTACTACTATTGAGCATGGTGCCACCTATGCTGTACTTGTGCATTTGGTTTTTCTTGCCTAAATGTAGAACCTTGCTTTTTTCACCATTGATTTTCATTTTGTTAGTTAGTGCCCAGTGTTCAAGTCTGTCCAGATCCTTCTGTATCTTAAGCCTGTCTTCTGGAATGTTGGCTATTCCTGCCAGCTTGGTGTCGTCTGCAAATTTGACGAGTTCCCCATCTATCCCTTCATCCAAATCGTTGATGAAGATGTTGAAGAGTACTGGGCCCAGAACAGAGCCCTGGGGCACCCCACTACACACTTCCCTCCATATAGATGCAGTTCCATTGAGGACCACTCGCTGAGTACGGACGGTCAGCCAGCTACGGATCCATCTGGTGGTGGTTCTGTCTACCCCACATTTTTCTATCTTGTCAAGTAGTAGGTTGTGATCTACTTTATCAAATGCCTTACTGAAGTCCAAGTAAATTATTTCCACAGCATTCCTCTGATCCACTAATTTTGTCACTTGGTCAAAGAATGCAATAAGATTTGTCTGGCATGATCTATTTTTGACAAACCCATGTTGGCTTTTAGTAATGACTTTGTTTGGCTCTAGGTGTTCGTTGATTCATTGTTTGATTATCTTTTCCAGGATCTTCCCAGGTATTGAGGTCAGGATGATAGGTCTGTAATTTCCTGGATCCATTTTTTTTCCTTTTTTGAAGATGGGAACTACATCAGCTCTTTTCCGGTCCTCTGGTAGTTCCCTTGTGTTCCAGGATCTTTGAAAAATATAGTTCAGTGGTTCTGATATCACATCTGCCAGTTGCTTGAGAACAAATAAACTAGTTGTATTAGCTGTGACTTGTATTATCAAACTATCATCCTGCTTATGTTCTACAGGTGGTCCTCATTTAAGAATAACTGGTGCAGCACTATTCCAATTAAGATCTGAATAAATGATAGTCAATAACTGGTCCTCATATTTATGATAGTCACAATATACTCATGGTCATGTGATGGTGATCCAGGCACTCAGTGATTGGTTTAAAGTTATGAAGAGAACTTTAGAATTCGGTGTCATAAGTATTCATTTTTGGCTATCACAAAGCTATGGCTGTTGAAAAGATAGGTAGCATGCATCCTGCCATCATGCATCAGTCTAAAGGTAATCTAAATTGTTTAACATCACTCTTAAGACCCATATTAGATATCACCCTTCACAAAAGCAAAAAAAGCAACCTTTAAGGGCTCCAATTATTTAATTATTTGTTTCTGTAAAAATATTATATTCCTATGCCCACACAAACATCAGCAGTATAAACTTTAAAAAAAAATCAGAATATTTATCCGATGAAATATATTATTATATATAGTCCCACTTAGGAATAGGAAGTCCCTGTGTGAGTCTTCCTCACTTGGATAAAAAATGTACATTAATTTTTTTGTTAGATAAACTGCTTTTTTGTTACAAGACCAGAGGAGCCAAGAAGACATTTCCCAGGACAATATTTGTTCTACTGCTTTAAAATGTACCAAATGATTGATTAAATTATACTTAGAAATAGATAATGAAAATACCATGTGTCTGTGAAAAGTTTAAAGTTCATCACTATGTGACTCACCTGCTCATCGATTTCATAATTGACAAGCCACTGAAAAGAGGATTTTAAAATTAAAATTAAAATGGCATTGATGAGCGGGTCCATTTAAAGTACTCATACTTTATTTTTCAGATAAAGACGTGTTTAATAGATACACAGTAGAAGAAGAAAAAAGCATCCTGTCTTTTTGAATTATGCTTTTTAGAACATCCATTTTTTTGTCTGAACTACCCTTTTTTCTAACAAAAAACGGAAAACTGGATTTATTGTAATTTAAATCAGGCATGTCAAATTCGCGACGTTGCGCAATGTATCGTGACTTTCCCAATGGGGCTGGCGCAGTTTCGGTGTGACGCATTCGCCCCGCAGGCCAGCAGTTTGATATACCTGTGTTAAATGAAGAGCAAACAGCCTCTACCATCTAATATGAAGTTACTAATTTGACTGGATGATTTCATAATTACGCAGCTGTGCATAATGGGGGCTAATTTGTTTTCTAAGACTTTTCTGAAATATTTTCTTTCAGAAAAAATACTTGCCATACTAGCTTCTTTATTGTCTCGAATGTCCAATTTCTATTCCTGAATCATCTTTTTACTTCACTAGCATGCAGTTGGGTTTCATAGATAGCCACAGTCTAATTTGTGAACTCTATTTAAATTTATGCTTTACAGTAAAATCTATTGTTACAGTAGTGAACATCAAATGTAGAAATTAAAAAAATCTGCTGCCAAACTCACTTAACCAGTGCTTAATTTTATTTTTGTGCCAGTTTGTTACTGTAATTTTTAATGGCACTAAATTTGCATCCCCCCCCATCCTGTCTACAGGAATATATGGTGCTAGAAATGCATTTAAATACAATAAATCATTTAGAAGATCTTCCAAACAATGTAGTTTTCTGTCTTATTTCATAATTGAATGCTGCAAAACTCTAGTTAGATTTTGTTTCTCATTTGTTGTCAGTGACCAATTCTGAAGTGATGTGTTTTATATTCCCTTTAGTTTGAGTAGCTTAAAATAGAACATATTTTGTTTTGGTTTTTGCTCTCTTCTCTAAAGCATACTACTAGCATACTGACTTTCCTGCTATGCAGTGCTCCTTCATCTACTGTTCTGTAGTGATGTTTTATTTGGCTAATGTCAATTCTTCCATTTGGGGATTTTTAAAACATGCTGGCCCAGAGTCTACATAGAAATGAGTATTGGAATCTTTCTTTGCAATATGTGTTTACTATAAAATAAATCTTGGTGATTGTCTGAGGTTGGTTGCCAGTTATACTATCAATATAATATTGTCCTTATATAAATTTACAATGAATCGTCACTTTGAATACCATGTGTAGCTTTATTCACTATGCTTCAAAAAGCATACTACCGAATGGTAAAAGTGCAAAAATGTAGCTCCTTTGGAGGAAAGATAAGAGGTTGAAGTTCTTGGCTTAGAGCAATGTTAGGTAAAGGGAGATATGCTAGAGGTATAGTATGAAATCATATATAGTATGAAAAATGGGCTTTTCAATTTATAGTTAAAGTGTAGAGTTCACTGCCATCAGATGTGGTAGTAATAATTAATTCAGATGATTTTAAAATGGGGATGAAATAATAAATTCATGGAGGAGAGAAGTATCAATAGTTAGTAGTCTTGCTGGCTGTATATTATCCTGTGAATTAATAGTAGGAAAAACAATGGAAGAGAATTACTGTATTGTCCTCAATTCTTTGTTTTTAAGTTTCTTAAATGAATCTGGTTGGAGACAGGTACTAGATTCCTTCTTCCAATCCATTTAGAGTTCTTATATCCTGTACTCATGTCATAATGGACATATATACAGATTTATCTTTCAGAACAAAAAGATATTGTATGGTATTTTTATCTCATGCTTCTGTATTCCAATTTCCAAATTGAATACTTAAGAATTTCAAAGAATAATTGTCATAATAAAACAAACTCTTAATGGCAGAGTACAGTACCTACTTTCCAATTTTTATTTAAGGGATCCCTTTGATAAAATTGCAAATTTCTTACTTGATAGAATTCTTAACTGAATTAGAACTACAATATTACAGATCTTAAGATTGCATAACTCTAAAATTATGTAAAGCAGCCACTGAGCCTCATTAACTCTACAAAGGATTTTATTGTCCTAGGAACCCAGAATATTGGAGAGTTATGATTGGGTTACATCATCTTTATAAACCTCATTCTCACACCATAAGTCGTCGAGTGAAAAGTATCATTGTCCATTCTGGTTTCAAGAGGGACAGCTACGAAAATGATATTGCAATGTTTAAACTTGTGAAGCTTGTCGAGTACAATAAATATATTCAACCTATCTGCTTACCTCACAATTCTCATCTAGTGACTGATAAGAATCCATGTTACATAACTGGATGGAGAAACAGAAAGAAAAAAGGTAATTATTTAATCTTTCTGCAAATAATATTTCATGAACTAGGAAAGATTTCATATTTTAATTCAAGTAATCTAACTTATTATGGAGAACAGAGTTGGGCAGTATTTAAGGGGTTGAGAGCTATGCTTCCTTTAAGCCTTCAAGAAAACCTGTGATGGCATCACTAGGAAGGATTGGGCAGATTCTTAGTCCTTCAGGGCAGTTCAGGGGTGCATATGGGAGCCAGGAGGCCTGCAGAAAACAAATTACTCTCACTGCTAACATTAAGACCCCTGAATCTCCATTCTTTAGGCTATTGAGATGATGGGGACAACTTTTTATAATGTAAACTCTTGTCTGTCTACAGTATTAATATAAATTTCAGCTTTAGCCTACACATCAAACTAAATTAAATTTCATTATCTGCTGAATTACTTTATATTATAGATGTGAAGCAAATTTTCTTTTGGCCAATGATTCAAGCAAATTGATATGAGTGCTTTCATATTAGGGTTATGAAATGTTATGGAGTATAAAATTATAGGCTAGGAAAGAAAGCCCAGAAGAATGAATAATTTTCATATAATCTACATTAAATCATATGTATTTAATCATGTTCCTTTCCATTATATTCAATATTTAGTAACAACTTCTGGAGATGCTCTTGTGCCTGCATACTTCTCAGGCATATTTGTTTTAAATCAATTGCTCCAGGGATTGTGAGCCTCACTATTGGTTTCCTAATATAGTCAACATCAAGAAATTATCACATGTCCTATATAGTCAGCTGAACAGATCTATCTGTTGTTTTGTAGGTAAGAGAAGAGTAGTAGACTTCTGGGGAAGAAATGGCGAATTGAAACCAGCTACACTGAGAAAGAAGGCGATGACTGCAGTGGGCTGAAGAGCTGGTGAAGGGACTGGCTGTTCAGGTTTCCTCTCTGAACAGGAGAGCACTTTGGAATGTCCACATGTGCTCCAGACAGTTGCAAGGAGATCATCAGCTGACGATCTCCAGCAGGTTTAAAGGGCTGGGAGATGAGGGTTTGTCATCTTTGCCCAAGCTGGCATTTTTTTCAAATTACACTGGATGTCCTTTCTTAATCGCTTTTGGAAATTGCTTATTAACTCTTTTTCAGATATTAAGAACCTACAGAAAGGCACCTTTTACTACACTGGATGAGTTTCCTTCAATCCTTAGCAGAAGAAGATTTAAATACAAATATAAGTAGTTAAAAAAACTTTTGGGTAACAACTTACAAAAAGACAATTAGAATGTAGATTATAAATGGACTGAGGGTCCAAATTGTTTTGAAATAAATTTTTTAAACTATTTTTAAGAAACCTTCGCATGATAAAGTGCTGTTGTTTGTGTATGTGTGATTTTTGAAGGTTGGACACTAGCAGAAACCAGAAGGAACTAAAGGACAACGCTTAAATTAGAATGGAACAAAATACTTTAATATTGGATGTATTGAAAGATAAATCCAGAAGTTGATTTTAAAAGTGTCTGCGATTACAGATAGACTTTGACTTATGACCACAATTGAGTCCAAAATTTCTGTTGCTAAACAAGGCCGTTAGATGAGTTTCCCCCATTTTACAACAATTTTTGCCACAATTGTTAAGTGACTTACTGCAGTTGTTAAATGAATCATGCTGTTGTTAAGCGAGTCTGGCTTCCCCAATGACTTTGCTTGTCAGAAGTTGGCTGGGAAGGTCACAAGTGGAGTTTACATGACACTGGGACAGTGCAACTGTCATAAATACATGCCAGTTACCAAGTGCCCAAATTTGGATCATATAACCACGGTTTCAACAATCATAAGTCTGAAAGCTGGTCATAAGTCACTTTTTCAGTATCATTGTAACTTCAGATGGTCACTAAATGAATTGTAAGCAAAGGACTGCCTGTATAGATAAGTGTTTGAAAATGGTATGGAAGAGAAGTTTTATAGGCTATGACTGAGATTGATTTGAAAATGGATTCAAAATCATTGGTTTTGTAAATGGTATGGAAGGAGATGCTATATTGGATGTACAAATTAAACTGACTGGTATCTTAACAAACCAAAAGAGACCTGGATAACTTTTTTATATTGGATTTACAAAAGAAGCTAATTTTATGAGAAGGGATAAAGAAAAAATGAGAATAAAGTTCTAGGACTATTATTTCAGGGAACCATCAAAAGTAAAGGGAAGGAATATAAAGTTAGTTTATTTGATCAAGGTTAAAAATGGACTTTTGCTCATCAGAACTCAATGATGAGGCTCTAAAGATTTGGTGGTAGATAACATGATATAGGGCAGCGGTTCTCAACCTGTGGGCCGCGACCCCATTTGGGGTCGAACGACGATTTCACGGGGGTCGCCAAACAACACAGTCCGCCATTTTTTTCCCCTTTTCCTTAGCTGTGCTACTCCCTTTTATTCTATTGGCTTTTGAAAGCCAATAAAATAGACTCTTTTGAATAGAGTCTAATTCTATTGGTTTTCAAAAGCCAATAGGAATTGTCTAGGATGTCTCTGCCCTGCTGAGCCCGCCAAAAGTCCCATTTTGCAAACGGTGCTGCAAGTTGTCTACAGCGGAGGTGAGCTGTCTGGAAGTTTCCACCCCTCCCTGCTGAGCAACTACTAAACATGTAAGTAAAAGAGGGGCAGGGGTGGGAGGTGGGAGGCCGGCGGGCGCAGGGAGGGTTGCTGGCGCACGTGGGGCCTGGTGGGTGCCTTATCTCCCTTGGGCTGGGCCAGCTGGTGGCCCAGCCGGTGGTCGGCCTGCACTGTCTCTGCCGCTTGCCAGCTATGCCTCGGCCGGCGCAGGGGGCGGCACCACACATATGCGGCGCTCCCGGGCAGGGAAAGTCCTTGACTTACGACCGGTTGAGGAGTCCTCGACTTACGACCGATTGGGTAGTCCTCGACTTACAACTGGTTGAGGAGTCCTCGACTTACGACCGGTTGGGTAGTTCTCGACTTACAACCAGTTGGGCTCGCGGCATTAAAAAGGTTGAGAACCACTGATATAGGGAGAAGAAATCTTGTTGAGTTTTACAAGAAGGTGATAAGTTATGGGGAAGTAATTTTCTATATTTTTCTTTTTATGAACTATATTATTTTTTACATTTCTATTTTTTTCCTTCTTTTTTCCCTATTTCTTTTTTTAGCTTGTAATAGATCTTATGTTTTTAATAATAACACTCAGTAACATTATTAAAAATAAGAGTAACCTGTAGTTGGTGAGCTGCACTTTGATTTTGTCAAGGGACCATTTTTCTAGATTGGGATGGGCCACCTTTAGTCTCCATATCAATACTTTAAATACTCTTCAGATATTTATAAGTTTGCACTGCTGAAACGTAGTGGCACATTGTGGATTTGCATAGCATTGGTTTGAAAAACCAGTGGGCTTAAGTTTTAAGAAATATAAAATATATTATGATTAATGAAGTAATACATCCAAAATTGTGTTTTATGTTTATTGAATTCTCCAAAGAATATGTTAAAAAAAGGTGGATACTAGATTTCTTGTGTTGGCATTGAAATAAATTTGAGACCTCTTTGATTCAAAAGGTAGCCAGCTATAGATGCCTTTTGGTTTCAAACAGTAAAGGTTAATACAGACTTTATTTAGAGAAAGAAAATAGAATAGAAAGTAAAAAATAAAGGAAAAGGAAAAAAGAAGAAAGAAAAGTAAGAAAAAATATGTAAAGAAGTGATTTCCAAACTGCATCATAGGTATAAACAAATTTAATGATTCTTCACCTCCATTAAAGTTACAAACAAACATATTCCTTTCTTTTACTTCTAACAGTCTTAATCTTCATTCAAATGTTTTAGGATTTGATTTTTCAATTCTTTTTAATCTCATCGCAAAGAGACCTTTAGGTCTTTTACAATACTTGTTTTTTAAATCCAGTAAGGGAAAAAATATTCACGTCATTTTCTTGGTTCATCATTTGTATTTCTAAAATATCAGTTTCTTTTCTATAGCTAGTGAGAAATCATTTTCCAAGTTTTTCTTTTGACCTCTCATTTGTAAATCCACTATCAATATCTAACTTGTTCTGCATTTCTTCATTTTCATTTTTTAAACATAGTCTAACCATAGAGGCAGACACCATGACTGACACTGTTGATATTGTGGCTACTAATCTCTGGTTCCATTCTTCAAAAGTCTCCTTTAATATTTTGAATGTTATAATGTTTTGCATAATTTTAATTGATAGCTTTGTGTTTTTCCCCCTCTGCCTGGATTCTTTAGTTCCCTCTAGTGTCCAATTTTTAAAAACATAAAATTATTTATCTTCATTATGACTTGCAAAACTAGAAAAGATTTATTTCCCATGGGTTCTTTGTTCTTTATAATTCCAAAATCTTATGTTTCTAAATTCCCAATTTATCTGGCCCCCTTGTTCATTTATAACTTTTTCTAAAGTCAGTCTTATTTAGTTTTTGCTGTTTATTACAAATTATTTAAATTTTTAAGCTTATGATTAAATTTTTCTTTTATTCAAGATTGAAGAGAACTCACCTGATGTTTTCAAACTTATCATTCCAAATGTCTCTAATAGCTTAAAAGGAATTAAAAAGCAATTTTTGAAAAAGATTAGAAAATGAGGTTAGTAAATTTAGTGTCTTTTAAAAGGTGCTGAGCACTATTGCAAGCAAGATGGCTATTCCTGTCATCTTCTATTGGTCACACCTACAAGATATGAGGAGTTGTTTGGAATATATGTGGGTTATCTCCCGTCTTCTCCTTCATAGAGAATACAGTAGCAGGTCTACTTACCAGTTCTCCATTGTTTGCCACAGTTGTCAACTCTGCTTTTGCAAAAATGTATCCAGTCAACCTTTCCCCAATTTTTATTTTTATTTCTAAAAATGAGATTACCTATGTTTTTATAACATTTGAAATATAATGCTAAATTTAAGGATGAACTAAACTTATATTGAAACTACCTGGTTCTTTTTTATATATTTTTTTATCCTTTTATGTTTCATTTATTGTAATGGCTACAATGTATGTAGGTAGGGAGTTCTACAGAAAAAAATTGAATGGGTGAAAAAATGCTTTTTCATCATCTAATGATTTGAAGGCTTAGGGCATTATGCTTAGAAAATAGTATTGGATCTAAAACTCTCAATATTCTGTATTTTCCATAAGGCTTGTCTTACTACAAAATTAGCAACTGGGAATCTGTAGCATTTAAAGACTTAACAGTTTTATGATGGTAATAGTTTTTATAACCTGCAGTTGACTCTATGTGATATTCCAAGTTATGTCCTTAGCAAAGAATTTGTGTCTATATTTGTTGTTTGAGAATAGTAAACATGATTAAGAAAAATGGTGCAATAAATGTAAATAGTGATAATTACCCACTAAATTGAAATCTTTGAACACTTATTCCATAATAGATTTGTTGTTTAAAGTTACCGGGTTTTTTTTACTGTTCCTTTGGAAACTCTATAAAGAATGCTGAACACAGCATACTTCCACATATTTTGTCTTTTCTTCACAGACAAAATTAAAATTGAATTACAAGAAGCTCGAGCAATTATTATTCCACTATATGTCTGTAATAAATATGAATGGTATAAAGAAAAATTACCAACTGATATGATTTGTGCCTCCTCATCAACAAATACCTGTATGGTAAAATAAAAATATTTTTACAAGTTTTAAGTGTATAATATATAATGTCATTTGGGATTTCAGCAGTGCCTAAATTGAATAATAAGTAGATAAATTAAAAGAATTTGCAAATTCATGTATTTTTTTAAAGAACTTTTTTTTAATAAGGAACATCTCAAATTGATTGGTTATTTTCAATTAATTATAGGTAGTCGACTTATGACTACAATTGTTCGCAAAATTTCTGATGCTAAGTGAGACACTTGTTAAGTGAATTTTGTCCCATTTTACAACCTTGTCACATTTGTTAAGTGAATCATTGCAGTTATTAAGTTAGTAACACAGATATTAAGTGAATCTGGCTTTCTGATTGACTTTGCTTATCAGGTCACAAAATGTGATCACATGACCTTCTTCTTCTTGTGCCATATCCATTATCGGACGTTGGCAATCATGTTGGCGATCCTGTTTTTATCAGCAGTTGCATGAAAAAGTGCTGCTGAATTTTGTCCAAACCAATCGCTTAGATTTTGAAGCCACAATGTTCTTCTTCTGCCTGAACCTTATTTGGACCTTAGGATACTGCAATCCTCATAAATAAGTTAGTTGGCAAGAGTCTGAATATTGATCACCTGGCCATGGGGATGTCGCAACAGTCGTAAGTGTGAAAAAGTCTTAAGCCACTCTTTTCAGTGCCGCTTTAACTGTGAATGGTCACTGAACAAACTGATGCAAGTCGAGGACTCAACTCTTAGCCTTGAATTGGCTTTGTATCAAATGCAGACGGGATCAAATGCTCTTATTTTTTATAGCCTAGGTGCAAATTCACTATTTTAAAACTTGTTAGTAAACTTTTGTATTCATACAAAATTAAAAGTTTGAAAATATTAAGTGGCAGAGGAACTTTTAACATATAAAAATTTTGTATTTTCATTAATTTTTTCCTATTTTTTTATTTCTTTAAAGTGTTTTGTGTTTGAAGGATTTTTAATTTTTCTGTAGTTTTTAAGCACAGCCACTATATTATTTTTAACATTTTTTATAATAGTTTTATAGTCTGATAAATGTGTAACATATCAAGAAATATCAATATTTCTAAATTGAATAAATAATTGAATTTTTAAAAAACCTATATAGTACTTCAGAATTTTAGAATAACATGAACATTTGACTTTTTCCCTATTTTTCATATTCCAGGAAGATAGTGGTGGACCTTTGATGTGCTATTTCCCGAGCGTATCCCAATATTATCTGATAGGCATCACCAGTTTTGCCACTGGCTGTAATCAAGATAAATATCCAGGACTCTATACACGTACAGTGAGTTACAGAAAATGGATAGATTTTCATCTTCATGATAAAACCACAACCACAGTGAACATCCAAAGTATTCTAGTTCCTTTAACTATGGAATGGATAATCTTTCACCTATAGACATGTTCTTAAATGGGGTATTTAACATTCCTGCTAGTTTGTTTAACCCATATCAACTAATGGAGTTTGTAATCTATGACTTTACTATCCCAACTACACTTGAAATATATTTGTAATCATTTTAGTTAGTGTCACATTTTTAAATATTTATGTATCATTGTATTAAATGCCTGAAATTTTGTTATGCTGTATGATAAAAATTAACTGATGTTTTCTGTTGCCATATAGAAACCATACACTAAGTTGAAGCTTAATATGATATATGAATTACTGTACTGTTGCAAGATGATACCAAGTATAATATAATAGCTTGATCTGTCTTCTGATATCTCTAATAGGATTAGCTCTAAATAGGGTTGACGATGCTTCTGTCCGTTAAAATTGGAGAAAGTTCTTTTCCTTAGTTTGCAACTCCAAATATTGCTATCTTGTTGCTGTAGAGCATATGGAAGAATGGATCATAGGATATTATTGCACAGATAATTTCCTCTCTTTGTATCAGTGGAATTCTGCCACATCAGACAATATTTGTGGATTAAAGAAGTTTATTTGAAAGAAGCTTATGCTGGATCCAATCCAAAATCACCTTTGACATACCAGTGTAATATTTCATCTTTTACATTTAGCTAATTTAGAGAAAAAATTATAAAGACCTATCTAAGTTTTTGTTATGAGCCCTATAAACGTTACATGTTGAATTCATTTCATATGAATGAAAATGGTAAGAAGAATTAGAGAAAAATATGAGAATGTGAATTACTGTATGAAAGGCTATGAAAAGGCATGTGTCATGGCATGTACTATATAGAAATGCCATGTATAAATGAATGGAACATGAGTATATGTGAAGGCATGGCACTGAATAAATGAATAGCATTGTTCAAATTAGTGACAAAAATATTTTGAGCCTTTAAAAACTTAAAACGTTATCACATCAGACTACCATAGAACAATTTAAAACTGACCGTAGAATAGAGAAATTGACATCTAACAGTCCCATGCTGTGAGATATTCTTGTACCTTTAATAATTTTTGTCTAAATTGCAATGTTTGTCATATTGATTGTTATGAGGGTTGAATGAAAAGTATACCTCCATCTCCCTAACCTTAATTTATATGTGGATATTTTAATTAAAAAGAAATAATTCTTGAAATCAACTATTTTGTTACTTGTATTTCCTATATTTGCTTCTGCACGTAATCACCACCATTTGCTACATACTTTGGCCAATGACAGACAAGCTTCTTAAAGTCTACTTCTTCAACCAGATCTGAAATTCTTCCTACATACTTAAATAGTTGCCCATGAAGGTATATCTTCAATTATGGAAAAAGATGGAAGTTGCATTGTGCCAAAAATAAACTGCATACTGGATGGGGTTAAACAGTGAGATCAAATTTGCAATTGCCTTCTGGGTGATGAGATCTAGTGCTGTCATGCTGCAGCAAAATTTCCTTTTGTATGCTTCCAAATTTTGCTTAATCCATTTCAAATTGTTGAATCTTGTAATACAGACATGTCAAACACAAGACCCGGGGGCCGGATGTGGCCTGTGAAGTGGTTTCATGCGGCCCGCAAAACCATTCTGAAAACGGAATGGCCCACGCTGCCTTGGCCCTGGCCGGCCAGGAGTCAATGTACAATTTTGTGGTGGCCATCTATGCTGAAACGCATTCAGTCTTAGCTCCACAAGGCTGTCCAGAAACAGCGAGGAACTAGCCCCTGCCGCGTTGGCCCCGTCCCCTTGGTGCATGCTGGGGTGGTGTCACCCTTTGAGGAATGAAGAAATGCACCACACCTTGGCGCTTGCTGCAGTCCCACCTCCTTCTGCCAGACACCCTCAGATCTGTCCCACTCCTGCCCAGGCCACACAGGCACCCTTGACACGAACGATGTAAAGCTGGCCTTGCCCACCCAGTAGGCCACACCCACCCAGCCCCCCAAGGGCAACCACAATGCTGATGTGGCCTTCAATGAAATTGAGTTTGACACCCCTGTTGTAATACAATATTCTGAGTTGACAGTAATGCCAGGTTTGAGGAAATCCATATGAATAATGCTAACTACTCCCCTATAACTATGAAGGAAAATCTTCCAAAAGGCCTCCAGACCCAGACGATTCTAATCGCAAATTGATATGATAAAGGCACCAATGGACAGCAAGTCCTGATTCAAGAAAATTCTGTACAGAAGCAATGAACAATATCCAAGACAGTTTAGTTTAGATTGTATTCCCTAAGAACTTGTAGCACTAGAAGATAAGCTGCCACTTGAACATGTGGGAAGAATCCAGAGAAAGAAATATTTTGGAGAATATTAAAAAGGCAGAATATATTTCTCCAAAGGAATAATGGAGAAGATCTTTAAAAAGCAGAAACTCCTCCCTCCCCTGCCTAGACAGAAAATTCAGCAGAAACCAGCTTTTAGAAATGCAGATGTAATAATCAATTCAGGAAGGTTGGGGCCAGGAAGCTAGAGGCTATGAGATTAGGAAGACAAAGACCTCTAAATCTACATTCTTCTTCTTGTGCCATATCCGTTATCCGACGTTGGCGATCATGTTGGCAATCCTGTTTTTATCAACAGCCACACGAAAAAGTGCTGAGTTTTGTTCAAACCTACATACCCCACACAAAATCTAAAAGACATGACTTTTGAGGACATAATAGGATTAACCCACCAATACCAGAAAGGCACACTCAGACTCAAGTCAAAGTACATGACACAGGAAATACAAAGCCTCAAATAGGAACAGGAAACAACCTCAAGAGCCCCAGAAGATATAAAAACCCACCACTCCCAGCAACATGTGGTCAGTTTTCCTAGAGCCATCTTTCTGTCTGGCTTCACTCTTCAATAAACTACAACCTTCTTTCTAAAGTAGTCTCCATTTTGTTTATTCCCAGCTTGGACTGGACCCTGATGAAGATTTTTCTTTCTACAAACGTGTTAAGTTCATCACATCCATCTACTCTCTGAATACTTGGCTTACAATTCCCATCACTCCCACTGGACAGGTCTGATTAAAGGCCACCTCAAGGAGGAAAAACTGGTTAATCTCCGCCGTCTTGAAGGAGGATGTAAAGAGCAAATTTCTCCAGTTCTCCGTATGCTGCTTACGTCTGGCAATTATGGAAAGCTTGTGGTCAGTTATCTTTCTACTTCAGAAGAGAGATGGATAGGTAGGTGTGTGCGTCCGTCCAACCGACAGCGGGGGTGGTGATCGCGATTCCTCCTCCTTCTTCCCCCTCCCCTCCATTCTATCCACCTGGCCTCCCGTTGCTGCGTCGCAAAGGCCCTTCCAGGCGGAGTCCGCGGGCGCCTCCCCGCCGTTGGGCATCCTTCCTGCCGGGACGGAGGGAGCTCGGGTGGGCGGTTTTTTTTTCCTTTCTCGTCCGGATCGACGATGCAGAGGCGGTTTGGCGCGCCGCTCTCTTCCTTATTTCCGCTGCTTTTCCTGTTGAGTGAATCCCCGTCCAAAGCCTTGTCCTCTGTGATTCCTACAACCGGTAAGGCCGCCTCTTCACCTGAGAGAGCTCAGTGCGCCACGCCGGCGGCAGCCGTCGAAGGAGCGCGACCCAACCACTCCCGCCCTCAAGCCGCCAAAGGCACGAGCGCCGCCTAAGGTCTTCCCCGGAAAACTACAACTCCCAGCAACCTCTCCCTACAAGAGAGCCTCGCTATCGGCGTGCAAATCTGACTATGGGTGCAACTCAGCAAGCTGGGAGTGTGGGGAACGGGCCGAGGCTGATAGGCTCTTTTAAAAAGATTGAATGGGAGGCTTCTTCGTCCTCGAAAGCAGCTGATCATTGCAAACAGCTATAAAGGCTGTCCTGGGCAGGGTGGCAGTGGGTGTCCTGGAGATTTGTTCGGATTCCCGACCAAAAGAAGCAGAACCTCTGGCGGATAAAAGGATGTTTGCAGGGATATGTATAGGAATATGGGAGTGGGGAGATTAAATAGAAAGACATCTGAAATAAGGAATGCGCGGGGAGGGAGGGAGAAGTGGAGGTGCATTTCAAGCTGCCTGTATTTTGCACATATCAATCAGAATAGAGATGGAAGGGACTGTTAAGGTCTTCTAATCCAACTCCCTGCTCAAGCAGAAGACCCTATTCCATTTCAGACAGGTGGCTGTTCAGTCTTTTCTTAAAAACCTGGAGTGATGAAGCACCCACAACTTTTGACATTAAGTTGTTCCACTGGTTAATTGCCCTCAGTTAAGCAGTTTCTCCTTAGTTCCAGGTTGCTTCTCGCCTTGATTAGTTTTCATCCATTGTTTTTTGTCCTGCCTTCTGGTGCTTTGGAAAATAAGTTGTCCCCCTCATCTTTGTGGCAGCCCCTCAAATATTGGAATATTGCTATCATGTCACTCCTCATCAACAGAATATTATCAACAACATCAGACATGTCTCTGGTTTAAAATAAAGGCTGGCTGTGTCCATAGTACGCAACCATCATCTTAGCGCCTATTGCACACATGCCATTGCTGATCAAGAAGTTTATCCTTAAAACATGCACTGTTGGAAGTCTTTTTTGCCTCCTAGATTGCGGAACAAGGAGAGTTGTGGATGACATAGTAACAGGGACACGAATTGTTGGTGGGCATGATGCTCAGCTTGGTGGATGGCCATGGCAAGTTAGTCTTGAACTTTATCGTTTCGGTAAAGGATTTGTTCATGTATGTGGTGGATCATTAATTAATCACAACTCAGTGTTGACAGCTGCACACTGCATTAAAGAATGGACGTATGTATTGTCTTCCATTTTAAACTATTCTTATCAGTATAGAAGAAAAAAAAAGCTTAGTTAGCCTATATTGAATTTAGAAATACATTTTTGAATCAATCTTGACCTCTTGAACTTGTAATAAAATATTAGTGTTAGAACAATATATGTTGCTGACATTAATTTTTATTATCCCAAACCAGTTCACAATGAGATTAGGTGAGAAATAGCTCTGCAAAGCATTACATTAAAAAGCTTAGCTAAATAGGCATTTTTTGTTTAGGTGTTTATTTGTTTAGTTAATTCTATCATACAATAGGTATGAACAAAAGCGATATCAGTGCATTAGATAGTAAGACTACAGCTGAGTAAAGTCAAAATGTGTGGGGAACGATAAAGCAGCCAGAAAAACATTGAAAGAAAAATAGTCTGGAGAAAGCTGAAGAATCAGGAGTCTTCAAGCTCGGCCCTTTTATGACTCATGGACTTCAACTCCCAGAATTCCTCAGCCAGCATTAAGAGATTTCAGATGAGAGTGGGATTCTTAAAATAACATTTTAGAGTCATTGCCAGCAGCTTGGGTTTGATCTGATCTGACTGTCATGATCATGTTTTGCTAGTTAGAATAAGGTGAAACATTTTCCTTTAGCACAGTGGTTCTCAACCTTTTTAATGCCGTGACCCCAACCGGTCATAAGTCGAGGATTACCCAACTGGTCATAAGTCGAGGACTACCCAACCGGTCATAAGTTGAGGACTTTCCCTGCCCAGGAGCACCGCGCATGTGTGGTGCTGCCCCCTGTGCCGGCCGAGGCGTAGCTGGCAAGCGGAGAGATGGCGCAGGCTGACCACCAGCTGGGCCACCAGCTGGCCCAGCCCAAGGGAGGTAAGGCACCCGCCGGGCCCCATGTGCACCAGCAACCCTCCCTGTGCCCGCCGGCCTCCCACCTCCCACCCCTGGCCCTCTTTTACTTACATTTTTAGTAGTTGCTCAGCAGGGAGGGGTGGAAACTTCCAGACAGCTCGCCTTCGCTGCAGACAACTTGCTGCACCGTTTGCAGAATGGGACCTTTGGCGGGCTCAGCAGGGCAGAGACAGCCTGGGCAATTCCTGTTGGCTTTTGAAAGCCAATAGAATTAGACTCTATTCAAGAGAGTCTATTCTATTGGCTTTCAAAAGCCAATAAAATAAAAGGGAGTAGCACAGCTAAGGAAAAGGGGGAAAAATGACTGATTGCGTTGTTTGGCGACCCCCGTGAAATGGTCGTTCGACCCCAAATGGGGTCCCGACCCACAGGTTGAGAACCGCTGCTTTAGCATGACATAATGGGTGTTTTCTTCTCATTCATATTGGAGGAATGGCTAGATGATTTTGAAATTGTGCTCGTGAAAGGAAATTGTTCCAGGCCTTCATTAGTCCAGAGTCCATGTACCTCTGAAACTTCTGCCTTTTTCCCATGTGGCCAAATCAAGCTAAACTTCCTTTCTTTTTTATTCTTCATCTTTCCCATTTCTTTTTTTCCTCCTCATAGCTTGCTACTGCCATGATTAGTGCCAGGGATAACCCATCTAGATAAAAAGGAATGAGAATTTAGATAAAGAATTTGACCCAGAAATCAAAATCAGAAATACATGAACATTTGCAAATATTTGCAATTTGCAATTATTATAATTATTATATAGGCAATTTATTTACCTACAATGTTTTTAATTCTGTTCTTGTTTAATCCATTTCTGGTATCCTTAAATGCCAAAATAGTGAAGACTTTGACACTCAGATCAGAGATTAAAAAAGCTCTAAAATCCTTTTTTTTATTGTAAAAATAATTTAATGTATTCTGTTTTTTATAGTTAAATTTCCAACAAGGACATACTGAGCGCTAACTGTATACTCTCAGTAACAACTTTGTCTCTGCATTAATTATTATTTTTCCCTTTGCTTGTTCACTTTCTCTGTATCTAAAAAGGATTAACAAAAATAATTTTTTAAAAGGTAAGAAAAAGTGTGCAAGTTTCGGAGTCTAGGAAGCTACAATTCTACAGTCGGCTCACATTGATTTCTACAGAGGGTTTTATTCTGTTCTAGGGTCGCTTCGTTTTGGAGAGCTGTGGTTGGATTGCATCATATTTCTAGATACCACGTCCATACTAAAAAGAGCCGGATCAGGGCTATCATTATGCATTCTAGTTTTAACAAGATTACCTATGAGAATGACATTGTCTTGTTCAAACTGATGGAGTCTATCAAATTCAATCAGTATATCCAACCCATTTGTATACCTGATGCTCCTGTTACTCTAAATGATGAGATGCCCTGTTTTATAACTGGATGGGGACAGACAACAGAAAAAGGTGAAATTTTTCTTCCCAATAGTCTATTAAAAATGAGAAAGTTGGATTTAAACCTGAATGTTCCTTTTTGGTGGTGGATGGAAATTATCCAGAAATGAGGTACCAAATTAGACATTCTTTGGGTGAGGTGTCCTCTTCAGTCAAAGTGCAGATGAAACCCTTAATTGGTGGGTGATATTTGGGGGATTGCACAAAATGTGTCTTATTCCTAGCCGGGAAGAAATTCACTGCTCAGATGTTTGGCCGATCTGTGCCACATGCCTCACATTCCCAATGAACCGAGACACAAACTAGAGAAATTCAGAGGGTTCTTGTAGGTTAAATAGGGTAAGACTGGTGTACTTAAAAAGACTGAAGTATTTTGCCCCTCTCTCCTTCTGCTCTGCATTGCTGTGGCCCCACCTCTCCCATTATTTTCCTGTCCTTGTCAGCCCTTTGAGGTAGTCTAAGTCCCGAAACAGACCCAGCAGGAATTCCAAAAATATTTTTTTATTGTAGTAAAGTAGAACAGCAGAATTTTGAAAGCCTAGAAGAATTTCTACCCTATCTTAAACTAAGTAACGTCAAGGTGGGATTATTCTCCTCTTTCATAGGTCTATGCAATTTTTCCCTGCAAATTCTTGGTGGCTCATCCCTTCCTTTCTTATGTACAAAATCAACTCTTGTTTCCTTTACATCACCTCCCCATGACTTTACTTAAGTGCTGTTGTTCGACCATGCTTTAATTCAAGCACAGCATGCCAAACATGTTTCTGCCATTCCTCCAGATCTCACACTTTCCTAAGCCATGCACTGCTGTCAATGTGTTGCTAAATGTATCCAAACGGTCCGCTTACCTTTCTCTCCATCTTCCTATACCTTCCTCTCCTATATCTTTGTCTAGCATCCATCACTGGTGATTTTATCTCTTCCCACATTCTCCTGATTCTGGGATATCTCTGCCTACAACATATATGTTTGGACAAAAGACCTGCAGTTCCAGGTCTGTGTTGAGATGAAATATGTGCTCTGTGTCCAAATCAAACATGTTGGTCCAGGCATGGTCTATCCAAAATTCTTTGCACAAACTTTTGAGCAGAATATGCTTAACAGCACAGCATTTAACAAATGGGGAACAATGCTCCCACCTATTGCAGGTTTTATCCTGGGACAATGAATAAATTTGGTAATGTATCATACGGCACATGAACACAACTGCCTCCTCCTTAGTCACGCCCATGTAAGAATTGCTAGTGAACTTTATGCCCTATAATCATCCTACTCCTCGATCATTCTGTCCTATTTTTTTCCATTGTTTCTCTACTTCATTCCTGTCTAAAGTGGTTTTGTCTTTTCATAGGAACGGATATATTTACTCTGCTTTTTACAAACCTTTTAACCATTAATTTTATATTCAGAAAATTGGTTCTGCTGCCAGAATCAACTTTCTGTTATAAATATTGAAAGAAGAGAATATCTGTATTCTCATATTTTTCTACAGTTAGTTTACCTGTTTTTATCTTTCATGAGAAGGGATCACCTGAATCTGCATTAAAAATTGATGTACCTTTAACCATGTTGTTTTTCTTTGAGCATGTCAATAACATATTTCTTGCTTCGGGAAGTTAGCTGATCACTTAGCTCAAAGTATAACCATAGATGCTATGAAGGACAAGTTGCTTAACATTGGTTCCAGTCAGTTGCACTACTATACCTCAATACTGCCTAAACCAGCAGTGTCCAAACTTGGCAACTTTAAGACTTGTTGGCCAAGGAATTCTGGGAGATGAAGTCCACAAGTCTTAAAGTTACCAAAGTTGGACAACTTTGGCCTAACAGTTAAAAGTTTGCCTGTTGGAAAAAAAAATGAGAAATAAGTCTGGCAGAAAGTTAGCATTGCATTGTAACTTTTCTCTATACCAGAGGCAGGCAACCTTGGCTCTTTTATGACTCGTGGACTTCAACTCCCAGAATTCCTGAGCCAGCCATGCTGAGGGGAAAGGGAGAGGTTTCCAAGCTGAGCCATGCTGGCTCAGGAATTCTGGGAGTTGAAGTCCACAAGTCATAAAAGAGCCATGGTTGCCTACCCCTGTTCTATACCTACTGACTGCGTTAAGTGCCACATAAAATTCATCTCATATCCAAATGCTGAAAGAATCTCTTAACTTTTCTTTGGGCAAGTGACTGGGTCACTAGATGGAAACAAGGAGGGTTCATGTTAGCTTTAAGATTCTTATGAAGCACCAAGAATATTCTGCACAACATTTCTACATTTTTACCTGAAACAGACATAGGAGTACTTCCAGCTTTGTTTTGAATTTTCATTTTAGAGAGAGAGAGAGATGTTTTACAAGAAGCACAGGTCGATATTATTCCAATATCAACTTGTAATAAACATGATTGGTATGCAGGGATGGTGAAAGAGAAAATGCTTTGTGCCGGCTCTGAAAAAGGAGGAATTGATGGTTGCCAGGTAAAAGAGAATTTAATTATAGAACACTTTTATTTGTTTATAAAATTTATTGGCCGCCCATCTTACCACACACTAACTTTATATATATATATAAATAAAGTTAATAACGTTAAAAATATGAACCCTGGGAATATTCATATCTAAAATAAAATGAACACCAAGGTATGAATTAAAACTATAAAAGTTTAATTTAAAAACGCCAAGCTTTCGCCGTCACCTGCCGGCATCATCAGGGCTGGGCCGCCAGGGTGAGAGGGTCATTTTTATAGGCAAGCCAAGGTCTGCGCACGGCTCCTCGATCTCGTCACCGGACCCAATTGATTAAATTGTGCTCCGGTGGTTCGTTTCCTTCTGTCCTTCCTGGCTACGTGTATATCTTCACCATTATTCTTTTCTTTGAATTCTGAGGTAAGTAATGTAAGCTCTTTGTCTCTCTGATTGTCTCTATCTCTCAATTCATTCTCCCTTTCGGGTTCGAGTGTTAATCCACATTTGTCCTTTTCCCCTCCCCAATCACGCTTTACCCAGTCGCTTTTTTCATAAGACGGCACCGGGCATGGAAGCAAGCCTGTGGATGCCCCAGAAAGTGGGAAGAAGAACGAGCCCAGACGGAGAGGCGCGCGAGAGGGCGGAACCAATGAGATCAGGTTACTGTGCCCTATACCAATAACATCCATGGATTCTGAAGACTTTTGCCGTACACGCACAGGAACGAGAGGCACCGGAACGAGGAAGGGAGCAAGGAAGGGGTGTTGTGACGCCCAGGAGGACCATAGCTCCACTCCCCCCCCGGACTAAGATCTCGGATTACAACATACGAGATAGGAGTGCAGAGGACAAAAAGGAGGGGAAGGGCATGATAGCTAAAGACAACCGCAATCATGAAACCACCCCCATAGAAAAACAACCTATCGAATCACCCCAACCAAGTTGGAATACGGGGTGTGACCATCTTGATGACAGTTGGATGCGAGGGAGGGGAACCAAGGATGAAAGGAAAGGTACTTATGAAAAAAGCGACTGGGTAAAGCGTGATTGGGGAGGGGAAAAGGACAAATGTGGAGTTCCCACAATCAGATGTTGAGAGACTGACTTGGACATTTTGCAGTATAACCAAGGCAAGACTACCTCCATTTCCAGGAAGGGGGTATCTTACAGAAAAACATTTTTCCCCTGACAAATCATGAAAGGTGTAGCTCACAATTTTTTTGCTGAGAATATGCAGTAAGCCATAATACATGGCTCAGCTTAACATATGAACCAAGCTAATATTTATACATACGTGGATTGTGCCATATCAGCCAATTACAATTTTAAAATCTGGTTGAGCAAAGTATGCTTCATGCATTAAGTAAATTTGTTGGATAATAATATCTTTCCCTCTAATATTTGAGAATTTCCTCCACTGATATTTTCTTCTTGGTGTGTTATGTTCCAGGGAGACAGTGGTGGTCCTCTTGCATGCTATCTGCCAGATGTCACCAAGTACTATCTGGTAGGGATCAGCAGCTTTGGTTTCGGTTGTGGCCGGCCAAAGTTGCCAGGAGTCTATCTGCAAACAGGGTTTTACAGAAGTTGGATACAGTCTCAAGTTATTTTATTCGACAAAGCCACGACTATGAAGACTCCTTATCTTTTCTTTTTGACTGCAGGATGGATAGTTTTCTGCAGTGTTTTATGAAAAGAAAATCCCATTGGATTGGGATATCTTAACTTTCCAACTTGTGTCCATGTAGCAATATTTATTATTTTTAACTGCTAATATATGCAATAAAATATCGCCCAGTCAGTGCAATTTATTGTGTTTGAACTTTAGAGTTGATACTTCGTCACTGACAACTGTAGGTTTGAGAGAAATTACTTTTTCAGGTTTTTTTCCCCTAATACTTAACACTGGACTTAATATTATAAACTTTGACCTTAGCAATTGTTCCCTCTGCTGCTTCCCTTATGGTAAACTAAACACAGTATATTTTTAATCTGTCCAGAGATTTTATTTTTTTAAAACTGCTTGCTTACCTTTCTCCCTGTGTGAGTACGTTACTCCATGGCCAGATTGTTGGTGGGATTCTCCAATCTTGGGTCAAGGTGGTGATAATAGTGGTGGCATTTCAACCCTTTTTCTTTGGCCCAAACTCAGAGGTGACCCAGTGACCCTTGGGCACTGTAGCAATCACAGACCTGGTCCAGCTTATTCAGGGCCCAACTCTCAGAGGAGTTCACATGTAAGATTAGGATGATTGTGGGATAATCTAAAGTGACGGGGGATACTAATACCAGCCACTTTCCATGGTTAGATCATGCCCCTTTTATGCCAGGGTTTCTCTATGATTGCCTTCCACTGCTGGAAGTTGGGGCCTATTCAACTGGCTAACCCCAGGCCATTGATGAACCAATGAGGTTTCAGAGGGAACTTGAGTATTTTCCTGAAGCTCTGGTACATGGTGCTACTGAGGTCCTGGTCAAAACTTGGAACAAGCTCAGTTATCTGGGAAGAGTCCTTGTGATCTGGACCCATGTCTCCTGTTTGGCAAAGCCCTCTTAGGTACTGTAGTGGCATATAGTTGGTTCCAAACTGTGGTTAGCAATTCATTGCAGGAGGGGGTGTTCCCTGTCTTGAAAAAGGCGGTAGTCTGCCCCTGCGCAAATGGTCATCCTTGGACCCCCATAAGTTTCATTCAGTTTCCAAATTTCTTTCTTTTTTCTTTTTTTAGGAATAATTGTTGCAAGGTCTTCTCTGGATCCTTTTCATCAGTATTTAGGCCAGGTTACGTTACTGACATGACATTGGTCTCTATATTCTTGAAAATAAAGATTTGTTGGAAATCAGTCTTTCTCATCCTGGAAACATTTGTTTGTTTAAAAACATTATTTAGCCACCCAGCTATCAACCAACTCTGGGCAGCTCCCAGTCAAAAATTCAAAAATTAAAAGAGTTAACATTATTTTAAAATCTAAAAACTCAAAAAGTTAAAACATTAAAAATTGAAAACAACAAAAACCTGTCACCAATCAATGCTACTATGCCATCTTCTAAATTCCCAGCTGCTTGTGTGAAAAACCAGGTCTTTAAAGCCTACCCTATTTGACCTAGTAGGATGGATGGATATCCTTAGGGAAAAGCAATCTGCAGGTAGCTTGGCCCAGTGCCATTTGAAGCTGATGACAAGCGCCTTGAATTGTACTGGAAACAAACTGGAAGCTAGTACAGGTGTTACATGGGCAAACCTAGGGGCCTTTCATTACTGTGCTTGATGCTGTATTCTGGACCAGTTGAAGTTTCTGTGTAGTCTTCAAGGGCAGCCCCATGTAGAGCACATTGCAGTAATCCATATGGGAGATTACCATGGGCAAGCCGTTCTGGTCCAGGAATGGGCCCAACTGGCACACCAAACGTGTGCAAAGATCCCCCAAGCCACTGCTGCCATCTGCTTGAACAAGAACCATGAGTCCAGGAGGAACCCCAGGTTGTGCACCAGCTCACTTCAGGAAAGCGCCATCCTGTCCAGAGTCAAAGATGAAGTATCTGATCCTGGGGATGAAAACCCCATAGCCATTCCATTTTGCAGGATTGAGTTGAAGCCAATTCCTCCCCATCCAGACCCTTATAGCTTCCAGGCACTTGACCAGCACCACCAACACACCACTTGTGTGGCTAGGAGTGGAGATATATAGTTGGATATCATCAACATGCTGATATCAGGGGCTCCTGGTTCCAGATTGCGGTGCACGCGGATGCGCAGGGAGAGCGTTCTCTCCGCTGCCCGGTTTCCCTTCGTCGGGCGACCCTGAAAAGAGTCGTAAGTCGCCTTGGAGGGGCAATGACCATGAGGAGGACCCTCGACAGATCGCAGAAGGGTGGCAGCCCTTCCGTTTGATCCAAGGCAGCTCCTTTGGACTGTTGGAGGAAAAGATCAGCCATCAACATGGCCGATCACTAAGCCGTGCCAGCGGAAAGCCAAAATTACCACCAAGCAAAACGAAAGCACCGTGGAGGATTTGGGTGAGACCTACCCTTACCTTTCTTTTACCCCAACTACCTTCCTCTGAAAGCCTCCTGAAATTGCTTCCCTGCTCTTAATACAGCGGCGTCTGCCTACTCTGGGAAATTAAGCTTTGAAAAGAAAAGAATAACTAATCTAAACAACTAAATAATTGGACTTTTATCTTTTGGACACTTTGGGTTCCCTAAAAGTTCCTATTATAGGGACCTATCATCTTACCTATTTATTAAGTTGGAAAAAGAATTTTTTAACTGGATAAAAGCCTAACTGGTGTTCAGAAAAAAGATTCTATAGCCTATTGGGGACATCTTGTCGTGAAGCCTGGTATAACAATTGAATTTCTTTGACCGTGAGGCTTACCTACTCCCTAAATTTGCCCTTCACATTATCTAAAGAAGATAAGAACCTGAAACAGCTGGGTGGTGAAAACAACTTCTAGGAACAGTGGAGGTGGACATTTGCTGACTTTCCTAAACATAGCCTCCACTAAAAGACTATCTCTAATCACCATAGAAATGGAGGAATCCTACCCACAACATAACTCTAAACTTATACTTGAAAAAATTCTTGAAGCCACTGAGCTAATAAACTCCAGAGTGAAAAACAAAGATGTCACCTTAAAATTACAAATTGAAGCCCAGATTCCAACTGATTAACTTATAAACCAAAAAAAACAACAGAAGAGGAACAAACTAACATCAAAGAGGATTCTACACAACCACAAACACAATTTACTGAGGACTTTGACAATCGAACTCTGACCTTAATCAGTACCTGCATCTCCAAAAGCAACAGAAACTGAAGAAAGCAACATTAAGACGGAGGATGCCATAGATCAGCAAACACAACATACTGAGAACTTAGACAATCTAGTCAATCAAATAACTACAACACCAGATATGACCTTTCATTCTAGCCAGACGAAACTGGAAGAAGAAGACCAGACTGAGCAGATGAGAAATACTTCAAACCAAATATCGCGATTTGAACTATTAGGGCAACAATCTAATGATTACAAAGGGGCCAGTTCCTTTGAAAAATTGATAACTGGATACTCTCCCTTGATTCAAACAATGTGTGTAGGAATGGAGACCCATCTGAGGATTTAAAGGCACTGGTATGGAAGCCTGCTTGGCACAAAAAGAAAGCTAGATTTTAAAATGGGATCTTTTTTCTCCTTTTTCCGTTGACTGATTATGGAACAGCTTAAAATCCTACTTAATGGGCTAAGGCAGCGGTTCTCAACCTGTGGGTCGGGACCCCATTTGGGGATCGAACAACATTTCACAGGGGTCGCCAAACAACACAGTCCATCATTTTTTTCCCCTTTTCCTTAGTTGTGCTACTCCCTTTTATTCTATTGGCTTTTGAAAGCCAATAGAACAGACTCTCTTGAATAGAGTCTAATTCTATTGGCTTTCAAAAGCCAATAGGAATTGTCCAGGCTGTCTCTGCCCTGCTGAGCCCGCCAAAAGTCCCATTCTGCAAACGGTGCTGCACCAGTTGAGTAGTCCTCAACTTACGACTGGTGGGGGTCGCGGCATTAAAAAGGTTGAGAACCACTGGGCTAAGGAGACTTTTAGAGATACTGATTGATTTAATATCTAGGATTTAGGTCTATAAAGGAAATGAAAATTAGCCGTTAGATTATAGTTTTGAATTGTAATATGGAAGTGGATTTGTGACAATGAAAGATATTTTACTAATAAATGATGAGTTACTAGGACGAGAAACAGAATATACTTGTGAAATAAAGCAGAATGTAATTATCTGAATAACATGTGTATTTTAGACACGACAATTATTTTGTAATGAAATTAGGGAAATATGGGTTACCTGAAGTTTAAATATTATGGTTATCAAAAGCTAAATTGGAAAACGGTAATTGGAATTAGATCAAACTTAAAACAGGACTTGTATAAATTGACAAATGCATTGACTGACTGAGCTATAACTAGAATTGTATTAACTTGAATATGATATAATTAAGGGAAATAAAGAAGGAATTCTTAATGACACAACCTGAGATATGTATGAAAAATTTTGTTATTGGACTGTTGACTACCCAACCACCACGCTGCTTTCTAATCACTTGATGTGAAAGTGAAAAATCAATAAAACTTGTTTTTTTTTTTTAAAAAAAAAAACATACTGATACCGAACCCCACAGTGACAGATGACCTCCCCTAGTGTTTCCATGTGGGTGTTAAAAAATAATTGGTGAGAGGCTCGAGCCCAAGGCATCTTCCTATTTCAGGGACCTAGGGCTTGACCCTTCCTCTCCTAACACTACCAACTGGAACCAGTCATGGAGGAAGGAGAACCACTATAACACAGTGCCTCTCACTCCTAACCCCAAAGCTAGTCCAGAAGGATACCATGATCAATGGTACCGAAAGCTGCTGAGAGGCCCAGGATGGCCAAAATAGTTGCATCATCCTGAGCCCTCCAAAGGTAATCAAATGCGGTCAATGTTGTTTCAGTGCTGTGCCCTGGCATGGATCCAGACTGAAAAAAAGTCCAGATAACCTCCTTCATCCAGTGTTCTCTATAAAAGCCATCCATTCCTTACAACAGAGGTCCCCAACCTTTTGGTTACTGTCAAGCCCCTGGGCTTGACACGAACCAATGGGGAACAGGGAAGGAGCAGCCAGCGGCCAGCCGACGTCCGGATGCTGACCAGCTGGGAGTCGGCGAGGCCACCATGCACCGCCTGACTCCCGAGGACCAGCTGGGAGCTGGCAAGACCACCATGCACCGCGGCCACCTCCCAACATGTCGCCGGATGCCACAGAAGCCTCAAACGCCAGCTGGGGTCAGGGACGAGTCAGCTGGATGCCGGAGGGACCACCGCTTGCCTCGGCCGCCTCTCTCTCTGTCTCTGGGCACCGGGGGAAGTCCCACAACCCGGCTGGGCATCAGAAGCAAGCCAGCCGGAGCTTGGAGGGACCGCCTCCCACCTTGGTTACCTCTCCCTCTCGTTGGGCGCCAGGGGGAATTCCCAGAAGCCAGCTGGGTGGCGGAGACAACCAGCTGGACGTCGGGAAGATGTAACCCGCCGCTGCCGCCCCTCCTGTGTTGCCGACGGTCAGGAGAGGGTGCCGGTTGCCGCAGAGAGCCACTTCCCAGTAAAGGAGCGTGGGGAAGTCTGTCGTAGTGCTATGCTGGCGGCAGGGAAGGAGCAGAACATTAGTTGGTTGCCGGATAGAACAGCAGGACCTGCGGAGGCTGCGCTGAAGTGTCCAGAGGGGAAAAAGGCGGAATTTGAACTGCGGCTTATATCAATACGGACTGGATGCTGGCTTGCTGATTGAGGTGGGTTTGGAGTGCTTTTTTCTTTTGCATGCATTAAACATTTTGCTGGTCACGTTGTTCCTGTGTTTCTGGAGTTTGTTGGCAGCAGATACCAAGGACCAGTTCTGTAGAAGTTTTTCCACGGACTGGAGTGAGGTTTTGTGTGTTGCCTGCATCCCACGGATGGGGCTGTTTGTTTGTGCGGACCTGTTGCTGGCATGCCACGGCCTGGTACCGGTTCACGGACCAGGGGTTGGGGACCCCTGACTTACAAGACTATCTTGTTATGTATTCCACAGCTAGTTAAAAAAAATGCAACTGTACCCATTGGCTGGCTTAATTCCTAGTGAGAACATGGAGTTTTCTTCACAGCAAAGTGAAAGTGGTTGCCCATTGCTACCTTCCAGGATATTTTTTCAACATCTTGATATAACAACTCTGTTTTTTCCTGATGGTCCCCCATCCATGTACCAATTAACTAGAACTGTCATTATTTTTAGACTAATAAACAACTAATGCTATTTAATTTCATATGGGAAAAGAAGTATTAGATCTTCTGACAGGCTGAACAAATTGGAAAACATTTTTGATTATTTTTATTCTTGAAAATGTTTAAATTGTTTAAAAATTAAGATTAAGAACGTATCTTTCATCAGATAGCTAATCCATTGGACGTTACTGAATTTACTAATACTTTACTAATACTTGCTACTGGCAATCTTGTTAAATAGTACATGAAATTAGTGATAATGTGGAATACTGTTGCAATGCAAATGTTTAGTTTTGCAAAGCATCAGCAGCAGGCTGCATACTGTTTTTTTAAAAAGCCTCTTCTTGTTGTGAAATAACAATATTTTAATAGTTTCTGAATACCAAAGTATTTGTTGCTACTATTAAATATATTTTGAGATATACATATAGCAATATTGAGCTAACATAGGTATCAGAATTTATGTTAAGTGTTAAATGTCAAATGGTATTAAATCTGAAAACATCAATTTTCTTCTGAAGGTAATGAAATTAACAAAAGCACAGAAGTGAATTCAGCTGTAGGAGCTATACTGTACTTTAGTTGTGGTGGTTGCGATCCATAGCAGAGACTAACAACACAGGTGCTCTGCTTTATGAACAGCAGCTGTTCACAATTTTATGTATGAACAATGTGGCAAAGCAGATTTGTGTGTTGGGATGATGGGCGTTTGCAATCTGACATTGTACATGTGTGTGTATGTGTATCATATTTAGAGATCATTTTAAAAGAAATAACTAGGCACTTTCTGATAAGTTTTATTTATTAAAAGTTTTTGTAGATATATATCATAGGCATTTTTTTTAAAGAGTTCAACATTCAGGTGAGGATAAATAATTGGAAAAGTTCATGTGCATATATATATATATATATACCCTTCTCTCCACAGTCCATAACTGTGGAGCTCTGGTGCAAAACTAATAGCTTTGGCTACATTTCACCCTGAACATTTCAGCCCTCTATGTTACGTCACCACATAACATTGGCTGCTGAGACTTACCTAGCTCTGCTTGTACCTACAGAAAGTGGGAGCCCTGAAGAGGAGCTTCCAAAGATATCCATTCCCAGAATCCAATTTCTTTTTTCAAAATATTTTAAGTACAGAGATAGGCAACTTGTCCTCCAGGTTCATGGATCACAACTTCTCACAATCCTTTTTGTCCATCATATCAGGTTAGAATAATGTGAACTTCAGTCCAGTATACCTGGTAAGCATTAAATTGCCTATGCCCAATTTAGGCAATAAAAAGTGGAAAGTAGCCCCCTCCCCCCCTTAAGTCTTTAAAAAGAGAACAGAACCAAGAGAAGCATATGGCTTATTTTCAAAGATAGGAACCTTTTTTTTTTTAAGGGCTTCCCATTTCAAGTTGTTGTTCTTTGCTGGGTGAGTTTACATCAGATGTGTCAAGCCTATTGTACAGGTACACATTTTTTGATATGTTTACCCCAAAACTGCAGAAATCCATGCAGCTTCTTTTCTTCTTCAGCTCTTGGAAGCTAACAGTTTTGGGAGAGAAAGGCACTATCATTTTCGTTTTAAAGTTTATTAACAATTTTCTACATAATTCCATGGCTGTATTGAAATATTCTGCTGTTCTGTTCTCTAATGCATGGGGCTGCTGGTAGCAGAAGGAATGATTTCATGGCATTTTCTATGGAATGCTATATCGTGATAATCTCAAAATTGCCCAGAATTTTAACATATTCAGCAGTATTATAATAATAGCATCTTCTTGGCCTAAAATACAGATTGAAATGCATTTAATGGCATAATTTTAAAGGATATCATTGGAATGATAAAGTATTGTGGCAACAACTGTTGGCTTAACATTCACTAGGTATGCAAAATAAGTCTTTAACATTTCTTGAAAATAAGAAAGCAAAGTAACACAATTATCCCTGACAGCATCTTCATATTGAAAAGATCCATGCATTTTTCTATGAACAAAAGGAATCTTTCCCCCACCCCAAGATATTCAAGAATATTTTTGTTAATCCCTACCAGATGAAATACACAGAAATAGGCTTTAGTTTCTCAAAATATTCTACAAATATAAAGTTGACAATCTGAGATAAAAATATCTGCTTTCTGAAATTGTACATATCTAAAATACCCATATAAAAGGTAAATATTTTAACTATAAAAATATATCTGAGATCAATTTCAGCTGGATTAATTCTTTATAAAAATCAGAATTATTTTAACAAATTACTATTAGGTTTACAAATAGAGTCTTGAAATTAAGTACTTCAATGTTTCTCTGTGTGCATTATCTTTGGTTTGTAATTTTAGTTTGTCTGTGGTATAAAATGGGCAGAGCTAAGGATCTTGGCATTTGTTCAGTCATTGTATGCCAGGAACGGGGTCTTCAAATAGCATACATGATGCACATTCACTTGAATTCATTTTTCAGACATTTTTCTTACCTGTGATTAAATGCGTAGGCAAAAAAAGTTAAGGTATTCTCCAGTAGAATTTGTTCAGTTGTATAAAACAGCGAACATTGTAATAACTGTGATTGGTATATATTTCATGTCTTCAGGTGCCTCCAATCACAAGGAATCCATTGCTTTTATCAATACTGATAAACAGCACATTAAAACATTTAAATTGTCTCCCTTCAAAATCATCTCTATGGTCTCAACAAATTAGTGCAGCTTAGAATTTCCAATCTGAAGGAAAAAATATGTATACAAAACTGAAAAGCCTTCTTATATGAGGACTGTTCCAGATATACAAAAAATACAAAGGTGACCTCGTACACTAATATGACAAAAGTAAATAGAAACCACACAACTGGAAACTCTGAATGCATGGATTTGGAGCTTATGGACTCCGAATGAATGCTCATTGCAAGATATGCAGTCCATTGCTTGTAAATTTACATGCACAGGTCTAGTATGATGGGTTAAAGAATAAACATGAATATGTTCTGATTAAATATGTTAACAGACATTTACAGCTGATGGCAATTTTAGTTTATCTGCAATTTAACTGCAATCAAAAGTTAACAAGCATTTAAAATTAAACTACAGCTCATGAATCCAATTGTTCAATTGATAGAAGGTACACGTCCATATAGCCTGATTTAATCATGATTCCAGTTGTGCCAGAGGAATGGCTTCACACAATTTCATGCTTCCTTTTAGTACTCTGCCACGCAAGAATTTCAAATAATATTTTAAGAGTCTTTAAGTTGTAGAATTTGAACAGAGATTTTTGACCTTTCATTTTAATCTTTAAAAAAATCAAATCCCCCTGATATTTGCAGAAAAGCTTCTACCTTCTTTTCTTACACACTTTTATGGCAATAAAGATCTTTTAAAGTTTTTAGTTCTTCGATTAAAGTTTTGTTCTGGTTTTCAAGGACAGCAACTCGATTTTCAAGGCATTTAACATACTCTTTCTTTTTTCTACGGCATTCTCGAGCGGCTTCTCTGAAATCCAAAAGCAAAAATATGTTAATTACGATACAAAATTCAACATATTTTACAAACATTCCATTTTTGCTTAGAGAAGATGGTGGCCATTATCATTTTTTTTTTCTTTAAATGATGATTAGGGTATTTTCCTTGCCAGGTTAAGTATAGATTTGCCATTCTAGAGTGCTCTGTATTGTGATTTACATGGTCTACCATGTACTAACCTTTATGCTCCCCTACATTCATCTTATGCTCCTGCCCCTCCTTTTAGATTTTTGTTTTATATATAGAATTTTGTTCTATATCTTTTTAGCTTTATATTACTTTTTAAATCTTTGATGAACTTTTTATGTTTTTAATTGACGGTGCTCTTCCCTCCTTTTGCTGATCTTTGGCAGCAATAAAGATCTGATTTAATTCTTTCAAGTAAATTTTGAAATAAATGCTGAGCATTTTTTCAATATTTTATACCAAATAAAATCAACTGTCAAGACTGTCTACAGTTAAATGAGTCCAAGAAAAAGCAAGGTACTGCAACTATGTATAAATCTGCTCTAATGTTAAGGAACAAAATAATCGTATATCCATTGAATATGGCCTCAAACTAAGTACCCACAGAAGGATGTAACATAGTCTGAAGCCTATATAGGGTTTTACTTCAGAAGTTTGATACATTAAAAATCATAGAGGGTAGACGTTCAAGTGATCCATCAGTATATGGTATATGCAGTGGTGGGATTCAAATATGGGAACAACCAGTTTTCTGTGTGGATGCTGCTTCCGGAAGTCCATTCAGGGCCTGGGCAACAAAAAAGTAGCTACCGTTTCTGCCGAAATGGTGCGGACCGGCTGAATCCCACCACTGGGTATATGTGATGGAACGTTTCACAATACTTTTTCATTATGAAGCACGAGTAAAAAAAACTAAGGCTCCTAGGGGGATACATTAAATTTATTTTTCAAGAATCTTGCTTTCTTATTTATTAAAAACAACAATTCTTTTCCCCTTATTTCTTGAAATAAGGCATTTTTAAACGAAGGCATTTCCCACTCCAAAATAAAGTGAAATCAGGAAAAAAGCAGGCAATATAAACAAGCATTTAGAAGGGAATAATATTCCTTAGGCAAGATAAAAGACTGAAACCTATTGGTAATCTCTGTACACAAGATCTCTTTTCAGAACGTAAGTGGAAAGTAAATACCTATTTTTCATCAGCCTTATTTCTCGTTTTAGTTGGGGATCATCTGTTTTGGTTGACTGAGATGTCAAGGACACAGGAGTTGTCATCACAACTGTTTGTGGAAGGGAAGTGGTGGTTGGTGTTCTGCGTAACTGGTAGGCCTGCATATCCCCAGATGCAGCTGTTAAGGAATCAGAGTAGAGCACAAGGTAAAGCCGTGATTCCCAAACTCTGAAATACTGCCACTTCCACCCTCCAAATAAAATTAATGATTCCACTAGGTTTAGGGTTGGGCAAGAAACAAAAATACAATTTTAGTGGGTTTTTTTTTAGGCAAATACTGAAAATGATGGACTCCTACATTTCATTTTTTAACGGATTTGGAAAAAGATTTGGAAATCTGAGTGATTTTATTTTTGCATATACCATTATTTTCTTTACTGTCTGCAATTAATTTCATTCACTACAATGAGGGTGAAAATATAAAATGATGTTTCCTTCGCCTGGACCTCCATGGGCACCAGACAAAGTACTAGGCCAGGGGTAGGCAACCCAAAACACTCAAAGAGCCACTTGGACCCGTTTCCCACCAAAAACAAAACACCGGAAGCCGCAAAACCCTTTTGATATCTAAAATGAAGATAACACTGCATATATCCTTTTTTACCTTTATTATAGCTGTGTGTGTGTGTGTGTATGTATGTATGTGTATGTGTATATGTATGTATGTATGTGTATGTATGTATGTATGTATGTATATATATATATATATATATATATATATATATATATATATATATATATATATGTTTTCTGAGGTTTTCGCGGTGTTTGTATGTAGGTCTTTGGTTGTTCGGGTTTTCTCCCGCGTAAAATTGGAAGTGTCTTGGCGACGTTTCGATGAAGTCCCATTCGTCATCTTCAGACTGGTGTTTTCAGCTTCGTGCTTCAAGGAGCAATGTGTGATTTTAGCTGTTTCTTCCTTTTAACTGCCAGTGGGGGTATGAACTGATTGGGTGGGAGCTTGGCTGTGTTCTGATTGGGTGGAGGTCTGTTCTGATTGGTTAGGGGCTCCCCCAGCCAATCAGAGCACAGCCAAGCCCCTAACCAATCAGAACACACCTCCACCCAATCAGAACACAGCCAAGCTCCCACCCAATCAGTTCATACCCCCACTGGCAGTTAAAAGGAAGAAACAGCTAAGACCACACATTGCTCCTCGAAGCAGGAAGCTGAAAACACCAGCCTGAAGATGACGAAAGGGACTTCGTCGAAACGTCGCCAAGACACTTCCAATTTTACGCGGGAGAAAACCCGAACAACCAAAGACCTATATACATACACACACACACACACACACACACACACACACACACACACACAATTAAAAATAAAAGTAAAAATATCACTCTTGGGAATATCCATACTATTAAAACAATGATCACCAAGAGAATGCTTTAAGAGAATAAAATTACCTACAGACACAGGTAAAAAAAGGATATATGCAGTGTTATCTTCATTTTAGATGCAAAAGGGTCTCTCTCTCTCTCTGTCTCTCTCCCTCCCTCCCTCTCTATCTGCCCTTGGTCTGCCACTCCTCTTCCCCCACTCTTTCTTTCTCTCCCTCTTTCCTCTCTCTCTCTCCCCCTCCCTCTCTCTCTTTCTCTCTCTCTCTTTCTCCCCCCCCTCCTATCTGCTGCTCACCTGGCAAGCTTCAAGCTGTTGTCCAACAAGCTCAGGGGTAAGCAACCTCGTCTCTTTTATGACTCATGGACTTAAACTCCCAGAATTCCTGAATCAGCCTAGCTGGGCTAGCTAGCTCTCTCCTGCACTTCCTGCTTCCTGCTTCTTGCAGAGATGCAGGAAAGGGAGGAGCTCCGCCCAGTAAGCTTTTCAGCTCCTCGGAGAACACTGTGAGTGCACTCTCTTTTATACACACACACAAACACACAAACACACAGAGAGAGAGAGAGAGAGAGAGAGAGAGAGAGAGAGAGAGAGAGAGAGAGAGAGAGAAGCGCAATTGCCTCTCTCTGTCTCTGTCTCTCTCTGCAAAGGCAGAGGAGGCTGGGAGCCACAGGGGAAGGCTGAAAGAGCCGCATGCGGCTCCGGAGCCGCAGGTTGCCCACCTGTGCGCTAGACCTTGCCTTAAATCAGCTTCTCTTACAATACTGCAGCTAATAAAACACCTGGGAGGCTGTAAGTTGCTTTCGGCACTCTCTCCCTTCATTTCCATTCTATTGCAATATCCTTTGCTATTTAAAAGTCAGGTCAAATGGTCACTGGATTAGAGTATTAAGTCTTTTTTTGAAAACACCTTTTTAAATGTATTCTATTCATCAAATTGATATGGCTGTCCATCTCAGAAAAAAGTGACTCTGGGCAGCATACAGTATTTAATTAAAAATCAACAAATATATAAAAGCAGTCATGAAAACAATAAAAAAGCACATGAACAAAAGAAGATACTGACAACTGCCGTAAGGGAACCAGGCTTGATGGCATAACCAGATCTCAAGGGGTTTGTGGAATGTTAAGAGGGACGGAGCTAACCTCGCTTCCGGGGGGGGGGGGAGAAGATTCCAAAAGGTGGCTGCCTTGGCTGAGAAGGCCCATCTCCTGGGACCTGCCAAGTGTCATGACAGACAGGACCTCCATTACGCCTTCTCTGCCAGATCTGATGGAATGGGCAATGACAGGCAAGCAATGTTGGAGATTGTAACTGCCTGGAACACCCTACACAAAAAACTTTCTTACAATACCAGTTTTATATATAAATGGCATCTTACATACTTCAGAAATAATTATTAATTATAATTATTGAAAATATTAGCTAACAATGGGGCACTGAGCATAAAAATGCAGTTCAAAATCTTCAGTGTGAGTAGATGGCACAAACAGGTCTAAATTTAAATTAAACAAGAGGTTTAATGTTTAAAATGTTATATCCATGTTTGTTTTCAAATAATCCAAAACTAGCATTAAAATAAAAGGAAAATTCTAAGAATTAGGATATCTGTGAAAACTAGATTCCAAAAGAGATCTTTTCTTGGCTGAGGTTTATTTCCAGTCCTTTGAATCAAAGATAGGCATAGTTAGGAAACAATTATTGGTCTTACTCAGAAAAAGTAGGCAGTACTCGAACACAAAAAGTAGTGGTTGTTTATTAAGGATGATATACCACAGAATACACAAGAAAACTTATACACAGAAATGTTAATTTGAAGAAGTGGAGGCTTGTAAAAATAATTCATAGTCAATTATTACAACTGGTGCCACTGCTACAATAAGCTTTAGTTTCCTTGCATAACTACTCTTTGGTTTCAAAGGGAACCAAAGACTTTGCATGAACAGTCATCTCCTCTGCATAAGCAAGAATACTCAGCCCATTTCAGAAATTTCTATGGATATCTGTATGTGGAAAGTGGAAAATTGCAAAACTTATGGAATTAAACTTATGGAATATTACTTTTTTAATCAAAAAGTATGATTATATAATTGGTTAGGACTAATTGTTTAATGGCTCAAGCATTAGAGACAGTTCCCAAATAGTTAGACTGGCTAAATGATAGAAAATAGTACACATGACTTAACAGCAATTACCCATTTTTTACAATAAGAGATTTTATTGCATTACTCATTCTAGGGCAGGGGTAGGCAACCTTGGCTCTTTTATGACTTGTGGACTTCAACTCCCAGAATTCCTGAGCCACCGTGGCTGGCTCAGGAATTCTGGGAGTTGAAGTCCACGAGTCATAAAAGAGCTAAGTTTGCCTATCCCTGTTCTAAGGGAAGAACTAAAACCAGCTTTTTGTGGGAGGAGAAATTTTGAAGAGATTTATGTGTAATTAGCTACAGAAATTGATGGAGTCCTGATGCATTTCCTCTCCCCACTTTCTTGTAACTGCCTGGATAGGCTAGGTGGCCTGTCCCTGCTATAGGAAGTGGACCTTCATTATAAGTCTAATATACTAGCTTCTACAGTGAGACATACTAGAGCCATTTCTGGGGTTGGAGCTTTGCCAGAAACTATTTTTTGTAGATTATCTTGTTAGAGGAAATTTGTGAAGAGTTTATGTAAATTAACCTTGCAGTAATTAATAAATATGGCCAGGTGACGACTCTATAAAGATCTCCCAAGGAAGTATTTGAAGTTTGAATGAACTCTTTACCTTCACCACAAAACATTCTCCTGAAGATTTTTCTTAGCCTCTAAACACCTACATGCGTGATTGGCATGGTTTTCAACCTACTGAAGCCTCAGATGTTATTGTGCTGAATATTCTGCATAATACTTTATAAAGAAAGGAGTTATGACTTCCGATTTTTGTGCCATAGCACACCGCTGCGGGATTGCAGTGCTCCGCACTCCACAGCTGATTTCGCCCTGCCAGGGGATCCTGAATGGGTCTGAAGTTGCCCTGGAGAGTTGACAAAGAAGGGTGTCCTGATGATCATGGAATGACAGTAGTTGTTCCATTCGATCCAGGAGAAGCCCTCTAACCCGATAGGAGAAAAGCTAGCTGCACACCAACGTCTAGCCCAAGCTACTTGCAGCCGAAGTCCAAGAGCACAAACCAGAACAATAGTGAATAGCGTGCTTGGAACTGGTGAGAGTACCGATCTTCTCTCCTCTCCTCTGTAACTAAATCCTTGGGAAAGATCCCCAAATTAAGAAAACCTCCGAAAGTGAAGGGAGGGGACTACACCCCCACTCCCTCATAGAAGGAAGCGGCAAATTAACCTTTAAGGGGGAAAGAAATTTACTGAAATCAAAGTTAAAATACTACAGTCTGGATAAATCTATAAATTAAAAAATAACTGCTAAGACTATACCTTAAAGGGTTTTGATGAAACTATAAAAATAATAATAAATAATAATAATTTTTGTCTGAAAAAGCTGGAAAATAAACTACTACTGACACCTAATGGAGAACTAGAGCATAGAACATTAACAACACTGACTCAGAAATTGGCAATACGCTCAGAAATAAAGAATAATCTGTTCCCTTGAATTTTAATAATCCTCAGAAGACAGCTGGGTGGGAACAAAGAAAAAATACATACTGGGCCAGCCATAAGATTAAAAAGTGCCTGTAGGAAAAGAAATACTCTGACTGTTGTCTAAACTCAAGAATTATTTATAAAAAAAGAAAAACTTTGACTCTGAGCTAATCTTTTAGGGAGGAATTTACAGGAAGGACTCAAGGTGATTAAATATACTGAACTGGTTGACAACTGACGCCTGAATAAAAGCACTGTTGTAAAATACTGATTTTACTGATGCCTTGACAATTGGAAATACAGTGGGTTATAAAAATTATATATAAAGATAAGAACTATATAAAATTGGACTGTTTGGATTCTGAGTTTGGCTGGTTTGACAATTATAATTATAGAGACTATGGCACTGATGAAAGACTATTTAAAAGGGGGAGACAACATGGATATTGTATGCTTATCAAAAAATGACAGAAAACCACATTTAATACTTACTACTGAAGGACCTAGCCTGAAATATCAAAGACCTCCAGAAGCAACATTTCAAGACAAGACAAATACTTTCCAGGAGTAAATGTATGTAATGCTACAACAGATACAAATGACAATAGATTTAAACCATAAGGAGATAAAAAAAAACAACTTTGATGACATAAATGAGCACATCTCTAATGTAAATCCACAATCAAAAAACAGAAAATGTTGGTAAAGAATGAACAAACAATTCAAATAACAGAACATAATCTAGAAGAAAATGACTTAATCAGCGAAGCTACAAATGAGGAGAATTATAATTTAACACAAACAGGAAAAAACCTACAAGACTTGGACATAGCAACAAAAATGGAAAAGATACTTTATTCATCAGAATGTCAAAATAAACCTGAGGATAAGAAAGAAGACTTAACAAAATGGACTATAGAACTGCCAGGAGAACCATTAGAGTTTGGGAGACAAAAGCATATCTTTTATGCATTCTGTCTTCTCCACTCCCAACAATACTTACAAAAATAAAAGAACTTCCTGGCAAGTGGAATATATCAATTTGGAAAGCTACTTGGCAAAAGAAGGTGGCCAGAGACAGATTCAAGAGATTTGACTCACTCTACCAGATGGAGTATTACATGAACAAACACTTGTTTGAATACGGTTAAAAGTACAGATAATTTTGGATATAAAAGGACCTTACAATAAGAGGGATAAGAGATATAAGTAATATAGTGTGTAAAATGTAAAAATATTGAGATGATGTATGTGAATGAAAAGTGTGAAATTTAAAGGTAAATTAAGTTGAAGAGAATTAGGACTAAGGAGTGAGTGAAATACTGAGGGGAAATTAAGTTTAAACAAGAACTTAAAAAATAGGATATATAGTGATTTAACAAATTAACTTTTACAAATATAAGTGAAATATAAACTGATCAGAAAAGATGTTATATGTAGATGTCATAAGATAGATAACAGTATAGTATTTTTATAACACATGAAATATGAAAACATTGGGATGGTGTATCTAAATGGAAAATCTGGATATTTAGATGATAAATATTGAGAAAATTATGACTGATAAGAATTGTTTGAATATTAAGGGGAAATTAAGCTTAAGAATTATGAAAATAGGATATATGGTGAACTAATAAGATGATTTTTATAAAAACACAAGTCAATAAGAAAAAAATGTCATATATGGACGTTATTATTATTTGTACAAACATGAAAAATGTTTATATTTAACCATATATGTACTGAAATGATTAAGAATTATATTTGCTTAAGGTTGAAGAAGAATACTATTGGGAGAAGGGAAGATCAAAGAAATATACTATTAATTAATATACTAATTATGGAAGTACAAAAATGATTATTGACTATTAATTAACTACTAATTGTTTTTTTCAAAATATATGAACCAAGACAATATGCTGTACACTAGGCACTAAGGATTGTTATTGTAAAAAAATCAATAAAACATTTTTTTTAAAAAGAGAATTACATGTACATAGAAATTATTGGGGGTGGGGGTAGGTGAGGCTCTTCAAAAACTTTCTCATTCCTTGTTTCTTTTTAACCTTTTAACCAAATGGGAAGACTTTTGCATGCAAAGATGATGCTCCAGATGTGAACTTGAAGTCAGCTCAAAGAGTAGTGCTCTGAACTGGGACTGTTGCTTCACTTATGAAAATCCAAGAAAACTCTGATGAAAATGAGCAGATAAGCTTCTGGCATGTTTATCAGTTTAAAAGATTATTAGATAATGGTGTCTGTCATGCACCTCAGTAATTCCCACTCTACAGATTCAATGGCTAATTGAATTGTTCAATGGTCTGAGGTTCAGGATGACATGCCAAGCTGCAATTTTTACTCCCTTGAACAGAAATAGGGAGAACAGATCCTCCATTCCTTTATGCCAATATTAGGTGATATATTGCCACCTTCATTCTATGGGGAAAGAGGGTAAAAGGCTATGTGGGGTATCTGTCAGGTTCAGAGGGGATGCCATCATACTGGACCAAGCTAGGCCAGCTCCAAGCCACTTTCTCATCCCCAGCATCCTCTGCTGACTGACATGGTGCATCACATAAGAGCTCCAAATGCCCCCAATATGGTACTCTTATGTTCTTCCTTTGCCACATCGGCAATGGGAAGCAGAAGATATATGTATTTATCCTTGATAGATGTCTTGATAGAAGCTCTCTGCTTCTGAACTCATCTGGTGACTCTATCTCAGCCTGCTAGTCAGCACTGGTAGAGAGGCCACTTGAATGGTTTTATTCATCAGCACAGTGTGGTCCTGACAGTTACTATGAATTTGGAGAGGAAGAGGTCCTCCAGAAGATACAACTACAATACCGAGGCCATCTGGTGTCTCAACAACCAGCAGATGGAAGTTGGATGGATCATCCTGGTCTCTCCATGAGTTCCCTTCTACTTCTGGCCTATTCACTGGACTGAGCAGCCTTTCCTGGTGCTAATCAAAGGGAGGTGGGGAAAAGGGCACAGCTTGCTGCTTCAGTGAAAATGAGAAATGGTCGTTCATTGCCAACTCCCTTCTTTCCCTGTTGCCTGGGCCCAATGGTCTCTGTTGCCTTGGTGCAGTTCCCACACTGCTGGAGCTCTTCTTGGAAGGAGCAAACCTTAAAGTTGCAGCATTATCAACATGAAGTCCATTTTATTTAACCTCTGTGACATTCTCTTCAATTATTGCTGCTGCTGCTTTTTTTCCCAGTCTACTTGAAGCCAAAAGAAAAAATTCTCTCAGAAAAAAGATTAAGATTGAAGGGAGGCTTTTCCTTCATCAGAGGGAGGATTTAACCCTTTCCTGTCAACCCTACTTTCAGGTGACCAAAGAAAAGGCAAAGGAAAGAAAACAGCTAATCTGCATAGTCCTGGCCAGAAGGATGGCTAGAAGAGTTGGAACAAGAAGAGCCAAAATTGGGAAAAGAGCTAAATCCCTGTAGACAAGTAGCATCACAACAATTCTAAGCCTTTTCCCAGAGCAACTGGAAGAATAATATTTACCACAGGTCACCCTTCTTTTGCTGTAGGAAAACATCTTAGTCGCCAAAGCTAAATATTATGATCAATTTCCACTAATAAATTATGGAAGGAATTTGGGAATTGCACCAAAGCCTTAGGTATATTGAAAATTGAACAACCTTGCTATACATGGACTTTTAATGAATTGGTACTAATATTTATTTATTAATATCTCGCCCTTCCTCCTCTTACTTTCCCCACAACAACAACCCTGTGAGGTAGGTTAGACTGAGAGAGAGTGACTGGTTACGCAGTCAGCTTTCAGAGATTAATAGTTTGAATTACAAGTAGTCCTTGATTTAGGAGCACAACTGAGCCCAACATTTCATTTGTTAAGTGAGTTTTGCCCCATTTTACAACCTTTCTTGCCACAGTTGTTAAGTGAATCACTACAGCTGATAAGTTAGTAACCTGATTAAGTGAATATGCCTTTGCTTGTAGAAGGACACAAAAGGTGATCACATGACTTTGGGAAACAGCAACAGTCATAAGTAAGAACCAGTTGCCAAGCATCTGAATTTTGATCACATGATCATGTGGATACTACAAAGGTCGTAACTGTGATAAATGATAATAAGTCACATTTGTAATGCTGTTGTAACTTTGAATGATCACTAAATGAACTGTTGTGATCTGTATTTAAAGTGTATACTTACTTTGTACTACCTGTATTTAAAGTGGATACTTACTTTGCACCACTACCTGATTACTTGGTACAAGTATCTGCTGGCCATCAGATGTCTGCACATACTGTAATAGTGGAGTCCCAGTAGCATTTGTAAACGTCTGTAAGCCCTGCACACTCTCCGCACTTGGACTGCTCAACTGTAACGGTCCATTTGGGGCAATGGCAACTTCAAAACAAGGCAGAACGAAAGAGGGAAGATGCTGAATAGTGCACAGTATAAGATAAACAATAAGCAAGATTTGTTTTCTTTTGGGCAGTCCCACAGGAATATTCCACTGAATACAGTTTCTTGCCTAAAAATAAGTATTAAGTAATCTTCAATTGTCAATTTAAAAATGTTCCTCCATTTTCTCAATGCTAACTTGTTCGATTACATGTTTTGAATGAATATTTAGTATGAGAAAAATGTGATTTTAACTCATAATAAATAATTATTGAATTAAAAACATTTCCAAAATCATTGCTTTGTTTTTCTGATAATAAATAATTTTGGAAGGGATTGTAATTTTGAATTAGAATCATGGGCACTAGCAACGTACCCAGTGTAGACGTGTATTAATTAATACATACTATATTGACCAGTGCTGGTCTGATAAACAGGTGTTGTGACAGGCATTGAAGTGACAACAGCATTTGATTCATCTCCTTTCCTATCCCTTGTATCTTCAGAAGAAAGGTCATTCAAAATTTTTCTATAAAAAAACAACACAATGTATCAGATGTATACTACTGGAAATGCTGAATAAATTGCTATAGTATTATTACATTGATTATTACAATATGTATAATTTTAGGCACAGTTTGGCTTTTTTTCAAATTCAAGAGAAGCAGAGTCCAATATTGTGTAGCCTTATAAAACTAAAAACTTTTCATTAAAATGACTGTTTGCTAGTAATGCATATTTTTGAATATGTTATAGAAAGGTATAATAAATGTAATAAAAAGATTGAAGGTGGATATTTTATAAAAGACAGTTAGCATTTGCTTGGGAAGCAGTATTAAAATCTAGATTCCATGACTAAAATATCCTATTAGATAGCCAGGAAAGTCCAAACAGCTTTAGAAGCAGACTGAAGTTCTTGCACAAGCTCACAGGTTAACTTGGAAGTTGTGAGATACTGCTGTATGGTAGCAGTAAAAGATAAACCATGGCTGAAAAACGTCACTGGTGACGATTCTCCGTCCCCAGAGTCTGGAATTCTTTCCCTGGCGGGCCCATCTGGGCTGAATGCCACCCTGGAGGGGTGACCACCGAGGGGTGAACATTTGAGGAAGGAGAGCCGGTGGTAGCCAGCTCTCTGAACTCAAAACAGCCCCTGGAACTGGCAAAAGAAGGGCAGAGAGTTTCTGCAATCGCCGCCATCACCAGCTGATCGTCGGAGACAGAAGACAGCTGATTGAGAACAAGCAACTGCTCCAGGTGAGATAACTTCAATATTTATGGCAAACTGGACCTTTTGAAATAAATTGCCTACCTTTGAGCTGAAGCTGGAAGCTCGAGGGAGGGAGAAGAGGTTTTTGGTTCCCCCCTCCCCTAAAACGGTGGTTTAAGCTTTATTATAAAATTTTCGAATTCTTTTTCAATGGAATTAAAGTAGAATGTCTTACTATATTTTATTATGGATGGAAAAGCAAGATTGCTATGATATATATTCTTTTTTTTTTTTTTTTGGAAGCCAGCTCAATTGCCTTGCTACGGAACTTTAGCTTGCTGTTTCACTTTTTAAACTTTTTTTTCTCTCCCCATTCAAACAACAGGGAAAGAAACAGCGTCCCCTGGTGGTTATATTTTATTTTCTTCTTTTTTATTTTTTTCTCTCTCTGACCTTGGATACATACCTGCAAAGTTTGGCTCAATGCCCAGATACTTGGCTATGTGCCCAGACATTCTTATCTTTTAGAGACCTTCAAGAGAGAGCTTTGGTTTTTTTTGTTTTGCCTAGTGACTGGCTTTTTGCTATCTGTGACTAGTTGTATTTTCTGTAGTAAGGAAACTACACAAGAAGATCTTGCAAAGCTGCAATTGAATTAAAACTTGATTACTGTTGCCTTGTAGGCTTGGTTTTTTTTTTTCTTTTCTGGCTTATTTTTTCTTACTCTTTTTCTAGAGACTTTGGGTGCTTCTTTGTCCATATCTTTTTTTCCCTTTTTCTAGGGCTCCTCGATAATTTTTCTTTTTTGGATAATTTTCTTCTTTTGATTTTTCTTATTTTTTTTTTTAAAAAAAATTGGCCTTGTCTCCTGATAATAAGAGGGCACTGGACTACTATTTTTATCCTTCTTTCACCTTCTTGTGCATTTTGGTGGATTACAATCGGCCAGTGGGCCTCCATATTGGATTACAAATAAAGTGGCCATCAGGCCTGTTATTGTGTTACAAATTACAAATTGAAGATGAGTACTCTAAATTTGGCGAAAGGGGTGAAAAAGGGTTCTTCAGCCCCTGCCTCAACTTCGGTGAGTCTGGCTCCTCAAAAATCTATTACTACATTTCTACAACAGGAAACCCAACAAGCTCAACAAAAAGATACACAGGCCATATTCCAGGCAATTGCGGATTCCAGAATGGATATGAAAAAGGACTTAGAGAGAATCTATGAAGATTTGAAGAACGATATCTTTAAGATGGACCAAAGAATAGAAGCGTTTCAACAGATGATGATAGATACACAACAAAGAATGCAGAAAATAGAAGACAAGTCAGCAGTGGTAGATGAGAAATTAGTGCCCTACAAGAGGAAAACCAAAGGTTGGCACAATCTAATGCGGAATTGGAAGGAAATATGGCAGTCATGGAGATGGAACGGACATCGTATTTCTTAAGATTTCAAAATGTGATAGAAGAGAAAGATGAGAACTTATTAGACTTGATGAGTGGACTACTGGTGGATTTACTTGGAATGGAAAAGGACCAAATGAATAGGGAATTGGACCAGGTTTTTAGAATCAACTCTAATTACGCAAGAAGGAACAGAGTGCCCAGGGAGGTCCATGTCAGATTTCTTAAAATAAATCGATGAGATGAAATTTTGAGAATTGTAAGGGACCAACCTATGAAGTATAAAGATAAAGAGCTTGCAGTTCTTAAACAGATTCCTAGAAAATTAAGGGAAGCATGAAGAGATTATCAATTTTTAACAAGGAAACTGATTGATAGAGGAGTGAATTTTAGATGGTTGATTCCAGAAGGGCTACTGAATTTTTGGGACTCGAAAAGATATAGACTGGACACCCCATTCCAAGCAGAGGAATTTTTCAATAATCACAGAGACTTTTTGGAGAAAGGCGATATGGAATTTAAGAAATCAGAGGGAATGTCTACTGCAGAGACTTCTAAGCAAACAGAGGAGGAGATACCCAAAAATATAAACCATGGTTTCCCTAAGTTTATCCTCACAATAGTCCTGAGCCCGGTAAAACTCAGAGACAGAAGGGCTTGCCAAAACTCACCCAGTGGACACAGAAGTTGGGTCTTCTTGAAATACATCTAACAATTTACTTCACTACACTGACTCCCTCAAATTCAGGTTATAGACACAAAACAAATGGGCAATCTGTGGCTGTTAGCTTCAGAAAATACAGGATCTTTAACCACTAGGAACAGCAATAGCACTTAAACTTATGTATTGCTTTATAGTCCTCTCTAAGTGGTTTAGAGAATCAGCATATTGCCCCCAATAATCTGAGTCCTCATTTTACCAATCTCGGAAGGACGGAAGGCTGAATCAATCTTGAGCCAGCCAGAATCAAACTCCTGGCATCTGGCAGAATTAGCCCGCAATGCTGCATTCTAACCACGGTACCATCAATGCCAACAATTAGCCAGAACATCAGCTAGCAATCTATGTGGCATGCAGACATTAAAATATTTCCCTCACATGATTTAGGTCTTTACAGACTGAAATTAACATTTGGAATTAGTAAACGTTTGGTTCTAAACATGATTAGACTACAGTTGGTCCAGAAGGCAGCCACGCGAGTGATAGTGGGTGCTCCTCGATACACCCACGTTACACCTATCCTCCGTGAGCTGCACTGGTTGCCTATTGGTCTCCGGGTCCAATTCAAGGTGTTGGTCATTACCTTTAAAGCCCTATATGGCTGAGGGCCAGGCTATTTGCGAGACCACCTACTACCTCATAGTTCCCTACGTCCGGTTAGATCCCACAGGCTGGGCTTCCTTCAGGCCCCGTCGGCCAAGCAGTGCCATTTGGCGGGGCCGCGGAGGGCCTTCTCTGTGATGGCGCCCACACTTTGGAATCAGCTCCTCCCGGAGATTAGGACCGCTCCCACCCTGTTGGTCTTCCGTAAGCTACTTAAGACCTGGCTTTTCCGGCAGGCCTGGGGTTTATAAAACTTTACCCCTGGATGATTGTTTTTGTATTGTTGTTTTGTTATGTTTTATGTGTTTTTTATTGTTAGCCGCCCAGAGTCTTTCGGGAGTGGGGCGGCTTATAAATTTTAAAAATAAATAAATAAATAAATAAATTTTTGATATTGTGAACCAACCAAAGCTCATGAACAGTCTGCAGATTTCCCTACTGCAGAGCAAAGATTATTTGTGCAGAATAACTCATCTCCTATCTCTTCAGGGACTTTTTCATCAGGAAGTACTACAATCTAGACTTGTACAAAACACTGTCACCTCAAAATGTTCTAACCTCAAAATAGTTAAATGTTCTGAACATGAAACAAAACAATGTCTTTGAAAGTTTTGTTGAAACTGTGAAAGAAAAACGCTATATTGAGTTTTCTGACTATTCCCAACACTGCAACTGGGCTATTCTTATATCCTGTGGTTGGACTGCTTTTTAAAAACTCTTCTCAGCTTTCTAGAAGCAGGGAACAAAAAGCGTTGTTAATGCTGCTAAGGCTGTATAAATTTAAAAACTACTATTACAATGGTGATTTAGTTGGTTTGATGGCTATTTGGTTTGATGTTCTTATGCTCTTTTATAATACTAATATGCATGCAGTTAAGAAACACTAGAAGTCTTTTTAATAACTTTTTATTTATTTTGTCACCAGCAGTTACTCCTCTCTGAAAACATGTGGAAAGAACCACAACACAGAATTTTTGTTATATTTAGGACTGTAAAACATAAATGCTGGCCAAGTTTTTTTTAAAATTAAATCATTGAGAAAACTTAATAAGGAAGCAACTGTCAGAATAAGTGACCTGGTAGATTCATTTAAAAGAATTTTTAAAAACTTAACATTTTTAAATTTTTGCAAATAACTTCATTTCTGGCAAATAATTGATTTTGTGGAGCCGTAAAAAAAGGGATCCCTAGGGGTTCTTAGACCATACTTTAAAAAAACACTGATTTAAAGAAACTGAAAAGACCAATATTGGTTCTTTCCATTGAGAGGCTTTTTTTTTAAATAGATACTATCTAATCAGACTTTTGCAGTTAGGGAATTTATCCATTCCAAAAATGATTTTAAAAATATGTCCTTGACCATTTTTTTTGCCATTTGGCTAGTATAGATGAGGCCAAAAGAATTGGTAATCTTCCATTTTTTTCAAATAATCCAAGTTTGCCATGAAATATTATTTTCCATAATAATTCTAGTACAGATCTGAGAAGAAATTATATTTTGGTATAAAATACAGACCTATAAGATGGACGGCGTGCTAACAGACCTCTTGCTTTCTGGGAAGAGTCCATGCTATCTGAAGAATCTTGTGAATCCTCATTCTCTGATAATGATACCTGAAGGAAATAAACTCTCATTTTGTTGAATGTTATATAAGACAATATGATGCAGCTTTCATCTATGCCAAGTATAAGCATTAAGATTTTTAAAATGACAGCAGCCTTTCAACAATTTGCAGGAAAAAAATTATATACTAAGGGTAAATAAATCTATTCAAAGGAGGTGTCACTTGTTATTTAAACTAGAATCTGGACTGTAAAATATTTATGGACTCCAGTCACTTTATGTGCAGATCCATAGGTAAAAGATTCTTTTGGACCTGTTCCATGTCGATCAAACAAACAAACAAAAAAAAGTGACTTAAAAAATAGTTATATTGCAATATAGTGTTAGCATTAACACAGATACAATTATTAACTATTATAATATACAAATAAAATGTATACAACCACTTAATAAAGAAATGCATTAAAAAAATAAAAAGTGCATAAAAAGGAAAAGATAAAAAGAACTCCCCCTTTCAACCCCAGCAAGTATAATCAACATTAAGGACTTACCTTTACTGTTAAAGTAAAAACAAAGATCTCTTCATTCCATATCTCATCACAATTTCTATAAACTCATCTCTAAAAACCCATCTCTCCCTATTAAACAGCAAGCATCCAGTACGGGTTATCAGAAATAACAACATTAATATTACACCCAATCTGAATCTTTCTTTTACCCTTTAAACAAATCCCTATTTTCTCTCTTCAAATAATCAAAATTCAGTCCTACTCAAAAAACAATTAAAATACTATCAAAAGTAACCATTGTCATCCAGTCCTAATCAAGAAGCCATTAAACATCTGACCAAATAACACACCATTAATTTTGGTCAAACAAATCAAGTATGTATTTTTTCTTCTTTCTGCAAAGGCTTTAAATTCTTCAAAGAAAGTTCTAGCACCTGTCTTCTCATACTCGTCCTCTTCTCCCAAAATTCTTTTCTTCATCTTTATCAAGCCCCCTTTGTACTTTAGCAAACCCCTCTTGTAAATTCAATATAAGAAATAGTCCAGATCACTCATCTGGTATGTTATTAGTATTTTTTCCCAATTTTTGAATTATCATCCTAAATTTGTAAATCCATTTCTTCCATCGCCTTTTTGTAAGCTGTAATTTTTAATTCTACTTGTAAACCAGTTTCGGTTTCATTCTTTTAAATATATTTTATAAAATTTCTACAAAATAGTTTATATATGTATGTATGTATGTATGCATGTATGTATACATGTATATATATGTTTTCTGAGGTTTTTGCGGGTGTTTGTATATAGGTCTTTGGTTATTCGGGTTTTCTCCCACGTAAAATTGGAAGTGTCTTGGCGACGTTTCGACAAAGTCCCATTCGTCATCTTCAGGCTGGTGCTTTCGGCTTCGTGCTTCTAGGAGCAATGTGTGATTGTAGCTGTTTCCTCCTTTTAACTGCCAGTGGGGGTATGAACTGATTGCATGAGAGCTTGGCTGTGTTCTGATTGGATGGAGGTGTGTTCTGATTGGTTAGGAGCTTGGCTGTGCTCTGATTGGCTGGGGGGTTGGCTGTGCTCTGATTGGCTGGGGGGTTGGCTGTGCTCTGATTGGCTGGGGGAGTGTTCTGTTTGGGTGGGGGCTTTGTTGTGCTCAGATTAGTCTGAGTTGCAGGGGGATTTAAAATGGTGAGCTGCATTGCTATTTTTTGGCTTCGCGTTCGTGGTCGTGCCTCATCTTCATGGTGGGTGTCAGTTTGCTTCATGTATGGATTGGAGGGGTTTAAAGTGGCTAATGATGCAGCTGTGGTCTGGCTTCTGGTTTGTGGTTGTGCCTCATCATTGGTGTGGCTTTGGGTTTCCTCACCAAAGCCGAAACCAATGTCCTTTCCAAAGGATTCAACTTTGCAGTCGCTCCCAAACACATCCCCACTGAAACCATTATATGTGGAGTTGAAACCAGCCTGACCAAAATCAACCCCGACGACGCTAACAGAATCAGACTCGAAATCATCAACATCCTCTGCACCAGCAAGCCACCCAAAAGCAACTTACCCAAAGAAGAACCGACAGCACTACGTAACCTGAAAGAAGACACCAGCATAATAATCTTACCAGCAGACAAGGGCAATGCCACGATGGTTATGAACACATCTGACTACCAAACCAAATTAACCAACCTACTCCAAGACTCTACATACAAACCCCTAAACACAGATCCCACCACCTACCTGGAAAAAACCACCAGATCCAAAATAAAAGCCTCCCCCATTAGCGAAGAGATCCAGCAAAGAATCATTCCCAGAGAGAAATCATCCAGATGCCCTAAGCTCTATGGTCTCCCCAAGATACACAAAGAAGGAACCCCACTTAGACCCATAGTCAGCTCCATAGGCTCACCTCTACAAAACCTATCCAAATTTCTTGCCAAACAACTACAGCCCTATGCAGAATCCATCACCTCACACGTAAAAAATTCATTCCATTTCTTAGAGATCATAAAGAAACAAAACTTACAGCCCAGCGACCTACTCGTGAGCTTCGATGTCATATCCCTGTTCACCCAAGTGCCAATCAAAGAAGCCTTGACAGCTATCCAAAACTAGGGGCGTTAAGCAGGCTCAAGTCACAACTGCGAAACATTACAAATCCAAATTTTGCGTAAGAACGCAAAAAAAATGGAAAGGGAAATGTGCAAGAAAAGAAAAAAGAAAAAATTCAATACAATTAAAATATAAACTATATTAACCTTTTGATATAAAATTCAATAATACACATTATATAATGATAAATAATTCATACAATCAATTCCCAAAATTAATATAGCATTTTTTTGGTTTCCACCAAAAAGTCCAAAAGTTGTTTCACATAGAAACAAAGCTAGACAAAGGCTTTTCTTTAATCAAGGTAGTTAATTTCACCAGCCAGTTCCATTAACTTCACTATCCATTCTTCCATTGTGGGAATTTGTAAGTCTTTCCATCTCTGTGCAAGTCTCACTGCAATTATTATATATAAAAACAAAGTCTGATTTTTTTTCTCCCAATGCTTATCCATCAAACAAAAGAAAAATCTCCAGTTTCAACTGTACATTTTTTAAAAGAATTCTCTGTATTAAAGTATATATTTGATTCCAGTAACTCTTAACTTTCTTAGATGTCCACCAAAGGTGATAAAATATACTTTCAGAATGATTAGATTTCCAAGTAATGTTTGACCCACCATTACACATCTTTGATAATTTATTAGGTGTTGCTGTTGATCAGTCACTAACTCATGTCCAATTCTTTGTGATACCATGGACCACAGAATGCCAGCACTCCCCTGTCCTTCACTGTCTCCTGGAATTTGCCCAAATTCATGTTCATTGCATCAATGACACTATCTAGTGGTCTCATTAGCTGCTGTTCCCTTCTTCTTTTGTCTTCAATCTTTCCCAACATCAGGATCTTTTTTAATAAGTGCTCTCTTCTCATTAGATGGCAAAAGTATTTGAGTTTATATTGTTATAAACCAACCAACCAACCAATAAATACATGTTCGCTTTTATAAATAATACAATTAACCATCAATTACTTGTATAGACCTCTGCTATTTAAGTTTTATTTCTGTACTGCTGCAAGAAAATTGCATGAACTTGTCCATAAACTCACCAGAACTCAAGCTTTACTTGAGGGGGAATTTTTTTTTAATGAAAGGCTAAAATATATAAATACAAACTTTTAGTAAAAACTGAAAATAAGTTACATATGGATATGAACAACATACCTGTATTGATTGTCCTTGTGGGGAATGAATCACAGTGGAGGTCTGAGCTGTATGAATGACTCCCTGGACCTGATCTCCAGACAGATGTACCACTGTTAGTGGAGCTGGACCTCTAAGAGACATCTAAGAGAAATAAGTAGTTTAGTATCCATATCCACAATCATGAAATGGAAAGTACAGTTAATAAACTCATACATAAATAACATTTCAGTTGAGACCCAGCAGGGCTTAATGTTAGTTTATTATTTTTATTTTATTTGTTAAATTTATTTGTCACTTATCTCACCATGGGCTATTCTGAGGCTTAATAATAAAAAGGAAGGAAAGGAAAGGAATGCAACAGAAAGAAAATAATAGAACAATAAAATAAACAATAACAAAGGAACACAACAAGAATAATATATCAATATGATAACCAAAAAGATGGATGAGTCGAGAGCAGAGAGCAAGGAGGTGGAGGTAGAATCTACCTTCAATTTAGCAGCTACAAGTACCTCCACTGAACATTAAGTCAGCTGTCCATATTGAAATATTGGGTGGGATTAAGTAGGTTAGATAAACAGAAATATTAATATATAAAATAGATAGAGTAATTTTGAGAGAGGTGCCGCTCATGTATTTCCCCTGAACTGTATCCAAAGAGGGATGAGAGGGGAGGAGGAAGGGATGGAAGGAAGTAGGATGGGAGGAAGGGATGAGGGGAGAGAGGTGAAGAGAGGAGAGAGGGAGGAGGGAAGTAAGGAAGGAAGGTAGAGAGGGCGGATGCAGTCGGAGGGGGAGATGGACGAGCGACACCTAAGGTTATATGTATGAATTTATTTCAAAGGTATTTTTTATAACGTATTGAAAGTATTAAATGTATTGAAAAATGAAAAATATTTTTTCTTCAAAAAAAAAAATTGAAAAAAAACCCAGTCAAACAAATATAATTCTGAGGATGTATTCTAAGAACTATATGTACTTTATATAAGAGTACATCAGATCTTCAGTTGTCATCTTTGCCACGTTTCAGTATTTGCTAATCTCATTTACTAAATCTAATAGCTTATTTAAACTGTTTCAAAAAGCAAAGAAACATTTATCCATAGTCTCATGCAGAACTCTTCATGAAAAGCATTACACACAGGGAAACCAAAAAAAAATAAATCCATTTGTTCCCACATTCTTGAGTTTTAGGAAGCAATCAAAGTCAACCGAACTTTTAGGGGGATTTATGCATACAACTTTCTGGGACTTTATGGCTGCTTGGAATAGGAATATTTTATTATTGCTGTGTTCAACTCATGTATCTTAATGTTTGTTTTTAATCTGGCTCTATTTTTTTAGGTGTTTTAATCCTGTTAACCCATGGTAGAGATATAAATTACTAACAGCCCTCCATAAATTATAAAGCTTTCTCAGATACTATTGTTGTGCTGTTGTTTAAATTTTATTGGGTAAGAATTTCTTAAAATTTAAAGAATTTGCAACACTAATTTTAGAATCAGCAAATATAAGTAGTGCACCTCTCTGTTCAAAATATCTTAAGCACATGAATAATGTCCACAAAAGGGAGTGGAGACAATGTAATGTCAATGCTTGGTGTTGCATTATTTGTGATGCATCATTATTTTCCTCCTGATATATTTGCTGAAGGCCTCAACAGATGGCAGCACCTAGCCAACTCTGGCTGATCTCAGAAAATGAAATAGGACTGGCCTGGTTAATATTTGAGCAAGAAAACGTTATTAGAAAGTTGAAGAAGAGAATAAAGGTAAACCTGTACCAAGAAAACTATATGGATGTGACCATGTTTCAACAGGAGGTTGGACTAGAAGGCCTTCAATGTCCCTTTTGACCCTATGATTCCATGTAATTATTTTTTATTCATTATGCAAGAAGTAGATACTTTCTTGGGAGCAAATATTTTTAAACACAATAATTATAATTCAGTTTTTAAGTTTAGCATATTTATGATTCTGATATTTGAAAACATCTTTTCAGAAATATTTTAAATTAAAAACTTGGGTTTTCAAAAGTATTGGGTATATTCCAGAGAAAACCAATTCTCCATTTCACTGCTAAACTAGTTCAGATGGACTAGAACTAGATGGACCTTCTAAAATCAGTAGAGAATAAGTGTTCAGATATTATGGAGTATGCAAATATATTATAATATATTTGTATATATGGTATTTTGAGTTTTCTTCTGGAAGTACATGATTACCCAAGACCCTTTGAGTACATATACATACTTATTGAAGTTATTTAGAAAGCAAACATTAGAAAGGAAAACTCCGCAGTAGCCTACTTAAAACTCCTTCAAGAGACTGCTCACAGTTAGCTGTTTTTACCTGTTGAGAAACATGAGAAAGTTGAGCTTCCTGTAGAGTGGTACCTTGTAAAGATGCTATTTGTGGAGATGTTGATGAATTGTTATTACTGGTTTTGGGCACCTCATCCATAATCAGTCTATAATATATCAAAGATACACAATATGCATAGTTAATTGATACCTTTTCAAAGTATATCTAACATATTCAGCTATGTTTACTGTGAAATATAAATAGGATATGGTGTCAATAATATTAATATAGATGATTCAGGGATATGAATTGCATAGTGAAACGAATGGAACTTATAGAAATGCAAGTACTTTAAAGATATAAACTTATACATATTAAATGGGAATAAAATCCACTACACTCAGTAAGTCTGAATGAAAAGTATAGGATTATGTACTTTCAACTTTCGCTGCTGCTATAACTTTCTAGGCTTTCAAAATATGTAATACATTTCCACTGAGCCAGATGGGCCAGTTTCCAGAATTTGAGGTAATGTTTATTTAAAATATTTTATAGGTTCTTTAGACTATAAAGCGATCATCACTCTTTACTACTATACAGTGTTACAATTAGATATTCCTAATTATTCACATGTTCAGGACTGACTTTTTCTCATATATGTTCTAATAATTTTCACTGGACGCATAAACTATTTATATTATAAAAATATCAAAGTATGTATCAAAATATATTGAGTATCCCTACCACTTGATATTAGAAGTAGTCCTTGTTTAATTACACTAATTGGGATGGAAAACTGAAGAGAGTCGTAGTAATAGTAGTGCAGTGGTTAGAATGCTGTACTGAAGGCTAACTCACTGCTCACTCCAGGAGTTCAATTGTGAGTGGTTCAAGGTTGACTCAGCCTCCCATCCTTCTGTGGTCAGTAAAATGAGGACCCAGATTGTTGGGGGCAATATGCTAAGTCTGTAAACTGCTTAGAGAGGTCTGTAAAGCACTGTGAGGCAGTATATAAGTCTAAATGCTATTGCTATTTTGTTGTTTCCTCCAGGGAAAAGGAGTAAGATAAAGAAGTTAGTTTTTATCTTTGTATGCTTTAGAACTTTCTGCATTTGTATTGTTGTACCTGCAGCATATTTAAGTACTATTGCCTAATCAACCGCACTATGGTATACAAAATGTTTAAATAAAGGTACCTCCAAACACATTCAAGTTGATTTACCAGCTCTAAGCATGTTACAAAAACTTGCCTGACAAACTGACAAAAAAATATTTTCAATGGAAATGTGACTCACTGATTTTTCCGTGCTGAATTCAACCACAGGAGCTTAATCTTGAAAGTATGCTGAGTATAAAAAGTCAACCCTCAGAAGGTTCCATTCTCAACAACCCCCACAAAATTCTTCAACTGGACATAAAGCGATGGCTAACTGTATACCACTCCCTTATTTTTCAGAACAATACTTTTTATTCCAGCAGTAGAATCATTCCATCGATATTATTTCCAACTTTTATACTTTGAAAATTTGCAAGGCTATGCAACAGTACAAAAAAAGTATACATATCCTCCTTTGCAAAAACAAACAAAACCTAGGAGAAAGGCCTCTAAAATTCCTCTAATACAGTGGTTCTCAACCTTTTTAATGCCGTGACCCCCAACCGGTCGTAAGTCGAGGACTACTCAACCGGTCGTAAGTCGAGGACTACTCAACCGGTCGTAAGTCAAGGACTACTCAACTGGTGCAGCACCGTTTGCAGAATGGGACTTTTGGCAGGCTCAGCAGGGCAGAGACAGCCTGGACAATTGCTATTGGCTTTTGAAAGCCAATAGAATTGGATTCTATTCAAGAGAGTCTATTCTATTGGCTTTCAAAAGCCAACAGAATAAAAGGGAGTAGCACAGCTAAAGAAAAGGGGAAAAAAATGGTGGACTGCGTTGTTTGGCGACCCCTATGAAATGGTCGTTCGACCCCAAATGGGGTCCCGACCCACAGGTTGAGAACCGCTGCTCTAATATAAGATAAATATGCAGAAAAAAAACTTAAGTTGAAAGAAGAAACAAATGGAATATATGAAAAAGAATGCATAAACATAAAAAGGTGAGTATGTTATTTCCTGATTGGCACTGAACTACAATTTAAAAATGTTTCCAGAGAATATTGGGAATAAGGGATGATAATGAGCAAATTGTTTAATCTGAGTTGGGCAGTATATAGAGTCTTTGTTGTAGTAGGATTGAGTGGTATTTTCTACAGATTAATGCAGCTGGGGTAATTTGAAATCTTAACACAATTCATGTGAGATTCTATCAAAAAAAATAACTAGCCCCCAGTCTGTTTTCAGTTTTCTTTAGTATGGAACAAATTTAAGAGACTAATAGTTTGCCTATAAGCTATAAGATTGTGTTTAAAAAAAGCCACTCTCAGCTCCCCAACATGATTCAGCACAATTATTGTATATCCATGCAATGATTGAAATAGACTATCAAGAGCTGATTTCCATGTCTTCTTAATGTACATCATGTCTTCATAAGATGTGCTTGCAGTAATTAATGGTTTATGAACATGAGCTTTCAATCAAGGTAGTCAAAAGTACAAAACTCTGCAATATTACTTATTGCTTTTTTCTCCAGTTTAGAAACTCCACAGTAACCTGGAGTTTCAGCTTTTATATTCAATGTGCAAGTTAGAAGGCTGTGTCAGTGGAGGATAACTTCAGGGAATCTTGAAAGAAGGTACAACAGGTACACTAAGCAGGATCACATTGTATTACAATATTTTGCTGCTAGCACCACTTGTACTTTTCTAATTCTGTAGTTTTCCAGTCTGGTGATCCTAAACAAGAGATTCAGTCAAGGTGGACTTGCTTTCCTGAAAATTAGCTGATCCATCATTTCCAATTTCAATGTGCAGCAGCTAAAGAATACAGATGATATTATAGAGTCCATTCTCTATTTAACAATGAGATACAACATGCCAATGCTCAATGAGAACTTATAATGAATTTATTCCAGAGAACATATTAATGTAATAGAATGGTATTGGAAGGAGATACCTTCACAGGAAAAACATGTGATGGGTTTCCTAAACAATTTGAAAACAAGATATGTGCCCTTATTGTAAACAGCAAATTAAAATTTTAAATTATTGCTGCCGCCAATATTTGTAAAACAAGATTTTGAAAAACTAGTATAGTTTACAGTTTGAAATGATAACACCCAAATCAAAATCTTTTATAGAATGAGATATACAGTTTAAGTGACATGAAAAACTAGCATCATTATAGAATACTACAAAGATTGCTGGATTTATATTTTAGAAGATTGAAGCTATGACAACATATGATCTCATTGTTAATTCCTTGTATCACTTTACTATCAATAAAAGGATGAACCATAGATTAGAACAGACTCCAGCCAACATATTACATTCTACGCTCAGTAATGTAATTATCATGTTGTCTTACATTCTGTCTTTTCAACAAATATTTTCATTCAAGGAAAGGCATGATAGAGGAGCCAAGAAAAAAGAATAGGAAAAATAGTGCCACAACATTTGTATTAGGATTCAACTTTGGATTTAGCCATCTAAAAATAAAATGGCAGTTATAAAAATGTATTATGATTTTTATTTATATTCATATAGGTCTTTCATTGTAAATAATTTGAGAAGAGCCAAAATTTTGAACTGAATCAAATTTATTTCCTTAATTAGTAAGAAAAGGAACACCCCTCCCTTGCATATTCCGTTTTTCCATCCAACTAAAAAACAAAGAAACCACCACCTGACATTAAAATTAGTCTGTACTGTACTGTACATGAAATTTAGTTTGGTACAGACGTGATAAAAATTATCAAAGTGCCCCGGACATATAGATAAAAAAGGGGTAATCAGCTGGTGGTGAATGTTCTCGCAGAACTGGCAGTATACTGTAGAACATGAGCTATGGTACCCATGTCGCAGGGGCACCACCAGCTTTTGTGGGGGGATTTTCCTATATTTCCCTTCCAGGACAGTTGTGCAGAGAACATTAAACTGAGCTAAAGGTAAGGCTCTCCTGACTTTGGGAACTGTGATATAAGTAAAAAGCTGGTTTAGGAACTAAAATTTGGTTATTAGCTTATATTATTAGGAAACAAAGCAGCAATTTCAGTTTGACCTACTATTTTAAGATCTTTTGTCTTAGTACTAATATAACATGATCTGACTCTAAGGTTAAGAGCCCAATTTCTTTTGGATCACTATTTCCCAGGAAGATTTGTAGTTGTTTGCCAATATTAGATGTTCACTGGGATTGTTGCATAGTTTTAACTGTTAAGTAAAGATAGTTATACAAAGAATCTACTGGCTCCTACTTCCTGCAAAATACTGCATTTGGAACCAGCAGGTAACCTGGAAGATGCTATTTAGAAATTTTGTTTGAATCTTTTCTAAGGCCGTCATATGGTCCTAAATAAGTTCCATATAACAACGGTGCTCGAGCTTTAGCTGCTAACAATATAATTGCAGCATGGTAAACAATAAGTTTGTAAAGCTGATGCAGATCTCTGTGTATTGAGGAAGGTAGTCCAGGTGGATGTCTATGGAGATTGTCAATCATTTAGGTCAATAGGGTGTCCTCAAAGTGCTTTTTCCAAAAGGCAATTGGACTTCCTTGTTTTTTTTTTTCTTTGAAAACATGTTGCTTCACATCCAAGAAGCTTCTTCAGGTTATGTTTCTGCTTTCTGAAAATTGAAAAACTATTCCTAGATATCTAAAAATGAATGGACTGCCTACCTAAGTTACAGCTTCTCTGTTTTCTGCATTTAAAAAAAAATAAGAATCGTATTCTTGGTGTTATTTATTTTTTGTTACTCCTCAATACATACAAAAGTGATTTCAAAGCTCTTTTAAGGCCAATGGAGGTTAATGACAGAATTATAATAAATTTGTATGTCTTTGGGATATAATTTAGACATATATAAAATATAGAGTTATTTAAATGAAGACCTAAGGAGTCTATATAGCAGTTGAATAAAACTAGAGCCACTACACATCCCTAACTCCCTTGCTTATGCGTATTTCCTTTATGACATATCCTTGACTACTGCACGTAACCTTCAAAATCATATATTCATGCACTTTAATGAGGAGCAAGAGTAGACATTTGTCAACTGTGGTATTTTTTAAATTTATACCATAATGTACTTCTAGATACTATGCTGGAAACTGATTTGAAATTGATAAATGCTGCATAGAGGAATTGTCCTATATTATGGGTATTCTTTTCTACTAGATGTTGCAGTACCGTGTTCACCCCTCAGAAAGTCTTCAAATTCAAACTACAGATAGCCCTTGACTTATGACCACAATTGAGCCCAAAATTTCCATTACTAAGCAAGACAGTTGTTAATTGAGTTTTGCCCCATTTTATAACCTTTTCTGACACCGTTGTTAAACAAATCACTGCAGTTATTAGATTAACCATGCAGTTGTTAAATGAATCTGGCTTCCCCCATTCACTTTGTTTGTCAAAAGCTAGCTGAAAAGGTTACAAATGGTGATGACACAACTTTGGGACTCTGTAACTCATAAATACACGTCAGTGACGCAGTGAGTTTGACACCGTGATGATTGTAGAACCTGAATCAGCTTATAGAGAATAGGAATAAGCTACAGAGGTTTGTAGCTTAAAAAACTTTATAGGTGAAATCTTAAAAGCACACACTGCTGAGCATAATGGATTTACTTTAGAGTAAGCATACATTAAGTGCATTGTGAATATGCTTTAATTATTTGCTTTTCTTAATAAAAACTGATTCTAAGATAGCAAATTTTCAGAAACTCCTAATAATTGTTACTGCTATTTTCCAATAACATTAAATTACATTCACATTACTATGACTCTTATTTTTATCTAATGTTTTTCTCTTCTATGATATACTTATATTCCTTAAAGTATACTTATTGCAAGCTATAAAAATAGGAATAGAATATTTACTTAAATTACCTGCACTTTAAATATTTCATTATTGTCTGCTAAAATTTAGTCAGTAATTTATGCCCCCATTGACATAATTATCTCCAGTACTTAATTAAATGGAGATATAATGCAATAATAGAATCCTAATTTCTTACTGTTTTAATATCTGTTATTTTCAGATGCTTTATTCTAGTAGGGACTTTCTGAATATCAGTCATTCAAAACAATAAATGTATATTTAAATACTAGCTTTCCAGTAACACTAAGGAATAATGTAATTTATTTTAAGTCAACTATTAATATTATGAAGTCATGGAACTTTGGTTTTTACATAACAGCACTGAGATTATTGTATGCACAAAGATGGAAAGATTCGGCATTTACTACAATGGGGGAATAGAATAGTTGGTGAAGATGATGGAACTTGTTGAGATGATAAAATGACTTCTTTGATCAGAGAAAAGATAATATATACATTCATTGCTCACTGGAAACCTCTTTTAGCCTTTTTGCATGAAAGAAAAAAATGAACTTATGATTCATGGTTTTGATTAGACAAAATAGATTATAGAAAGATTATGTTGTAACTGTAGAATAAGAGGTAAATTTATAATTGTATTTACAATTGCTACAAAGATCAGAAGCTACTACTTTGTATCTTTTCTTTCTTTTCTATTTTTCTTTTACTTTTTCTTTCTTGCATTCTTAGCTTTCTCTTTGATTTCTTCTTTTTCTTATGTTAATATGATTTTTTAAAAAATCTTTAAAAAGATTTTTAATAAAATTATACAAAAATATCTATTATGCAAAACATTTTTCATTCCCAACATATAGATGATAGGCAAGAATAAGATCAACATTGCATGGCTTGATCCAAAATGAATTGATAAGAGGATGAGAGTTTCTGTTTTGCACCATATATTATTATCAAAGACCAATTTTTATAATTATTTTGTATGTAGGGGCATCTCTATTACACTCATTCAGAGTTGCTTATTTTTTGGTGTTTTGGTAGAACAATAGTATGAGATGATAAACTATTAAAACTAAAATTTTATATGTTAAAAGAAATTTAGTGAATTGGAGAAATCTACACCATTCAGCCATTACTGTTAAAAAAAAATCATTCTGTGTGGTTTCATAACTCTTATTAGCCAAAGGGCTAAGCATTCAGAAAATAGCTTCCACTTTTTGTATCACTTTTTAACACAGCAAATAATTTGAATAATAACATCTACTATCCTTAGTCTACCTACATGTTTTAATACTGTTAATCTAGTATTAGTTGGCAATGCAAATGCTATTCTAGAAAGATAAAAATGAATTAGAGTTCTTGAGTAATTGTAGCAACTTAAAGATACTTCTTTAAAAATAATTTATTAATTTATTTATAAAATTTATTGGCCGCCCATCTTACCACAAGGTAACTTATGCTAACTTGCATCTGTACATATCATAATATATGTCATATCATGTATGAATTTTTACTGCATTTGAATAATTGTGCCTAAGTACTAATTTTTTGCATAAGAATATTGACTGATTGATTGATTGATTGATTGATTGATTTTATGCCACCAAGTCTGTTGTTGTTATTTGGTGACCACATAGATAGAATTTCTCCAGGATGGTATTTCTGCAGCTTCATCTTTTAATTCCAGTAGTGGAATTATCACCATTATAGTGAAGTCTACCCATTTTTCTGCAGAACGTCCTCTTCTCTTTCCTTCCATCCTTCCCAAAATTCTGCTTCTAATTATGTTAATAATCTTTTTAATTTTCCTATTGGTTTTCTGTTTTATCTTTTTCTTCATTTTCAGTTTAAAAAGTGGTTTAATATTTGAACGTATGATTATTTTAACAGAATGTAAATAGATGTAATAGAGACTATTGGGAAAAACACTCCTTTTATTTTAGAATATTTTGATAGTGCCTCTTTAAATCACTAAGCCAATATTATAGCATGCATTTAATAGAAATAATGTAAGAACTCAGTTCTAAAATTGATAAAAAAAAGTTTTTGATAGCAACTCAATAAAGAGATAGGCCTGCAGGAGACATCTATGCTCAAAATGCAAAAAAGGAGCTAATACAGAAATGTACCATTTTTTTCTTAAGTGTTCTAATTGTAACCATTTGCATATATTGAAAAACACAATTTGTTATTCATATTTTAGGCACATTCATCTTTTTATTTATTTTATGAGTTTGGAATTCTATTTTCAATATAAAAAAACGTTCTACTCACAAAACGCATACACTTAAATAAAACTGAGACTAAAAATAAACTCAAGAAAAACTTGATTGCATTTTGAACAGACCCTGAGAGCTACTCTGAAAGATTCAATAAACGGTTATGATAAAAAGATTTTAAATAAATCAATTTACAATAATTAACGATTAAATAAAAATCTGAAAAAATAAGACTCCACCTGGTACCAACAAGTATCAGTTTGTATCAGGCAAATCTCCTTGGGAAGAACTACTGGGGGAAATGATTAAGCAAGTCTTCTCTCTTCCCCATGAAATGTGTAGCAAACTAGTTTCAATAACTTCACACACAAGGTTAGCAGTGCCTTCGCACACTCTTCCTCCATCTGCCAGCAATGCCCTTTTGAATGCTACATAGGACAATTTGCACAAATTGTCTATGTCTAATTAATAGACATAGATTTCACATCAGACTCAAAGTAATACCAGCATTTCAACCTGTGATTTTAATCATTACAGATTTGGGGGAAACAAATAAAAGTCCCCAGTACAACTGAATGAGAGACAGCTGAGCTCACCTACATTAAAAGATTTCAGGCCATCTCAAAGGTCCCAATATAATGTAACTCAGTATAATTACTGATAGAGCATGTGTAATCTGTCCTATATGTCATCTCTCTCCCTCCTCTTCACTCCCAAGTCTAATTTAAATCATATATTAGTCTGTACATCTGAAGTGAGTTGTAGTTCACTAAAGCAAATAAATGCCTTTTAGTAGAAAACGGCCCTACAAGACTCCGGGTTTCGAGCTACCATAGACTAACACGATTCTCTTCTCAGACGTTTTTAAGCTACAGTATAAACATTATTGATTCAGGCACTTGACCATCTGCTGAAACTGGGGAATAAATTCTACCTAAGCCCAGTATTTGCACTGGCACCAACCACCAGTGCGGCGGAGTATCTGGGAAGCCCGCTGACGACTTCTGTGACATTTGCTGGCTCTAAAAAGTACTCCTATCCCCTGGCGTCGGCACATGTTAAAGTCGGCTCTGCCTGCGAAGCCAACGACCGGAGGAGAGTAAGCGGTGTAAACTGACTGCAGACGGATCCCAGCGAGTAGCGAGAGCTTAGGCAAGCCTTGCCCTGTTTTGTGGGCACCATAGTCTTTTGGACTGATAAGCCACGGCAGGAAGGTAGGATGTCAGCGGGCGAGCCCTAGTGCTTGTGCAACAGCTGGGGACACCAACGCAGCGCATCGCTGCCTTCCCTCCCGCCAAATTCCAACCGCTTCCAAAACTTTCCTCTCCCCCCCCCCCGCGTCTCACGCCTTTTTAAGCGCGCGTGCCCTGTAAGGGGTCGCCCAACGCCTACTCTCCCCGGACTTTGCTCAGCCGCTTCTCTCCCCGCCCCCTCCCCTCTCCTGGCTCTCCCTTCCTTCCTCTTCTCGCTCGCGCTCGCTGGTTCCAGTCGCGTCCGATCTGCTTCGCGCTCTAAATTGAGTCGCTTGGCCGTCGCGCCCGCTTTTACCTCAGAGGCTTTCCGGGCTTCACCTCGATTTCGCGTTGCCCAGAGGGAATTGCCCTAACACCTCAAGAAACCAGACCCACCGGTACTTGTCAGCATTACCAAACTAATCCCCGCCAGGGGGACGCTACTCTGCGGTTGCTCTTGGTGGGCGGGTTGTGACTATAGAGTGCGCCGGAGGCCAGTGCTAGAGTTGGCTACCGCCTGATAACAATAGAGTTTCTCTTTTCCCATGGTCTAGACTAACCACAGGCTGGAACCAGAGAGTTGCACGTCTGTGGGCGCTAGAGCGGCAAAGCGATGGGTATTCTTGAGGCCTTTGGAGTCTGGTTTTGTACCCTTCCGTGCCTTTTTATTGCGGAGCAAAGTACCACTAAGTTTACATACATAGGATCGTATCATGCTACTTAAGTGTACTCAGAAGTGACTTCAAATAAGCAACTTACAGATGCAGTGGCCAAGCGAACAATAAAACAATTCAAACACAGGTGTGCATTTAAAACAGTTTGATCAATTCTAGTCCAGACTTTACGTTCCGGCTGGGAATTTAAAGTTGAGAGCTGATAGTGCACATCTTCCTTTTCTGTGCAATGGGAGGAAGTGAAAGAAAAGTTTGGACCTAAAAAAATCCATTCTTTTCATCTTGAATTCAGAGATTTTGTTTTCACAAGAAATTACTGAAGGGAGGAGGCTTTTGGTTTGGACATACATTTGAAATGTTGAGAATTTGTGCACCCTCACAAAATGATTGCCTATTCACCAATTAACCTCTGTGTTGGCTGTGGCTAGTAAAAAAAAAAAAAAGCCCGGCTTAGAGGACACTAGTGTGGGAAGTCAGAGCCCCAGAGAAGGAAATATTAAAAGGGCAGAAAAATATATTTTTCCTGAAAAGAATTTTTAAAAGCAGGAGCCAACTCTGCCCCCAAATCTCTCTGTCCCAAATAGGAGCCAGCCCTATACAAATGCAAATGTTAAACCATCAGAAAGTTTGTCAAGACAAAGAGACTTAAAATCTGCATACCTCACCCAAACTCTAGGAGTCATTAGCCCCATCACCAGGGAAGCAGGATATAATAAGATTAAACCACAAATATCAAAGCCTAGAAAAACACTCAGAAATAGCCTCAAAGTTCATGCCACAGGAACAGGAAACTATTCCAAACAAAAGGCTAGAGGGGGTATAAAAACCTACTACACATGTGCTCAGCCCTTTTCTCTGGTCTTTCCTGCAAGAACCATCTTTCTGCCTCTTCAATAAACTGTAACCTTCTTCCCAAAGCAGTCGCCATGTTGCTTATTTATTCCCAGCTTGGATGAACCAGGATGAAGACTTTAATCCAACACTAGAAATAGTTCCTCAACGTGATGAAATGATATCCATTAGGTCAGGGGTAGGCAACCTTGGCTCTTTTATGACTTCAACTCCCAGAGTTTCTGAGCCAGCCATGCTGAGGGGAAAGGGAGAGGTTTCAAAGCTGAGCCATGCTGGCTCAGGAATTCTGGGAATTGAAGTCCACAAGTCATAAAAGAGCCAAGGTTGCCTACCCCTGCGTTGGGTCATGAAGAATTGGAATTGACTGAATAACAAGTGGTGAGATTGCTCATCACTTTCTTTTATTAACCAAAGTTATCTTGGCATTTCTTCTCAGCAGTCACTATTTTTATATTTATTTTTATATGGGTTTTAGCTGCATTCTTGTAAATATATTAGAGCAGGGGTCTTCAAACTTTGCCTTTTTATGACTTGTGGACTTCAACTCCCAGAATTCCTCAGCTAGCGTGCCTGGTTGATGAATTCTGGGAGTTGAAGTCCACAAGTCATAAAAGGGCCAAGTTTGAAGACCCCTGTATTAGAGGCTGGTATCATTGTTTTGCAGCATGCCTATGAACCATAGAATTTTAAACAAAATACCTGCTTTCCCTTACTAGAGATAAAAGACTGATTACCTCAATCAATGTTTCCTTAACATGGTACAATATATGGTGAAAATCAATCTCTTGCATGTGCTATATTGTCCTCGCCTGATGTTTCAAGAACACCACATTGCTTTACAATAGGATATCTCTGAAGCACATTGCTCCCAAACTACAGTTTCAGTACTGTAGTTCATTCTAGGATAGTATTCTTGTTTATTTATTGCCAGCAGTGATAGAAATCTAACTGCACTTTGTAGACATGAGTGCTTTAGTTGGGATATGAGCTGCAAAAATCCAGTAGGCCACTAGGTGACCACAAATTCTTGATTACTTTCCTGAGATTGACTGAGCTTCAGCCCCAATGATAGAAATTTCTGCTTTTCTGCAGAGTTCTTAATGCATGCCAGAGGACTTCCTCTGCAGCAGTGTAGAATAACTAATAGTGAACACAAATGACAATATCTTTGTTCTTAGTAAGTAAAAAACTCAGAATGCAAACCTTTAGAACATTTTTAGGACATATTTTTTTCTCCAGGGGCTACTTAGGAATACTTTTGAGTTTAATGCAAAGTATACCTCCTTTTTGAGTTAGCATTTATTATTTAGTTCTTTTTTTAAAAAAAACAACTTTGGGGGATTGCTCTGTTGCTCTTTAATTTTTTTAAATAATTTCATTATAATAATTCACTTCAGAGACTTTACCAAAAATCAGCTTCAAGTTTCAAATAAGTCCTGTAATGATTGGAATTAGATAAGATCAGTGAGATGCAAATAACATTCAATCACAGAAACTCACTAGATTATTTGGCCAACTATCTCACCATTCAATTTACTTTATAGGGGTGTGCAGAATTAATTGGACAAGGGAGTATGATATGTGCAGACTTTGCCAACTGGAGTTAAAGTTGGATGTAAATCTAAGGAATAAAATAATATCCAACAGGCTTTGAAGAAAACATGGGATAAAATGTTAATGATATAATAAAAACAGACAGGCATCATTATTTATTAACACAAGACAAGAAAGACACAATCAATGCATTAATGGAACACTGTCCAGCCAAGATGTTAAAATCTTTTAAAAAGTATATCTAAAACCTAATTTCAAATAAATAAAAAAGACTTTTTACATAATTACAGAGTTGTGATTTGAATCTGACAATGGTAAACGTATTGACATCAACAAAAGCAAAAAATGATTAAAGACAATGATCTATTGTTGTTTTTACAATCATATCTCCATCACAGTTAAGCTTGGCCCATCATTGTTAAACTGCACGATAAAAAATTGAAAGGCAAACATATTTAACTAAAAAGGCCTATTTTTGAAAAAAATGTGAAATATGGTTATGTAGTTTGTGTTCAGGGTAGTAAGTTCATTCTCAGGAATAAGTGTTCTAATTGCTTCATATCAATATATTTTAGTAATTGAAAAATGTGAATTCAGAGAGTTTTTTGTTAGTAAAACTGCATTCATGGGATAGTCCTGCTAGAAGAATTTAGGAAAGCAATTCTATTACTACCAACACCCCATAAACCTCTTTAAAGCAAAATGTGAAAGAAACATGTTATGAGAATTGCAGGGTATTCATAGATCTCCCCCACTTCCACTCTTGTTGGAATTTAATCTTGGGCTTATGAAAACAGCAGTCCTTACATTTGCAGAAGGAATACTTTGATCCAAGCCATTACATTTAAATTAAGTATTACCTGAGCTAATAAGAAAATCCAAAAAGCCAAGGCTGAAAATGCTGGCTCTAACCTCTTTGGATATATGAAAAAGTATTACCATACAATGATTATGTGGAATGGGGACAAAAAGGACAAGCTAACTCCAGAACCTACAGAGAACTACATCCTTACTGTGTTTCATGTGGAATCTGTAATGTCTGATGGAGAACACAGAACAGCATACCCAAAGCCACACTGAGCAAATCAGTGTCAGAACCCCCATAAAGAGAGCACTGATTCTACAATCATTCCTTTGGAATCTCAGCCATTTGTATAAATTATTGAAAGGCAGATATGTATGGCACTGAAGAGGTCTCAGGGTTAAAGAGTAACATTAAAATCCTTGGTGTATTAATTATAAATCTTTGGAGAAAGTATATTAAAATCTCACATTAACAGGGAAGAAATAAAATACTTAACAATTAGCTCAAAGAGAAAAATAATATATTTGAAGTTAATGTTGAAAACAAAACTTGAAGTATTTCAAATTAGAAGATCTGTAATACTATTTTCAAATGATTTTCTATACTGCACATTGTAAGTCTACTATATTAAATGTAATAGGAATCTAAACATAAGTGTAGAAAAGACTACTACAACCATGGATAGAGAACTAGGCTCTGGTTTCATTCAGTAGGATGTTAAAAGTGTTTTTATTATAAAAATTGAGACCTCTCAAGAGCCACGTTGGAGTGAATAAATAAAGGCTGGAATACACAGAACATTTATATGCTGAAGGCCTTCTGTTCCCATGTGGAGTGCCAGCAACTGTTTTATGTGTGTTTGTTTTCCAAACTATTGCAAACTACAAGTTAAAACAACTTCAGCATGGAGTGCATTTTAATTTACATAGCAGCACCACACTGTGGAAATACTGATAACGCAAAATATTCAAACCGTCTCCATTAAGAACCAGTAGTTAATATTTCAACGATTTGAAGTAATGAACCTCCCTCCACCCTATACTATTTTTGCCGTAATTCTTCGATTCAAGGTATATTGAACAACATATGTATAAGAAGCTAATTGTGAATATTTTGTTAATATATCTAAAAGTTTTCTGTCTAAATATCTATACGTCAAGCCATTAAAAAAAACAAGCTTTGAAAGTTTGTACAGAAAGGTTTTCAAGTATACATTTGGAATTTATCTTAAGGAATAAGTTGCCAGAGCTACATTTAATATAGCTGCTGTAGATGAGGATTTAATTCAGGTTTATATTTATATCTCTTTTAAAAATGTCTAAAAATGCTAACTTTGTTACAGGGAAGGTAAACAGACATTATTAAAATATTCTAAGTATTTACACAATAGGCCACAAATGTCCCAAGGAAATTTGTTACCATTTCTAGTATCTGCTTTCTGTGTTATTTCAACAAACTTCTTAAGGAGAAACAAGGAGAATATTCTAAAGTGTAATCAGAAAAAAAATAATGGTCTAAATAGAAATATTGTTTTTCCTACCAGCTTATTGGAGATGGGGTTGCAGACCATTTTCAAACAATGGCTATTCCAGCACATTTTAAGGCATCTATTGTTATCAATTCTTTGAAGGCTGAAACTGATCAGCTATTTTGAATGGGAAAATCACAACTTGCCAATCTTGCTGATTCAAAGACATTCTGCAAAAGACCATGATTTGCAGTACAGTAATGAATCCCACCCAGAAAGTAGCACATCAGAGTAATTATTTTAAATAAATTGTTACTGTGCACAGTTGAGGAACAAAATATGTCTAAAATCATGAATTGAGTGATTCTGGTTAACAAGTGTTTGCTTATAAAAACCATTTTA